GGCAAGGGGAGAGAAAAAACAAGATAATTTTTACATGTATGATGTGACTTTACTAAATGAAACAACACACAGACCTACAGCGTATCTTGCAATATGGTGTAAATAAGCAAGCATTACTCATTAGCTCACTCCTATTGCAAGTAAAGTTTTGAGTAATACTTGCAACCAAAGAACTCATGGTGTACATGGAATAACCTAATCTATGCTACCTTAAGCTACTTAGCAGAAGGGTGTGAAACAAAAGTGATAAATATCAAACAATTTTATTTTAAAAACTGAGCAGAGCTTCTATAGTGGTTTACAAAACAAGATAAAACAAATATAACACAACACAACATAACAATATATCATAGTAATATATAACGTGTTGAATATAATGTTTCCTGGGGGTGTTTTACCTGAGATCCATATATGTAAATTTTCAATATCACTTACGCTGTGAGCACATAACTTTTTATTCTGGAATCAGTGGAGACAACTTGTTGATACATACTCTCTATTAGAGAGAATTGATACATAGTTGACACATACTATTATCTAGATTGCATAATTTTGCCCCTTCTTGAAAAGCTGGTTTCATTTCAAAAATAAAAGCTCATTGAAGACTGATTCTGCATTACTCTGCAATATGGCCTTTCAGATTTATTTATTTTTTTAAACCCCCATAGGTGGTCCCAACAATGGGAGGTGTTGTTAAGGATGATTGTTTAATTGACACTGAAATGAAGAATGGCTACAGTAAATGTGTCCTACTGAAGGCTTTAAGATGGGGATTTCCCACGGGGCTATATTAAGCTCTCTGAACTCCTAGATAGGTTGACAACTACTGTAACAGTTACTGTTCTCTGTTAGCTCTGATGAGGTGTTTAACTTTAGATCACACGGGAGGTTATTGAATTGCAAATTGGCCATTTCAAAAGGGAGCTGCCTTTAGTCTTTTGTTCCAAGCCAGAGTGGAAGTAAGATGTGATAATGAAGCTCTCCAGGAGCTACATAGTCTTGGAGATGGCATACAGGCTAATGAAGCCTGAGTGAGAGAGAGAGAGCTATGTTTTGTCAGCTCTGATTATGTTATTTTATTGGTAAGATGCAGAGCCTGTGCTGGACATGTACAAGATATTGTATGGAATTATTTGGGTGTATCTTTGAAGTTTTTGTTCTGTTTTGAAGAAAGTTCTGCAAATAAAGTTTTGAATATCTAATGTTTTATTCCAAAAGGAGTCAGTTTGTATACATCCAGTTGCTTCAAGCTGCACAGTATTAACACCTGCAATAGGTGTATCTACACCTGCCCAATAATATTGTATATGGGCATTTACCAAGATTCTCCTAATTCAGTAGGAACATGTGTAGAGAGGAAAAGGTGTGGATAATGTAATTAAGGGGAGAGTTTTCAAATATGCATCAAATAACCACATCCATCCTTATGTAGCATGCTGAGGATGAGCATGGATGATTTTTGACTTGGAAAAACTCTGCTTTTATGCTTTAAACAGGTTAGTGTGTACACAGCCTTTCTTACCAAGTCCACAAGAAAATAAAGGTAAGGAAAACACCATCAGTAGAATTAAGAGCAGAGTGTAGTTGTTTAGTCATTTAGTCGTGTCCGACTCTTCGTGACCCCATGGACCAAAGCACACCAGGCACTTCCGTCTTCCACTGCCTCCCGCAGTTTGGTCAGACTCATGTTTGTAGCTTCGAGAACACTGTCCAACCATCTCGTCCTCTGTCGTCCCCTTCTCCTTGTGCCCTCCATCTTTCCCAACATCAGGGTCTTTTCCAGGGAGTCTTCTCTTCTCATGAGGTGTCCAAAGTATTGGAGTCTCAGCTTCAGGATCTGTCCTTCCAGTGAGCACTCAGGGCTGATTTCCTTAGAATGGATAGGTTTGATCTTCTTGCAGTCCATGGGAGTCTCAAGAGTCTCCTCCAGCACCATAATTGAAAAGCATCAATTCTTTAGCGATCAAGCTGAGCGACCTTTCGGCTTTGGCCCAGCCCAGCTCTGAATCTACTTGTACTTGTCCTCCGCTCTTCCTCAGTAGCATGTTGGATGCCTTCCAACCTGAGGGGCTCATCTTCAAGCGTCATAACTTTTATATGCCTGTTGTTTTCGTCCATGGAGTTTTCTTGGCAGGGATACCGGAGTGGCTTGCCGGTTCCTGCTCCAGGTAGATCACGTTTAGTCAAAACTCTCCACTATGGCCATCTTGGGTGGCCCCTTCGCCACGACAAGGCAGTGATCCATGAAGGAGATGAGCAGAGTACAATTCTGAAAAGGGTAATTAAATATAGATACACCTCACTAGTGTAAGTAGGGTAAACACCACCTAATTCACTTTGTCAGAAAAAACATTCAATCTGAAATACATATGTACCAAACACAAGCTAATCAATGTATAAGAAATAATGCTTAAGTTGAGACGTCTTGTAAAGATAAAGGTAAAGGTACCCCTGCCCGTACGGGCCAGTCGTGTCCAACTCTGGGGTTGCGCGCCCATCTCGCTTAAGAGGCCGGGGGCCAGCGCTGTCCAAAGACACTTCCGGGTCACGTGGCCAGCGTGACAAGCTGCATCTGGCGAGCCAGCGCAGCACACGGAAACGCCGTTTACCTTCCCGCTAGTAAGCGGTCCCTATTTATCTACTTGCACCCGGGGGTGCTTTCGAACTGCTAGGTTGGCAGGTGCTGGGACTGAGCAACGGGAGCGCACCCCGCCGCGGGGATTTGAACCGCCGACCTGACGATTGGCAAGTCCTAGGCGCTGAGGTTTTACTCACAGCGCCACCCGCGTCCCTCTTGTAAAGATACACCTTAAGAAAATCAAACATGCATAATAATATTTGGATTCATGGTATAAAATGCATGTTAGAATGTCTTCCACTATTCACAAGCACAGCAATATCTGAACTAGGAGGAAATGGTTTGCAGAGCATCTCAGAACTTGTCTAATGCAAAGAAATCCCATAAACCCAAAACCAGTTCTGCATGTCTTATGTACAAGTTTGTTAAATCTTGTGGTTTTTATTCAAGTATTTCAGTCATGAAGTACTAGAGGTTCCCCCAGCCCATATTATATGGGATCTCCCCCCCCCCCCATTTTCTGATACTTCAGAGAATGATTTCACTGGGGACAAAATGTTGAGTAGCATGAAGCTGACTGACTGCTGGCATAGAGTATGTACTCTCTCCCACTGCCAAAGCTGCCATTGCCCCAGTTCTCTCCACATGCTGCCTACCGCAGGCCCCGCAAATACAACTACCAGGAATCCTAATGCTACTGCTGTATGCATGTCAGTTTAATGTGCATAATTTTTATAATTTCTGTAATGCATTCTGGTTACGTAATCTAGATTTTCTGCTCATTGAGTTTAAGGTGCTTCATTGGGGGAATATATAATTTATGGCACAGAATCTACAAGACCCAGCCAGCTCTCTATACTCACAAATGAAATAGCAACTTGGTACGATCTTCAACTGCATCAGCTCCCATCCACTAAGGCAGGGTGCTGCTATGCACAAGGACCCATTTACAGAGCCATATAAGATGAGCTCATAGCACCAAAATGTTGTATATCCTTTTTTGCTTGGAGAGAGAGAGAGAGAGAGCACCATGCAAAGTTGTCACCATAATTTGCATCATTACCAGTTAAATGTGGGCTATAAATTATTTCAAATAAATAACTAAATATTACTTAAAACTTTCTGTATCAGAGATTGAAGAGGATTGTTCTTGCCTGGTGGTTAATGGTGGAAATACGTCTCTATACCTTTAGGCACCAGGTGATATTGTTCCTCTTCAAAGAAGCCTTTGGCTGATTAATATCCTATATCCTTTTAAACGTGCTTGTGGGAGGAGGAGGGTTATTCTTTTGTTTTTGCTCTTGTGTTTGTGTATTTTGGGTTTTTATATTTTATTTTTATGATGTGGACCATCCTGAAATCTTCAGATAAAGATGATGATGATGATGCCATCAATATTTTAAACTTCTCCACAATGAGATTTGAACAGATTTCTATGCTGCTTTGTATCCCTCTCATTCAAAGACCAAACTACAAATGGCACTAGAATGCCTCACTGGAAGTTCCCTCTCCTCTAAACAGCCACTGCAAGGGGTAATCATGACCAGAGCCACAGTATGTAAAGGGGGGAGGACTGTCCACACATCCCAGAAACTCTGGTTCTGATTATAATTGCACCCACCCACCCCAGCTGCTATTTGTTGCAGGATAGATGCACCCATTATCTGAGACCTCAGGTATAGAGCGGTATATTATTATTATTATTATTATTATTATTATTATTATTATTATTAATTATTATTATTATTTATTATTATTATTCCCATTTTAAGCAACGGACGCATCTCTCTATGCCAAATAGCAGCTAGACGGGGGGTCTGGTCTGTGGTGTGTGAGGAAAGTGTTAACCTCCTATGTGCATATACACACTATTTGGAATGAACTATTTGGAATAAAAGAACAAAAAAAGGATGCAACTTCCAGGGATGTATTTAGTGTCACGTCCAGTGTGGCCCACAGAGGAATGCTGAGTGGAGTTCTGCAAGTAGAAATCCATAGGTCCAATCTGGCTCTGCTCTCATGAACACTTAGTTAATGGCTAGGGAAGAACCAGTGTGCTGCAGTACCCCAAGTGATGTGTATTGGGGCAAACATAAATAAATCTTAATTTGACATGTATGCTTATGGCATTTGATCAGGAACGAAACCTGTTTTGCAGCAAGAAACTTTGCAGCAGGAAACATAAATTGGCCTCAGGTTAAGGAACGATTCTTGCCCCCACTCCAGTACCTAACTTGAATCCCTCTTCTAGAATCTTAAATAAAATCGTAAGACCATGGGTAGAATAAGCTCACGTTCAAATGTGGGGGCATACGAATTGCTGTTGAAATGCTTCCTGATGTTTCTGCAAATGTGGGTTAAGCAAAGACTCCCCCCCCTTCAAATTTAGCAATGAATAAACAAAACCATCAGTTGTTTTTTGAACGAATGTTATATTTTATTCTTTCAAAAATGCAACAAGAGTGCTGGCATTGTGCCAAGAATTTAAAGCCCCCTTAAGGAAATTGCTCAGTTTTCCTGTCGCCTGCAAAAGAGATGCAAAAGGTTATGTTTATTTAGGATGAAGATGGACTTGTCAAGTCACTGTGTGGTATGATCCTCATGGAAATGCTAATGCATTAAGTCTAAAACGTTTCTGCACTATCAATAGCTTCCATTCCACTCACCCCCTGGAGAACATAAATTGACAATAAATGATTGACATTCATAAATGTGCCTTCAAGCACATTGGGGATAATTAGTAAAGCATGTGGATAACCACTCACAGAAGCCAATTGTGGCAAATCCACAAAATAAGGAACTTCCAATGCACATCAAGAGTGGCTTAGTTGTCTGAATCCTTCTTTTTAAAGGTTTCATGTGGGTTTGATTTTCCTCATCACATTCAAGCTGAACATCCTTCCCACTCTCCCACACAAGACCTCTATGTCTTGACTTTTCGGGACCAAAGCACAAATGAAATAGCATTCCTGATATCTCACATGTTAGCAGTCTGAATGTTTCCAAAGACACCATATTTTCCACATGTCGAAGTCCAGGAATTTAGAGGCACTTTTATATTGCCTATACTGCAAAAACTCCCAGGGTTTTCTGAAAAGAAAAATATGCATAGTTATGGGGGTTCCCCCTTCAATTTGACTAGGGAAATCAGCAATGAAGGTGGTGGATATTGAAATGTTTAAAATGAGAACAGCAGCAACATTGTCGGCCTTGAAAAATTTGGGATTAGAAGATTGAGGAAGAATATAACCAATTAAACTCTCCTCTCAGTACTTCCTATCTGATCTTCATTAGCTGCGAAACATTACTCAAACCCCTCAGCCTCTTCACTGGCTGCAATCCTTAATGAATTTACTCTCCCTGAAGCAATCTTCTTGACTTCAACTGAGTTAACCTGGATCGAGTGGTCTGTGGATTTGTAGGCAATCACTTGCTGTTCATATCTTTATGCTACCCCACCCAAAAGAAACAAGAAACGGATGTTGGCTTATTTCATGGGCGGATGTTCTGTATTATTTTATTAATACGATCGCTGCAAGTTTGTCATGGCCTTTGGCTGGAACAATAAACTTATGAACTAGAAAAAATAAAAACCCTTAAATTAGGGGGAAAGTAGAAGTAAGGGGTTTCAAGGATAACTCCCACAGTATAATGTTTTATGAATGACAATGCTTTATGTTATCTGTCATGGGTATATTCAGTGTTAATGATACACCACATCTGGGATGTCAAAATGTATTAGAGCAATGAAGGAAAATGTAAACTAAACCCCACTGTCTTTAGAGTGGGAAAAGGTATCTAGGGTAGTACAGAGATTGCAGAAGCCCTCATGAATGAGTAATAAGTGTTTTAAGCTGGCAGCAAGAAACATACCTTATGCGGATAGCAAAGAATTGCAACCAAACCTTCTGGTGTTAATTAGGACAAAAGAGTGTTACCCGCTGCAGAAATTGGTGATAAAATCCTCTGATTTTATTTACTGTGGAGTGCTATATACTAAAAATTAAGCATATCAGTGACAGTAGTAAAAAAATAAGTAACATGACAACATCCAAATGGGCTGTTCAATGATAAATGTGTTTCTCTTGAAAGATTTAAAATGCAACAAAAATGTCAGAGAAAGAAGCCAAAGGTAAGCATTTCCAAGCCCAATTGAATTCAGTAGGAAAAAACCTATGTGCACAAGTAACATTCGCACTGAGACCAACGGGACTTAGATATGCTCAAAATCATGCCCATTATTTCCAGCTTTTAGATAACTGTGTTTTGCACACACAAATACTAAGGGCTCATCCACACTTACCTTTTCTCCACTCTTCACAGGCATGGCCCCTGATCTGAGGCTTCATGTCCAAGCACCCCCCTTTGAAGGTGACCCAGAAACTACAACTAATCCAGAATGCAGCAGCTAGACTGGTGACTGGGAGTAGCTGCCAAGACCACATAACACTGGTCTTGAAAGACTTACATTGGCTTCCAGTACGTTTCTGAGCACAGTTCAAAGTGTTGGTGCTAAACTTTAAAGCTCTAAACGGCCTCAGCCCAGTATAACTGAAGGAGCGTCTCCACCCCCATCGTTCAGCCTGGACACTGAGGTCCAGGACACTGAGGTCCAGCTCCGAGGGCCTTCTGGTGGTTCTCTCACTGTGAGAAGCCAAGTTACAGGGAACAGGGCAGAGGGCCTTCTCAGTAGTGGCACCCGCCCTGTGGAACGCCCTCCCATCAGATGTTAAGGAAATAAACAACTATCTGACTTTTAGAAGACATCTGAAGGCAGCCCCGTCTAGGGAAATTTTAAATGACTGATCTTTTAATGTACTTTTAATATTTTGTTGGAAGCTGCCCAGAGTGGCTGGGGAAGCCCAGCAAGATGGGCAGGGTATAAATAATAAATTCTTCTTCTCAGTGCTCTCGTTTCAAAACCCCACTCTTTAAGGCTCAATTGGAGCAAACAGCAATCTGTGGAAAACCCAGACTGACATTTGCTGTGATTCAGCAATAAAGAGCGGGTTTTCGTGGGGAAAGCTTGGGACAAAGCAAGCAAACAAAAACCCTGGAAATAAAAGGCAAAAGGTATGTGTGGATAAGCCCCAAATCCCTACCTTAAGTAGACAAATTTCAATTTTCTATAAAGATCTAGTTTATAGAAGTAAGAGGATCAACTAGTAAAGCTCATTATGGCAGGTGGAGGAAGACAGAAGGACCTGTTTAGTTAAATATATTATTGTAGGGAATGCACTAAATGGATCAGTGGCCCATGCAGATAGCATTGCCTGCATTTTCCATTCAACTTGATGACCTTCCGCACAAGAAAATTAATGTGACCAAGAGATGGAATTGAGGAATTGGCCTTTGCAGACAGTGCTAGAACATTTGTTGGCTGCATTCTCTCCCTCAAAGTCCTTTTGTACTTCATAAAATTCACACCCACCTCACCAAAGGCCCTTGAACATTATTCTGGAATCGGCATTTATAAGCTTCCTTAGGAAACGGGGTGATTTTCAGTTTGATGTTCCTAGAAATTATTTGTACTGATGAGGCGAATCCAAATGATCCATTTTTAATCAAGGGATTCCTGAAGTGAAGTACTGTGGTGAGAAGAACCAAAACAGATTGGTCTTTAGCCTTAATTAACATGACAGTGTCTCTCTCTAAAAAAAATGCTAAAGTCAGGCATTTAGGAAGAATCAGGAGCCTGGATACCCTCTGTAAATGCTTTCTGAGCAGAGTTCAAATGGGTTTTTCCCCCTTATACAAAGCTAGCAAATCTTCTTTCTTTCCTGGGATGTCTTTGTTCCTAACATTGTGGCCACTGTGGAAGGTCATCACACCTCCTGGCCACATCTGAAGTAGAGAGCAGTGGAGGGTCTGAAAAACACCAGGGCACTTGTTAGTTAAGAACTCTTGAGTCTCTAATGAAGTACTAAAAAGTTAATCACTGAAAAGGTGGCCTCCTAGGAGGATGAGAATATTTGGTTTAAAAGCAAAGCTTGGGCTGGAGGAAGGAGCAAATGCATCTGTTTGTTTTATTAAGGACTGCAGAGAACATACTAGAGAGTTTAACTTAAAATATGCACAGCAACATGCCATGACTGAATTCATTGCTGTCTGACAACACAGACAATGCTCTAGATATGCAAAGTATTATATTTAAAATTATAGTTGCACTGCACATCAAAGGGGGTGTGTGTTTTGTTCTTTGTTGCAACCAAAACAAAAAACAAAAAACCCACCCACCCCACCCTCACATTCCTGAGCTCTAAATTGAAAGTAATTTAATAGTCATATTTAAATGCATGAACATTATTTATAATGGGTTTCTGAAAAGCAGTTTGGCTGAACAAATGACAATAAAACAGTGCCTGAAACAAATTTACCTACCGTACCTATTATCAGTAAGCAGCTTATATTTTATGGAAGGATTATTTCACAACTAGGACAAGGCTTTCAGAATAGGGTTAGAAACACCAAACAGTTTCGAACACAAAGAATTACAAGTGCATCTCAAAGTACCAGTGTGCCATGGAAAAGACACACTTAATTTACCATCGAACATTTCAGCAGTCAGTGAAATCTGTTTGAGTCATTCTTACCAGGGATGACACATCTTCCACCCCCAACCCCCTTTAGAGCAAAATATGGGCTGGAATACATTGCTTCTTGCTCAGTAGGAAGAAGTAATTCTGACATCATGTTTACCCCAGCAACCTCTCACAAAAAACAATTCATGCCCTCAGTAATTCCTTCAGAATGGAAACCAGTCAGTTAAGGGTGTCAACCTGTAAACTATTTTTATGTACAGATAACAGTGCTGTACACGTTTTTACACGGCTTACAATAAAGGGGCCCATTCAGGGAAGATTTCTAAGTTGGGGTGTGTGTGTGTGTGTGTGTGTGTGTCCTGCTTTATTTGGCAAGTATGTTTATTGCAGTTAGTCTGGTGTTCCACTGTTGTTTCCTATTTCATTTCACTTTTAATTTACATTCCACCTTTTTATATTACTATACACAAGGAGGTTTACAAGCTGAAATGATGATGATGATGAATATAACATGTGGAAAGGAGATCCACTTCTCCTAACACTTAGTGATATGAAGGATGCATGTGATGGGGAACTGTGGCTCCCTGGCACATATCCATTACGCGTTAGGAGACATGTGTCTCATTCCTACAGTTTTAAGTATTTTACTGCAGCAGAGGCGGATTTACGGGAGCATAACTGGTTCAGTCACACAGGGTGCAGAGACTTGGGGGTGCTGCAACTATTACACAGCATGGAAGGCAAGAGGTGGGGGGGGGTTTGCCAAATTTTGGCATCACACAGGGTGTCACTGAAATTTGAGACCTCAAGGTCTGCCACCAACTGCAGCCTACACTAGTTTAGCCACAGCAAACATTGTTTCTGTGCAAAGTGGCCAAAAGGCCAGAGACAACAAGCACAGGTTCCACTTACCAGGAAATTATTAAAAATATTATCTTTGCAATAGCTTCCTCCACACTGTCTTCCATGCTACTGAGCAAAACAGCAGAGGAAAGGCAGAATAGAATGTGTCACCAATAACATACCATCACTTCTTTGGATTACATCACAAAGAAGTCCACAAAGACCCACATCTGGAATGTGGACTGTTTGGAGCTCTATATGAGTGTCCTGCATCTTCTGCAACTGGCTGTGCCCCATCAGAAGCCTCAAACAGACACACCTTACTACCATCTGAGATGAGAATGGCAACAGCCTGTTTACACCGGACGTTAGACTTATTTTAATGTGACCTCCCCCCACAGCTAATCTAAATACTTTGGGTCAGTGTTTCCCAAACCTGGGTCTCCAGCTGTTATTGGACTACGACTCCCATCATCCCTGACCACTGGTCCTGCTAGCTAGGGATGATGGGAGTTGTAGTCTACACACAGCTGGAGACCCAAGTTTGGGAAACACTGCTATAGACCTAATATTTAGCATAGAAAAATGCTGTCCACTGAAACATGTTGGTTTCTTTTTAACTTAGTTGCCATTCAAGCAGCATCTGTTGTTTAACTGTAGTTTTATTGTACTTCTATTTTGTTGCAGAAAAAGCCAAACGCAGCAGTTTGACTTCACCCCCGAGGTGCACTCTACTGTCTCTCAAGACAGATGGATGGCAACAACATTTTGTGTGTGTGTGTGTGTGTGTGTGTGTGTGTGTGAACCTTGTTATTTCATTTGAAGGGAAGTATAATTTTAAGTAATAAATATTACTAAAAACAACAACAATAATTAATAACACGCTGTACTGGGGTTAGTTTGCAGAGTCAGCTCCTGATCATCAAATGCTGATAAACCAGGTAATGATAATATATGCATATGAGCCAGTCCAGTAAGGGTTTTATGTGTGGGTTCAGCTCAGAACAGGAGAATCTCTTTTAATAGCAGGGTTCACTTGATTTGATTGCTTACAGTGAATTTTGTAAAATATGTAGGAAAGGCAACATCTGGTTTGGTTTATATCAGCTGTTTACATAGAAGACACTGGAACCTACCACCTGAAAAAATATTATAATCCTCATTCAAAGGGAACTTGTCTCAGAGTACTATAGGGCACATCAGAATCTGCAATTAGCCAGCTTTTCACCTCTGGGTGCTGCTACACTTGGGAATAAATAAAAACACGAATCCTTTAAGAACAGCTCAAATGTAATTTTTGTTTTAGGAAAACATACATAGAACTATTCTGAAAACTGATGGGTCTCTTTTATACTTGTCTTTCCTGATTCATCCTCTATGTTTCATTTGCAGTTGATGTCTGATTAAACAATCACCAGGCTATTGTGGTTAGGAAGACTACTGCAACAGTGCATTGCTAAAAACTGAACAAGCATAAAAAGCATGTAGTAGCCCTTTGTGCCGATTTTTTAAATCCATTGATCTCTTTGATAAATCAGAACTAAAACAGAAAGACAAAGGTGATGTTTTCTAGGAATGATAAAGTCAGAAATCAACCTTCTAAGGTTACAGTCCCAAGCACATGTTAAGTAAGTCCAAGGAAGTGAGTTGAACTTCTAAGTAAACATGGATGGGATTGAGTTTTAAGAGGTGGCTTTACACAAGTCCAACTGCCAAGGGTAACATGATGAGTATGGGGGTAACATGAAGGAAGTGGCAATCGCTTCCTGCACTGTCTTGAAAATCTGAAGAGAGAGTGTGTGGCGAAAATAAAGGGCTTACAATGTGGCTGAATTCATACTGAAAAAATGCTGTATTGAAAATAATATGCCGTTTCTACTTGTGATTTTTGATCTGCAGGGACTCATTCACATGTGCAAATCCTCTGAAGTCTACAGTCATGTGATTATCACTTATGTCAGAATGGTCTCTGTCCAGTTACAGGCATCACCTACTCTCGGTTTTTAAGGAGTGGCCACATGCCTAGTAGTTGTCTGCTTCCACTTCATTTTCAAAAAAAGGCCCTCTGAATTTCCTTCATCTTTACTGTCTGTTAAATGCTGTCCTTTGAAGTGGGTGGGGGATTTTGAGAAGCCACAGACGAAATGCAGTACAGTTTCAATTCCAAATCCTGGCTTAAAACAAACACCCTCTTAATTGCTTGTAGTGCATTTCCTGGCTGGGATTCCGGGGGGTTTTCCCAGCCAATTCTTCAAGCAAACTACAAAACTACACAGAATGCCAGTGAAATTGTGAAAGCTGTTTACCCTGCATTTCTGAAGATGGAGCAATGCTAAAATCAGTGCTCAACATCTTCTAAAGCTGGGGTCTCCAATGTGGCACCCATGGGCGCCCTGAGACAGCCACCTTTCCATTTTCCTTCTGTTAAATTAGTAGTCTATGGTCTTCACAACTGTTTTTTGGATTTCCAAATGTGGTCCTGGGCTTAAAATGATTGAGAACCTCTGTTCTAAAATTCTCAAGTTTTAAAGCACTAAACAGGCTGTGACAGGATTCCAGAAAATGTGCAAGAACCCATAAAAGAAAAGAAACTTCTGCCCTCAATTTCATAATGAAATTGTCAGTTTTGTGGACTTTTTGGCTGACCTGGTCCTCTTCTATGGCATTTGGAGAACCAGTGCAATAACTTTATTTCCAAATTCTTTCAAAACCTCAACGCAGATATGTCTTTAACAGCTTTCACTTGTGTTTGTAGGAGGCAGGGTGGAGTATTTGTGGAAGGTGAAAGAAAACCATAGTCAGAAGTATTTATGTGAGATTGGTAAGGAACCATCAAATAAATCCCAGGATCAGGTTGTTACCATGCAAACACATATTCTCCCAGTCTTCTCTTTCATATAAATCCCAGGATCAGGATGCTACCATGCAAACACATGTTCTCCCAGACTTGTTTTAAGGTCCAGCCTTTGTTTTTGTACTTGCACTTATATTTGCCTCCCCCATGTATGATTTCCTTCTATAGAGTACTAATGTTTCTGCTCTCTTGTTTTGTTACAGACGTGTGGTGGTTTTATGTCGACTTTATATTTTCTGTTTGTTCTCCATACAACCGGGGGGAAAATTTAAAAAAAAATGTTTTTAAAAATATTCAGGAAAATACAAATGTACTTCTTTTGGCTGTGAAAAGTAAAAAATAAACAAACAAGTTTCCTTCAGCTTTGCAGCCTAGTAAATGTATTTCCTTTTAAGTGGGAACATGACATGATGATACTTTGGTTAGAGTGGGTTCCTTAAAATGATGACTCACAGAGGTACATTTAAAGCGCTTGAGAATCAATTCTTTTCGTAAGCTCTTAAGCATTATTTCAAGCATGAAATGCACTGGTTAACTAGCAAGTAATAGTGAAGGCATATCCATGTAATAGATGCCATAATATTTTCCTTTCAAAAGCCCAGCCCTCGACTGAGTTGGAAAACCCCAGTGTTGGGTGTTAACGATGATGCTGAACATGGCATGCAGCCCTATTATATGCTATCAGGAGGAAATATCTTCTGCAGCTGTTGCATGAAGAGGAGGTACCCAGACTCAGCAATGGATTAGTGAATGTTGCTGCCACTACAGCAGGGGTGGGGGACATTTTTCAGCCAAAGGACCATCCCTTTCTGGCCTACCTTCTTAGGGCCACACGTGTCAGTGGTAGGTGGGACCAGAGGGAAAACTGGGTAGAGAATGAATGTCAGGGTGGGTGCCTGGAGCAGGTCGGAAACAACTCAGACGGTGTCAGTGAAGTTAATGAGCTTTATTCAAAGGAACAAAGCAGCTCAGGAGGCCAGGCCGAGTGAGCACAGCAACTCTTCCCAGTAGATGTCTCATGGAGGTACTCAAATGATAAGTGCAGGTTCTGGATTGGTTCACTCGGGGAGAGGTGGTCCTTCAGGTATTGTGGTCCTGAGCCATTTAACGCTTCATAGGTCAAAACCTGCACTTTGAATTGTGCCCAGACACTAATTGGCAGCCAGTGCAGTCAGGCTAGCATTGGCATTATACACTCAGTAGTGCAGCCAACATAAATAAAACATTCAAGTGTGCGTGTGTGTGTGTGCAGGTAAGCCCTGCCCCATATAATTGACTGACCTTGGCATCTAGGAGTTGGCTGCTATGTGCCACAGTGAGTAAACTGGCCATCAAATTCTGCACTAGGCGAAGTTTCTTAACTGTCTTCAGAGACAGTCTTATGTATAACATTGAAATGTGTATAGCGTTGCAATAATCTAATCTAGAGGTTACCAGAGCACAGATAACAGTAGTTAGGCTATCTCTGTCGAGAAAGGGATGCTGTTGGGCCAGCAGCCAAAGCTGATGGAAGCCATGCTACCAAGGCTGCTTGAGCCCCAAGGGATAGCAATGAATACAGAACCCCTAAGTTGCATATAAAAACAGACTACAAACAGTGCATTTGTTGTTTTAGGCAAAAACACAGTCAGCTGACAGTGATATCAGTCATTCCTCTGTATGCTGAAGAATGCATACAATGCCATTGTGATATAATAATATTAGTAGACACATATTGCATCCTGCAAACAGATATGAGGGGTATGTAGCAGCTCTGTGTATACCTAACATTATGAAACAAATTGGTGTGATTTGGGGAGAGGTTCTGACTATTCTGAGCCAGATCGCACAGTTGACAAGTTATCTTGAGTCAGATCAAAGACTCCCTTAAATTCAGAGTGGCTCTGTAGCCTCAGCTGCCCACAAAATGTGCAACCATTTGTTTTTGTTTTCCAAAACTCAACAAACCAACTAAGAAAACACCCAGAACTTGAGAGGGAAAGTGGTGGTGGGATCTTACATCTTGAAAAACTGGTTTAGCTTTTCATCACAGTGAATTATTTCCCAAGGGCATTCCAATCACATTGATTTGGGGCAAGGGATTTAAAACTGTGCTTTAGTTTAGTCTATCATAGTATCCCCCAAAATTCATGGGAGGCAGAACCCCACCCCCACCCCTTGAGGTAACAGGGCCCTTGCCAGGAGATTAATTCCCAATGCAACCCCGTGCCCCCCCCCCCCCCCGTGATTCTTATTGTACTCACTCCAAAACAGTAGTCTTCTCTTGGGAGAGAACCATTATAACTATCCTTCTAAAATCTGTCAGGCTTCATCCCATGTCTGCAAATGCATCCAATTCTGGCAGAAAAAGAAAAAGGTGCCCTACATGAAAATCCTGGGACGTATCCACCTACAATTTGGTAAGTTAAATCCACTTTAGAAAAGCTGCTATGCCTGCAAATTCCATCCACTCTGTGAAAAAGAAAAAAGTTATAGCCACTTCAGATTTCCTATTGTAGTGAATAGGGTGTATGGGATCAGAACTTCATTTTTAACAGATCCGATTTGGTATCAAATAACAAGTCAAATCGAAAAGACACAGTGTGGCTTCCAAACAAGTCATGCTGCTTCCCAACATGATAGATACAAATCAAATCTTGTGCCTGGTGCACATCCCCAACAGATACCGTACATTCCTAGCTGACACTGGAAACCCCTCTCCCTCCATTTTTTTTTTTTTAAGAATATTTATTCCAATTTTAAAAATTACAGAAAAAGAAAAAAGTAGAAAAAGAAAAACAAATCACATACATCTTATACAAAAAACAAACAATACAAAAGAAAAATGCAAAAGACAAAAAATCACCATAAAAAGATAACCAAAAATCAAATTAAACCTTTAAAGCCGTTTTCCCATTTACTTATTTCCGTGACTTCCTCTCACCTCTCTGCTTTGTATTCTAGTTTGAATCGTATCTCCAGCAAATCCTTCTAACCTTCTTTTCATTTACTTATTTTAACATTCGAAAGTATTTAATTCTCCTCTATCTTTATTTTACACTTCATATTTACTTATTCCATTATACTCTGTCTGCCAATACGGTCTAATATTCTTCTCCAACCTTTTCTAACATTCTTTTATATTACAGTATTTCTGAAGATATATTTTAAATTTTTTCCAATCTTCTTCCATCGACCCTTCTTCCTGATCTCGAATTCTGCCGGTCATCTCAGCCAGTTCCATATAGTCTATCACTTTTCTCTGCCATTCTTCTCGGGTAGGCAATTCTTGTGTCTTCCAGTATTTCCCAAAAACAAAACTTCCCGCTGCTGTCGCATACATAAAGAAATTCCTGTCTTCCCTTCGCACCAATTGGCCGACCATGCCCAAGAGGAAGGCCTCTGGTTTCTTCAAGAAAGTATATTTCAATACCTTTTTTAGTTCATTATATATCATTTCCCAGAAGGCCTTGATCTTTGGGCACGTCCACCAAAGGTGGAAAAAAGTACCTTCATTTTCTTTACATTTCCAACATTTATTATCAGGCGAATGATAAATTTTTGCTAGCTTGACTGGGGTTAAGTACCACCTGTAAATCATTTTCATTATATTTTCTCTTAAGGCGTTACAAGCCGTAAATTTTTTACCTGTTGTCCATAACCATTCCCAGTCAGCAAACATGATATTATGCCCAACATCTTGCGCCCATTTAATCATAGCAGATTTAACCATTTCATCCTGTGTATTCCATTTCAACAGCAGGTTATACATTCTTGACAGGTTTTTAGTTTTAGGTTCTAGCAATTCCGTTTCCAGTTTAGATTTTTCCTCCTGGAAGCCAATCTTTTTATCTAAATTAAAAACCTCCCTTATTTGATAATAGTGCAGCCAATCTCGAACTTTAGTTTTTAATTTGTCAAAGCTCTGCAATTTTAATTTATCTCCAACTTGTTCTAAAATTTCACAATATTTTGGCCAGTTTGTCTCCATATTTGTTTTTTTCAGAGCCTTAGCCTCCATTGGTGATCGCCACCTTGGTGTTTTACTTTCCAACAAATCCTTATATCTCACCCAAACATTGAATAATGCTTTCCTGACAATATGCCCTCTCCCTCCATTTTAAAGCACTTAAAAAGCATGAAAGATGCTATTTGGCATGTCCCACTTTCAAACTTCCATTAAAAAAATTATCCTCCCCCTAATCCAAAGTTAATTCACATGTGCAAAGGGGCAACTCCTGCAGCTCAGCAGTCTGTTCTTTCTGTACCTTGGCTTGCTTTGTGTTGGGCTTGGACATTATGAAGCAGATTTTATTCTCTATTATTCTCTATCATCTTTAGGCAAGAGAAGTTGGAAGGTACCTATTCAGAGACCTCTACTGTGATGAAGAAATGGTGTGTTATGGGTGCACCAAATTTACGAGCATGACTACCATTGATTTCAATGTGGCTACTCTGAGTAAAATTTAGTTGGATACAATCTAGGGCTTCCAGTTCAGAAGGGAGGTTATCCAGGCTTGGTGGTGTTCCAGCAACTCTTTTAATACTCTTTTGGTACAATATGCATAGCAATAACTTAGCAAATCTGGGTTTCCTGGATCATACTTCATTCAAAAAATGTCAAACTAAATGACTTTCATATTCTTTAAATTTCTATGGGTTGCAGATAGCCTTGGTTCAGATAAATTGAATTCTACTGTAATCCCCGAGTACTTAAAGGATTTTGAACATTATCTTGATAATTATTTTGTCTTCTCTTTACTCATTTACTGACTTATATAGGATTTATAGTATTTTTTACTGTGAGAGCTTCCCCTGCAAATAAGCAATCCCATTGAGACTTCATATATTACTGTTTTGGAGCATCTTTCTTGCTATGGTAATATTTCCTAAATTGCTTTTGAACACAGTAAAGAATTCAAATGCTAAGTTCTCAAGGCATTAAGGATCAGCTGGTGCCTCCTGCAAAACTCTTGACAAAATCCCATTAAGGAAGGAGGGAGGGAATTCTGCTGATACAATTCATCATACTGTGCATTTATCTAATTCTTTTCCCCCTCAGTGCTCATTATGAATTTTAGTAGTGAGACAGACATTTCACTTCTAAATATTTCAGTAATGTCAACAGCTTATTGGTTCTTCATATTCTCAAGCTGAGATCCACCACAGACCAAACATCTGTCAACCCAAAGGAATTGGGTTTGGAGGTACTGCAGTATCTCCCCCACCCCCCTTTAAACATGGTATCTGAAAACAGAAAAACCATAATCTTGAACCTATCTTGCCAATGAACAGAAGGGTTGAGAATAGTATGCACTGATCAGTTGACTATGCAAGTCAAAACTTGCCCCAGATCCTATTTGCACGAAAAAATGTAGAGGATGATGATGATTTAATATCAATGCACACATCACAGTGGCCATGTTATCCATGTCCAGGAAAGGGTGCAGTTGATGCACCAGCTGATGATAGGCATTTTTTTTACCATAGAGGCCATAAGGGCCTCCATGGATAAATATGGTCTCAAGAACATCCTACACTTTCAGAGGGAGTGCAACCATATCTAGAACAGGCAGACCTGGGAATCACTTACCCATAGTGAAGCAGGACTCAGCTTCAATCTATTGATCCTCATCTACTCCACCACTGTATCCAGTCATGTGTTCAGCTTATGCATGGCCTCCCCTGACTCAGATTTAATGGAAAAGTAGAGCTGTATACATGTAGTCCCCTGATGCTATTCTCTGGTAACGGTCATGCAAGAAGGAGCAGAACAGTGCCTCCAACTCCCAACAGAAATGCTCCATTGACTATGGTCAATGGTGTCAAAAGCCACTGAGATATCCAATGGTAGCAGTAGGGTTGCACTCCTCCTGTCTCTCCCTTGAATGAGCTCATGTCAGGGTGAACACGGCTGAATTTATGCCCAACACATGCCTGAAAATGGCAGGAATGCCTGGAATGGCTCCTGGTAATCTGTTTCCTCCAATAGTGACTTTAGGTGAACTGCCGCTGTCTGCTTGAGCCCCTTACTCAAAAAGGTGGTATTAGACACTGGATGATAGTTGTCAACACCTCAGGGTCTAGGGAGGGTTTTTCCAGGAGGGGGCATAGTACTTCCTCATTCAAGACAGTTAGGACAACCCAGCACCAAAATTATGTGTTAACCATCACCTGGACTTCCCCTGACTAGATCCTCCCCACTTGCCAGCTTGAATGGACAAGCCGGGATAGGCAAGGGTCAAGAGGTGGAATGGACACTTTGAAGCACAATGTCAACATCCTATGGCCTCAATAGCTGGAACAGATCCCACAGAACTGGATAAGACAGGATAAGACAGGAAGCTCACCAGCAGAGGCTACCATTTGCCTTCTCCATGTGCAAATCAGCACATGATGCTGCTGCACATAAACTAGTTGACCTATACATGGGAGTGCTGGTGCAAACTGAAAGGGGCAGGATGCACATAACTGCATAAAAGCTCTCATTTCCATGCAGAATGCAGGCAAAGGAGAACAGGCTCACATGTCTCTCAGTGCAGAAAAGAAAGTGTATCCTCTCATATGTATTGTGCATGATTCTCACCAGCACCACATCTGGTTGCATGTGACCATCTCTGATTGAGGCCAAAGTAATTTGTCCAAGGTCACAAAGTACATTTACAGCAATGCAATGAACTGAACATTGCACCTCCGGATTTCAGTGTAATGTTTCAAACCTTCATGATTTTTAACAAAGTAATACCTTAATGCCATTGACCCCCCCCCCCCAATTTTAAAATGACAATGACAAGATCTCAAACATGATTGGAAGTCAACTCCAACGAGCTTAGTTGGGATTTAATCATAGGAAAGCACTTAAGTGTAGTAACTGATCTCAGAGTACATAACAGAAATGGTGAATCTAAGCAGCATGGATGCAACAGTACCGAGACATGGCCACTAGAAGGGAACCTATTTTAAGGTCACATTCCTGTGTGTATCTACTTAGGAGTAAGTTCCATAGTATTCTCTGAGGTTTATTTCTAAGTAATCATGCATAGAACTAGGCTGCATGCTAAACAAATAACAGGATATAAGAATAAAACAAAAGTAACAATGGTTGCAGCATAAATTTATGACCATGTCTCAGTCAAACCTAGACCCCTTGACCCTTTCTCATTTGAATAACTTATCACTTAACTTAACTTAATAACTTATTGAATAACTTATGTATATAAGATATATACATTTTATCAGTCTGACAGATCTGAGCTACAAATCCAGGTAGGTGTGGATTAAATAATCTTAATTCACAGTGTTCAGTTAAGTGAGCTGCAGACTGCAAGTGAGGCTTCTTAAAGCATTTACCTGTTCGGTAGTGTGCAGCTATAATGAGGACAGGTAAGAACTTTCAAAGTTCTGAAGATAATTGGCTTTGCTACTAAAGGGTTGCAAAATCAAAATTATCTCTCATTTCTGAAAGGATAAGGATCAAAATGATCCTTAATGGTGACAACACAAAAAAATCAAAGCGTTGGATTTTTTGTTGTTGTTATTGCTAAAAATAAAATAATAAATTACAGAAAACCAACAATATGCTATTGTATAATTCTTAATAGGGAGAATTCCACTTCCAGTGGAATATCAAGGGCCTCTTCAAATTTCCTTCAGTTGGCATTTCCTTCATTTGGTTCTTTTATGCAGTGGGTGCGCTGACCCCCAATCTGCAGAGGCATTTGGGAATATAAAAAGATAATTTCACATCCACTGTTTCCCCTTAGCTGTAACAAATTAGCTACATTTTATACTTTTGTCCAGCTCTTTTTATGAGCATGGAGAGTTTAAACAGAAAGCATTCACAGTACATAGATTAATTAGATGTTTCATTTAGGGTGGGGGGGGAGGAAAATGAGTTGCAGAGTATAATATAAAACACAGCAGGCTTTGACTTTCTGCCTGAAAGCGGTTTTAAAGAAATAATAATAATTAAGAGGGAAATGAACAGCACATGGTATTCTATGCATAAATCAGAGATATTAAAGGCAAATATTTGCTTTTAGATTATGAAGAACTGAGATTTAGCCATAAAAAAGGACTTGAGATGTTAATTTAGCTAAACATGAGCTCTAATCAGTCATTCGTCCTGCGTCTTATTCCATGGCCACGTGTAACAAAAATCAGAGGCAATAGTATTATAACTCAACCTTTCACTGCAAGATGGAATTGGGAAGCATCTCCCCCTCCTTATCTCTGAATCCCTTTGCACACCTCTAAGCCCCATCACACATTTAGAAGAAGCAGTTAGAGAGCTGTATGGAATGCAATAAATTAATCTGGACTTAGTGGGTGGATAAAAGGTTCAGATGGGGTTTGTTATAGACCTGGAGAATGTGAAGAAAGAGGAAAATGGAATCTTGCATGAACATAATGGGAAAGCAAACAGAGGCAGTGAGGTGGTGATGGCAGCTTTTTGTATTTTAAATACTGGTATTTAAACAGCAAAAATCCAACTTCAATCATCTGAGTGCAAACAAATATTGAAATACTGCTGCCCTGACTTCAGAGACCCAACAAATAAGAAGTTGTGTCCTCGGACAGTGACACACAGCGGCCCAAGAGCATCAACATGGGAAAGTGGGGTGGGGTGGGGGGGGAGGAATTCCGAACCAATTCTAGGCAGCTACAAATTCAAATGTCTCACACTACAGCAATTAAATCAAGAATGAGTTCGAAGTTTAAATAAGAGAATATGAATTAGTTTAGAACTATCCCCAAGGCATTGCAACCAGTGTACAAGACAGCTACTGATAAGTGCGACTGGAATTCAGCTGTCATGGAATGTGGGAGTCAAATACGGGACTGGCTCCCTCCAATGCAGTGTTCCAAATGGCCTATTTTTATGTGGTGATATCACAGCAGACAATTCAGGATGCACCAAGAAGTCTGCTAAATGAAAAGCTAAGGATTTTTTGTTTAAAAAAGTATACGTTGTGTAGTCAGGCAGTCAGAACTTTTAGATTAAACTAGCTAGTCTTATTTGTTCACCACATTTGTCCTCCTTCTTCCAAGAGGGTTGAGATAGCATACATGGGAGTAATTCCAATTAATCCAGAAACCAGCAACTAGACTGGTGACTGGGTGTGGCCGCCGGGACCATATAAAACCGGTCCTGAGAGACCAGCATTGGCTCCCAGTACGTTTCTGAGCACAGTTCAAAGTGTTGGTGCTGACCTTTAAAGCCCTAAACAGCCTCAGTCCTGTATACCTGAAGGAGCATCTCCACCCACATTGTTCAGCCTGGACACTGAGGTCCAGCGCCGAGGGCCTTCTGGCGGTTCCCTCACTGCGAGAAGCGAAGTTACAGGGAACCAGGCAGAGGGCCTTCTTGGTAGTGGTGCCTGCCCTGTGGAACGTCCTCCCATCAGATGTCAAGGAAATAAGCCACTATCCTACTTTTAAAAGACATCTGAAGGCAGCCCTGTTTAGGGAAGTTTTTAATGTTCAATGCTGTATTGTGTTTTAATATTAGGTTGGGAGCCACCCAGAGTGCCTGGAGAAACCCAGCCTGATGGGTGGGGTATAAATAAATTATTATTATTATTATTATTATTATTATTATTATTATTATTATTATCATCCCATTTCCATCTCATACAACACTGTGTGGAAAGCTAGGCTGAGGTAATGCCTTGCATTGGGAAACCTATGTTCAAACCCTGACTCCACCTTAGTGGATAGTCTTGGACTTGTGAACCAAATCCTGTGGCTTGGTTCACATGTAACCATAAAACTATTGTTTTAAACAAACTGAAGTATAATGTGAACAAGCAGCATGTTCGTACACCCTCCAAAGCCATAGTCTGGTTACAGGGAACCAGGCAGACGGCTTTTTCGGTAGTCGCACCAGCCCTGTGGAACAGCTATGTTATTTTTAAAAGACACCTGAAGGCATCCATGCTCAGGTAAGTTTTTAGTGTGTGATATTATATTGTGCTTTTACTATTTTTTGTTGGGAGCTGCCCAGATTGGCTGGGGCTACCCAGTCAGATGGGCAGCATATAAATGATAAAAGTCGTAATAAAATACTTATCTATCTATCTATGAAACACCAGCCAATCAGGTGTTCCCTGCTGCAGGCACCTGTTATATTTAAACACACATTCACATATAGCAAAGTCCCTTTTTTTTTTGCATGTAGGATATGGGTACAAACTAAAAACATAACATAATAACCACAAGTACATAAAAAAAGGATTCATTAGCAGCATAATCAAATTAATGTTTCCCAGTCTGCAGAAGATAGCAGCGAGGAACATAAGAGGTCAGCTGCTATCAGCTCTCTGTACAATACTCTAGATGGCTTCAGAACCCCAGAGATGCTAAGTAAGTTGGACAGTTTAAAATGACTCCAGGACATGGAGGCAGAGTTCACTTGGAAGTCATGAAATTTCACTGCATGTATGATGGCTGCTTTGCGGCATTATAAGAACAAACACTCACGGCACTCACATCAGCAAGCAACTTTGAGACACTGTTCTACCTTCTGTACTTAGCTAAGCTCTTATATTTTTAAACAGCAAGAGAGGGAGAAAGAGGAACCATCAACATGCATTTTTTAAACATGTTCTTTTCTGCAGTTCCAATGCTGAAATCACATTACCTCAAAACTAATAAATGCTTTTCAAAATCTGCCAAAGCAGGAACAGGATTTCTTAGGATTCGTGGCTTCCAGTGCAAAGGGGAGGAGTCCACTTGCTGTGTGGTCAAGTGTTGTTCTATCTCCTAAGCAGGAGTGGAGAGAAGAGCAAGAAGCAGTAGGTTCATCCATGGTGTTCTTTTTGCAAGAGAACTTCCCAAAACATTGTGTCCAATGCATTTTCTGGGGGATCTAGTACAGTGGTACCTCTTCAGGTTCAGGTTACATACGCTTCAGGTTACAGACTCCGCTAACCCAGAAATAGTACCTCAGATTAATAATAATAAGAATAATAATAATTTTTATTTATACCCCGCCCTCCCCAGCCAAGGCTGGGCTCAGGGTGGCTAACAAGCAATAATAAAAACAAGTTGAATGAATACAACTTAAAAACAAGATTAAAATACAACATTAAAATATTGAAACATTAAAATATTAAAATGCAGCCTCATCACAGGAGGAGAAAGGAAAAAGAAAAAAGAAAGAGGGGGAAGGAATCAAATTGACTCCAAGCCAAAGGCCAGGCGGAACAACTCTGTCTTACAGGCCCAGCGGAAAGAAATCAGATCCTGCAGGGCCCTGGTCTCATGAGGCAGAGCGTTCCACCAGGCCGGAGCCAGTGTTGAAAAGGCCCTGGCTCTGGTTGAAGCTAATCTAACTTCCTTAGGGCCCAGGACCACTAGGGTGTTGCTAATTATGGACCTTGAGGCTCTCCATTGGGCATACCGGGAGAGGCGGTCCCGTAGGTACGAGGGTCCTAGGCTGTGAAGGGCTTTAAAGGTCAAAAGCAGCACCTTAAATCTGACCCTGCACTCCACCGGTAGGCAGTGCAGCTGGAAAAGCACTGGGTGAATATGCTCCCATGGCAGAGACCCCGTGAGGAGACTCGCTGCAGCATTCTGCTCCCGCTGGAGTTTCTGGGACAGCTTCAAGGGCAGCCCTGCGTAGAGCGAATTACAGTAGTCAAGCCTGGAGGTGACTGTCTCATGGATCACTGTGGCCAGGTTGGGGCGGGAAAGGTAAGGGACCAACTGCTTGATGCGGCGAAGGTAGAAAAATGTCGTCTTGGCTGTTGCTGTAACCTGTGCCTCCATGGAAAGGGAGGCATCAAGGATTACATCCAAACTCTTAACGGAAGACAATGGCACTAATTGGGCCCCCGCAAGAGAAGGGAGTTGGTCCCTCATCTCCACGCCATCCCGACTCAGCCAGAGAACCTCTGTCTTCAAAGGATTTAGTTTCAATCGGCTCCCACAAAACCATCCAGCCACAGCTTCCAAGCATCTAGTCAGTGTGTCCGGTGCCGAGTCAGTGTGGCCATCCATCAGCAGATAGAGCTGAGTGTCATCAGCATATTGGTGACAGCCCAGCCCAAAGCTCCGGACAATCTGGGCAAGGGGGCACATAAAGATGTTAAAAAGCTTTGGGGAGAGAAATGCACCCTGCAGCACTCCACACACCAAGGAGTGGTGCGACAACATCTCCCTCCCTAGCGCCAGCCTCTGTCCCTGGCCAGAGATAAAAGAGCACAGCCATTTACGGGCTATGCCCTGTATCCCCACGTCAGCGAGGCAGTGGTCCAGAAGATCATGATCGACCATGTCAAAGGCTGCTGATAAATCTAAAAGGATCAGCAGTCCTGACCCACCTCGATCCAGTTGTCTACGGAGATCATCTGTTAGGGCAACCAGAGCTGTCTCGGTCCCAAAACCAGGACGGAACCGAGACTGAAATGGATCTAAAGCTGATGTTTCTTCCAGAAACCTACCAAGCTGTTCAGCAACTGCTCTCTCAATTACCTTACCCAGATATGGAAGATTTGAAACTGGGCGGTAATTGGATAGGTCTGGCTCTGTGGGTAAAACCTCAGTGCCTAGGACTTGCCGATCGTATGGTCGGCGGTTCGAATCCCCGCGGCGGGGTGAGCTCCCGTCGTTCAGTCCCAGCTCCTGCCCACCTAGCAGTTCAAAAGCACTCTTAAGTGCAAGTAGATAAATAGGTACCGCTTTATAGGGGGAAGGTAAACGGCGTTTCCGTGTGCTGCGCTGGTGCTGGCTCGCCAGAGCAGCTTCGTCATGCTGGCCACGTGACCCGGAAGTGTCTTTGGACGGCGTCGGCTCACGGCCTCTAGAGCGAGATGAGCACGCAACCTTAGAGTCGGACACGACTGGCTCGTACGGGCAGGGGTACCTTTACCTTTACCTTAAAGGATCTAGTGAAGTTTTCTTTAAGAGCAGGCACACCACTGCTTCCTTCAGTTCCCCTGGGAATGTCCCCGTGCCAAGGGACAAATTGATAATTTCAACCAGGGGGGTCCGCGCGACATCTGGACACACCCTAATCAGCCAAGACAGGCACAGATCGAGGAGGCAGGTGGTGGGCCTACCAGCTTGGAGGAATCTATCCACATCAGCAGGGAGTATCCGATCGAAATGGTCCAACACTGGACCCGAAGACAGTTGAGGGGCCTCCAGTTCAGTTGCTGTATCTAAATTGGCAGGGAGGTCAAAAGAACTTTGCTTCAGGATAAGAACAGAAATCGTGCTCCAGTGGCGCGGTGGCAGTGGGAGGCCCCATTAGCTAAAGTGGTGCTTCAGGTTAAGAACAGTTTCAGGTTAAGAACGGACCTCCGGAACGAATTAAGTTCTTAACCCGAGGTACCACTGTAGTTACTGTGTCTTACAAGATGGTGTCACATGCTAGGTTATCTCATGATGGGATTTTACAATAACTGGGAGGTGCCCATAAAACTCTCACATCTGTTAGAAGACATTTTACTTTCCATTTTTATTGGAGCCACTTACACTGTTAAAACTTTAGTCTATCTGGGTTGTTGTTTTTTTGCTATATATGTATGCAAGCATATACACATATAATGCAGAGATAATGAGTGACCCAGTGAGCTTTGCAGCTATGCATGGTCCCTCTCTCTCTCTCTCTCTCACTAGATTTAAAAAAATATTTGCACAGAGGTTGCCATTGCTTTAAAAAAAATGCTGACAATCCACACAATAAATTTATTATAAAGATAAATCTGCTGACAATATTTTTTATTATTCTTATTAAAGTTTGTATGCCGCCCTTCTTCCAAACACAAAATACATAATAAAAGCAAGAACCAAAACAAAAACTAACCAATAGCTCAGCTGGTTAGAGCATGGTACTGATAACGCCAAGGTTGCAGATTTGATCCCTGTATGGAATGGCTGCCTATTCCTGCATTGAAGTGGGTTGGAATAGATGATCCTTAGTGTCCCTTCCAACTCTACAAGTCTGTGATTCAATAACACCTCTCCCATTTTATCCTTTTGTACCAGCGGGGACATAGTTGGGTGTCACATGGCCAATTTGGTAAGCCAGGGATCATGGTTTGTTGGTCCTGCTTGCACTGGGAGATCAGCAAAATGAAAGTGATATTTCCATTCACACTAAATGATATAACATGCCAACAGGGCCACTACATCTCTCAGCTTTTACTTTGGATGCAAAAGTCCACAGAATATTAACTGATTATCTTGCTAAATCCTCTTTAATTATTATCCAAAGCATTCATAGGGCTTGTTTTGTGCCAAATGACCATTATCTTAAATTTTAATTTATGTAATGTTCCTAGGCTTAAGAAAATAATTGTGTGATATAAAACAGGACTGACTCTCTTTAAAACACACACACACTCTTCTGTAATTGAGCTGAGCATACTAGTTCCAGCCTTTTCACAACATAATCTGATATGGGACTTTATTTTCTCAAGGGACTCCCTTGATCGTCTCTTTATAGACATTCAGTCTCTGCAAATATGCTTGTGGTTTCTTTATCAGTAATAGTATTAGGCATGAATGCTTTGGTATACAGTATAATGGGAAATTAAAAGGACTCTCTGTATATACATTTTAGTACAATGGGAAGAAAATGAACAAACATTATAAAGGACTCTGCAAGCAGAAAACACTGTCTAAAGGTTTATCTTGCTTTTCTTTTTTAAAGAAACTGGTAATTGAATATATTTGGACAATTTTGTTTCCTTTTTCACCCATTTGAACTTTGCCACTCAATATCTGACTCTCGGTGTTGCCATGGGGAAGATTGTAATGCCATGAATTCAGGGAAGTAAATTTGTATGTGTAGTTGTTTAATTTGACAAAACCATTAACATAAATTAACTCCTTTTATAGTAGATTCTCTTCTGAAACAACTAGATACAGACACATGCATACACATACACAGGATCTCTCTCTTGGCAAGATTGTTTCCAGGATTTGGGGAAATGGGCTCTCTTTACCGGTGAATGTAGATGGACAGACAGCACATGAACCAAATGAGTGCTCAAAGGTACTTCTCCTCATCCACCCCTTTCCATAAAACACTCTCTCTATTCTTTAACCTACCTCCTTGCTCCTCTAAGAAATCCAAATTTGGGATGCAGAGGAAACAAAAGTATTCTCACTTTGTCCTGGGAAACTTGAAACTTTTTGAGAGTTCAATGCTAAATCAAAATAACGGCACAGTCAGATCAATGCATACTCCAAGAATCTCTGGCTCTTGCCCAACCCAACTGATTTCTAGTGCAGTTAATTAGATATCACACCAGTTGAATGTTTCCTGTTTTAGGGAGAACCACCACATTTCCCATTTTGCAAATGCAAATGAATGGATCTTTAGTCTTAACTGTAACTGAACCTCCAGCAGCAACCAAAAGGTTGCACTAGATGATCCTCAAGGTCCTTTCCAGCTCTACAATTCTATGATTCTATGAAACTCATTTTCCAAGTGTGGATCCTTATGAAGCCAAAACCCAGCACCACCCACCCACAAGAGGGAGGTTATCAGGGTTGGAGAAGCAAACCCCTGGCTTAGCATTATAGATAAATTGGGGGTTGTGATCTGTTTTGCCCTAAGCAAATTTCGATAAGGTTTGTTGCTATTTTACTGATAACAGTTTATCTGGAGCAAAATAAACCATATTGCTTCATTCATAATAAGGGTTGTGGTTTGTTTTGTCCACATGATAAACTATGGTTTACTGTAATATGCAAACTGTGTGAAAAAGTACCATATTTTCCCAAGTATAGTACCGTATTTTTCTGCCCCTGTGTATATTTTTGGGGACTACAAATTAGAAAAATGGGGGGAGATTGCCCAGAGTTGGTGAGGAGCTTTTTTGGAGAGGATTGCCCAGAGTTGTTGAGTTTTTTTGGGGGGGGGGGGATAAAGGAAATTGCTCACTCGAATTAACTACACTGCCACTCGCACATCCAATCATCACTAGCCCTTGGCACAGCCACTGATAACACGCCCAAAAGCCTCTGACAATCTCCGGCTCACGTCCCCCCTATGCACTATCCATGTATAAGACGACCCCCAATTTTAAACATAATTATTTTATTAAACAAACCTCGTATTATACGCAGAAAAGTACAGTCCTTTCCTGTTTCTTCCCTGATCTCAGCTTCTGCTGCTAACAAATGTTTTCATTGAGCAAACACCTCCTTCAATGTATTTGAATAGGAAGTAAATCAGATTACACACACACACACAGTATATATGAGGCTATGCACACAAAGTAGTTTAAAGAAGATTTTATACATCTCATATGCACATGTTCTTTGCATGTTCCACATGATGTTGTCCTCATCCCAGTGTCAGCCCACAATTTCCTCCTCAGAATTTAATTATGATTTTCTAGATTTCCTGGATAATGCCATAAGGGGGGAAATCCAACATAAAATCACATGGATGTACTGAACGTAAAATCACGTGGATGTACTGAAGCATATTGTGTGAATGGTTTTGTTTTGTTTTTACAGCTGTGGTGACGTTTTGCTGGGTGCTGTCTATTACTACACCCCCTCCTTCCATTGGCAAGGAGTACCTTGGTGGGCTGCTGATGGAGCCAGGAACAAGAGATGCACTCACACAAACACACGTTTGTAACCTGCTGCTCTGTGCAAGTCTGGTATATTGGAAAACCTGTATCGGGGTGGGGGGTGGGAAGTGGCCACATGCACAGCTTAGCAAATAACTGCACGAATGCCCACAACTGACTTCGGGTTTCCGGAACTCAAGGTGAGTGGGGAATTATTATTTGAGGAGAGGTGACAACACACAGTCAAATGCATCCCATCAAGCACTGCCCACTAGTGTACATAAGAAACATTTGAGTTCAACTGAAAACAATCATGTGAAGATGAACACGCACAAAACCACACATAGATGAATTGGATCTGTGTAACCTACATGCACATTAGCAAGCTGTTGCGCACACAAGTGAAGTATATCAGATAAAATGCAGTGGCAATGAATAAACCAGGATAGAATCAATATGAGATTATGTGTTGTAGTCAATGATAATACTACCCAGAGCAGCCCACTGAAATTAATGGACGTGACTAATTTAGGTCCATTAATTTCCATGGACTTAACTCTTGGGTAGAACTTTGTAATGCTGTATTTAAATTGTTGCAACACATCCTTGGATCTTCTGGTGCAGGGCAGGTAAGAAATCAAATTCATGTTACCATTATTAATCATAATACTAATAAGGGTAAATTGGATACAGCCCTATGTCTGCTAACCCTGTGGAGCTGGATGATTTGTTTTGATGGATGAACTGTAGAATAGAAGAGGAGCACTTCTAAGCAGCACTGAAAAGACAGAATGCAGAGACTGCCTGTTCTTTGCTACAGTCACATGTTAATCTCATATTTGGCTGATGGCCGTGTGTTGTGCCACCCTGTTCTATATTTTGCATGCTGATTGGCTTGTTATTCACTTCTCCCCCAGTTGGAAGCCAGAGCAACTGACGAGGTAAGAGCTGGAAAACAATTACAGTCTATCGAAACAGCCACATTGGTGCTGCGTGTGTTGCAATACTTTATATAATTTATTGGCCATTACTACATTTGCCGGCAATTTTTTTATTTTCTTTTTTAACAAGATCAACATTACGCATTTCTATGAGGACATTTGGGAGGAGACTGGAAACAAGGCTCCAAGAAGGCCTGCTTTAAAGAGTATTACATTTATTTGCTCCACACTGAAGTCTTGGCTTGGTGCTGCTACTAGGTCTCAGCACACTCTGTACATCTATGAGGCAAAAGGACAGATTTGATTGAACTAACTAGTTAAGGTGCTACAAACTTTGCAAACTTGCATATTTGCAAGACAACAGGGGATCAGTTGTTGTGTTGTTTTTAAAATGCAGCTAGTGAATCTTCCAAAACGATGGCTACCAAGCCTGAGCTGCCGCTCTCAACACAGAGGCTGCGAGAAAGCACTGTGTAAATTAGATTATGTAGGGGATTAGGTTACGGTTCTCTCCTAGAGCCTGAAAATCTAACAAGATCTATTTCTATGCTCATCTCTTTTCCTTGAACAAGATAGCATGGCAAGACAGCAGGGCCAATTTGCTCAGTGGAAAGGCACAAACTGTCATAGAGAGAAGTGTATATTCATTCTCTCACTAGGGCAGACTTGTGGACTGTACAGTTTGCACTGGTCTTGTGAGCTGGACTTTGTGCCAATGTTGCAGCTCCCAGTTTCTGAGTTCTTACACCACTTTTGATATTTGACACCTCAGTATGCCACTGAGATAAATGGCAAACTGATGGCAAAGTCACCAGAGGGTGATCTTTTAGGAGACAGTGGTAGCCAGGGGTGTGCCTGTTGGACTACAGCTTGCATTGGATCTAGCCAATGTGGCTAATGGCTAGGGATGATGGGACATGGTCCACAAAATCTGGACGGCACTGTTTTACAAGAAGTGCCCGCTCTTTTGGATGCTCTGATACAGATGATAAGTGGAGAGATTAAAACATACCAAGTGGGTGAATGAGCAGGTGAGTTGCAAACATGTTCACACATGGATAGTCACCACATCCCAAAAAGTCACCATATGGCTGTTTCACTATTCCAGCCAACAAAAGCTGGGAAATATTGCAGACTGATTATGTGTACATGATACAGAGCCACCTAAGCAGCTGTTAGGGATTGATGTGGTGTTAAAAGGGCTGAGGAAAGCCTACCACAGAGATTACAAAAGCTAAGATGAGCACCGCTGCCTTAAGAAACAGTCACCATTTTGAATCTGTTTTGCTCTGAGTTTCTGGTCTACAGCACCCTTTTTATTTTTAGTTTACTCACTGTAAAAAAATATTGCTTGCTATGAAAAAGAGTTAAGATGCTATAAGCTATAAAACACACATCCTAATGTACACTAGTCTTTGTTGCCTTCCAGATGTTTTGGACTACAACTCTCATCAGCCTGAGTTGAAACAAGCCAAGTCCTACCTTGCGGGGATTCCTCGATCATAGCTTTGTCTGAATTCACTCATTGGCAACACGTCCCCAACCTTCCCTGTGAAAGTGAGATGAGACTAAAATCATGCTGTGGTAGAACAATGATTAAAAGGAAAAATGAGATTCCGAAGAAGCTCATTTTTCTGTAGAGTAAGTGCTCTGTAATACACATCCAGACAGGGGTACTGATACCCAACGCAATGGAAATGTCTGTTAGAGTGGCTCCTAACTGCTTATCCATTTAAAAAATTAACATTTAGATTAAAATTTAATTTTTCTCCAAAACCAATCCAGTGCTGCTAAGGTCAGGTTAGCTAGCAAATCTAATTATTTTAGAAATGCAGCCAACTGAATGCATTATAAATAACAACACATTTCCATATTTTTCCATTCCTGATGGGGGTGACAATACATACATGACTTGGAAGTCTTTTAATGACAGCATGGGGAAGTACTTTGGTACTTCAGAGACAGCATTAGCAACCAGTCCACAGGTGTGATTATTTTATATATTCAAAACAGCTAAAACGAATGAACGGAGATGAATATGACAGCAGTAGAAGAGTCCTGCTAACAGTCCTTCTAGTCCAGCATTTAGTTTGCCACAATAGCCAATCAGATGCTTCTAGGAAGCCCACAAGCAGCGCATGGAGATAGCCCACATTTACAGTTATTGCGCAACAACTGGCAATCAGAGGCACTGCGTCCGCACCAGTGTTTTGGGAGTCCCTTTTGGTAAAGCACACTCTGTCAGCTTCCCCCCACTCCCTGAATCTACCTCCTCCTGTCACCACGTGCAGCTGCTTCTGTTCTTCCCCATTTCTTTCACTTGGCTTGCCAGGCTGAGACCCACTAAGCACACAAGCAATGGCATAGAATCATAGACTCATGTACTGCTCCTCTTCCCAGGGGCATAGTACTGTCCACAGGTGCCTGGGGCAGGTGCGCGTCCAAGCAGGGACAGAGTGTGCTTACCCATCCCTCGCCGCTGCCAGCGCTGGGAGGGGCAGAGTGTGGAAGGTGCTCTTCACAGTGTCATTATTATTGTTGATAATTTCCTTTGTATACTGCTTTATATTTCAAAGAAAAAAAATCTCAAAGTAGTTTACAACTTACATTGAAACATCAAATAAAACAATCTAGAATAAAACATTACAGGAGAAAGTCAACTATAAAGCATACATTCAAAGCAAAAATAATTAGCAGGAAACTAAAATGCTATCTTAAAGATTTCGAAATAAAACATTACAAAGGAGGTCAACTACAGAATGCACATTTAACACAGCAAAGTTAACCAAAAAAATCTTCAAAAGAAAACGTTACTAAAGGAAGTCAAATATGCACATTTAAAACAGCATAATTAGCAAGAGACTAAAAATATTACTTTAAGCGTAGAACGTATCTGCTACTGTTGCTGCCAACCCTGCAAATGGTGGTTCATGGCGGCTGTGGATGCTCAGGTTCGATGACCTGTTTCCGAACTAAGGAACAACCAATATGGTCTCTGGCTTCTTCAGCAGCCTAGGCTTTTGCAGCTGGAGTCAGTCAGGGCTTCACCCTCCCAGGCCAGGTGGGAAAAGGCCTGCAAGGCAGGAAGCAGCTGTTCTAGGACTCACAGCCAAGATGATTTCTGGCCTCTTCAGCAGCCTCATCCAGCCTTTTGCTAATGATTCTAAATTGTTCAGGGTCATTAAAATAAAGACAGATTGTGGTGAGCTCTAAAAGGACCTCTCTAAACTGAATGAACGGGAGGTAAAATGGCAAGTGCAATTCAATGTAAACAAGTGTAAAGTGTTGCATGTTGGGGCAAAAACCCATAACTTCACATATACACTCATGGGATATGAACTGGTGCTAATGGACCAGAAACAAAACTTTGAAGTCATACTAGATAGCTTTATGAATATGTTGACCCAGTGAATGACAGTGGTGAAAGAGGCAAATTCCATGCCAAGGATCATTAGGAAAGGAATTGAAAATAAAACTGCTGGTATAATAAAGCTGTTACACAAATCTATGTTGTAACGGCATTTGAAATAATGTGTACAGTTATGGCCACCTTACTTCAAAAATGGATATTGTAGAGTTGGAAAAGGTTCAAAAAGGGGCAGCCAAAATGATGAAAGGGATGATAGACTCCCTTATAAAGAAACATTGTAGCATTTGGGACTTTTTAATTTAGAGGACAAGAAAAAGTTGACATGATAAAAGTTTTAAAATTATGCCTGGCATGGAGAAAGTGGATTGAGAAACGTTTTCCTTCCTCTGTCATTACAGTCATACCTCTTGTTACGTTTGGTTCAGGTTATGTCTTTTCAGGTTGTGTCCCGCGGTGACCCAGAAGTACCGGAAAGGGTTACTTCCGGGTTTCGCTGCTCGCGCATGCGCAGATGCTCAAAATGACGTCACATGCATGCACAGAAGCGACGAATCGTGACCTGTGCATGTGCAGACGCGGGTTGCGTTCTGCTCATGTCCCGTTCGCAACCAGAGGTACCACTGTATAGTAGAACTCATTGACATCCAATGAAGCTGAATGTTGGAAGATTCAGGATGCTAAGATTCAGAGGGTGGGTTTGTTTAGGGAAGTTTTGAATATCTGATGTTTTATTGTGTTTTTAATATTTTGTTGGAAGCTGCCCAGAGTAGCTGGGGAAACCTAGCCAGATAGGCAGGGAAGAAGAAGAAGAAGTACTTATTTACAAAGCACTTAGTCAAACTATGGAACTTTCTTCCACAGGAGGCAGTGATGGCCACCCAACCTAGATGGCTTTAAAAGAGGATTAGATAATTTCACAGAGGCGAGAGCTATCCGTGGCTACCAGCCATGATGGCTATGCTCTGACTCCAAGTGTTGGATGCTTCTGAATACCAGCTGCTGGAAACCACAAGGGAGAGTGCTCTTGTGCCCAAATCCTGTTTGTGGGTTTCCCACAGGAATCTGGTTGGCCATTGCAGGAGCAGGTTGGGCCACTCACCTGATCCAGGCGGCTTTTCTTATGTTCTTATGCATAACTTTAATAAAGTTTGATTGCATCCACTCTTAACTCCCCAAACATAATCCTTATAAAATAGTCAAGCACCCTGATCATTTGGGTTGCCCCTTTCTGCACCTTTTCCAACCCTGCAATATCCTTTTTGAGATGCAGCAATCAGAACTGTGTACATGGTATGTACACAGCATACCATGTGATTTGTTGTTGTTCAGTCGTTTAGTCATGTCCGACTCTTCGTGACCCCATGGACCAGAGCACGCCAGGCACTCCTGTCTTCCACTGCCTCCCGCAGTTTAGTCAAACTCATGCTGGTAGCTGCGAGAACACTGTCCAACCATCTCGTCCTCTGTCGTCTCCTTCTCCTTGTGCCCTCCATCTTTCCCAACATCAGGGTCTTTCCCAGGGAGTCTTCTCTTCTCATGAGGTGGCCAAAGTATTGGAGTCTCAGCTTCAGGATCTGTCCTTCCAGCGAGCACTCAGGGCTGATTTCCTTCAGAATGGATAGGTTTGATCTTCTTGCAGTCCAGGGGACTCTCAAGAGTCTCCTCCAGCACCATAATTCAAAAGCATCAATTCTTTGGCAATCAGCCTTCTTTATGGTCCAGCTCTCACTTCCATACATCATGTGATAATCCCTCCCAATTACTACTGTTTCTCCTAAGATGGGGATGGGATATATATATAGGAAGAAAGCACCCTCCCATTTTGATGTGATTCAGATTCCTAAGCTGTACTGGATATAAATTGTGAACTGGGTTTTGCAAAGAGTTTTAGATAACAAGACTTGAAAGTTACCAGCACCAGCAGTGCTATTTTTGCAGAAAAAGAGGTGCCAGAACTCATCACGAACACCACTCTTGCTCTCTTATAATGGCAATGGCACCCTCCTGAACAGTGCCAGAACTGAGTTCCTGTGAGGTACCAGCTGGGGAAAAACCTGTGAGCAACAGTGAGATAAAGTTATCTTTTTTAGAGATTCATTTCTGCACTCTAGAGCCTTGTAGACAATGTAATTTAAAAAATAATAATTGAAAAGAAGGGTAGCTAAGCATATGGGGGAAGAATCTAATTGTCTCAACAGACTCATAAAGGTTGTCGGTTTTGAGGTGATGCTGATGCCAGCCTAGTTTCACTAACCTTAAAGCCATTTTCAAGCGAGCTGCAGAGAAAGCAGATCAGCAGGAAATAATATCAGTGACTCAGCACTCTGCAGCAATGACCAGAGGGTGCTTGTGCAGAGTCATCTATTTCCTCTGTCTTGATAGGGAGTGGCAGCTCCATTCACACTGCGGAAAAACCTTCTTCCCACACTTCATTGTAACAGACATACACACACAAAAGCAAGCTTCACTGTCAGCAGTGCAGAGGGTGGGTGGGTTGGTTGGTTGGTTTTGCAGATTTAGGAAACTGGAGCATCTATGGTTTATGTATGATATAACTATACTTTGAAAGTAAATGTGTTCAGCAAAGACAACTCTTTTTGTATGAAAGGGACAAATAAAATTATCATTAGAAACTACTTGCCACTGTAAATGTAGTTTTATATTTAACATTATAAGCAAGTTTGAAACAAAAGATATGACTCTAAATGTGCTTTTTTTCATTCCCCATGTCTGAAAATGTGCTCATAAAGCCACATATTGGGTAGCATGGATACAATCTGCCCGGAAATTAATGCCCCATAAAAAACAAGTGTCAGCTTTGGTTCATTAAAATGCAAGTTATCTTATACTTAAACACCTCAAAAAGACTTCTATATTGTAACTATCAAACAAAATGTTAGAAGGGCATTACAAGAAAACTGTCCTTTTATGGCCTTTCTCTTGGATATTTTTTAAGACTGGAAATGGAAAGCACCAGAGATATAATCAAAGAATGAATGTGGGACGTAGAGTTCCAAACTGATTTTACCCAATCTTTTAAAATCTATATATCTCTACACAAATCTGAGCCTTTTGTCCTCAAAATATATTTGTCTTGTCAGGCCCAATCTGGTCTCAGCACTCATACACGTGGAGTATAGCTCAATGCTGATCACCTCAGGCTGCATGGATAATCTACCACCAGATGTCATGAGGCCCTCTTAGTAGTAGCTGAAGGCGAAGAGCAGCTGGTCAGGGCGCTCAACAGCCATGTTGGTCCAGGTACTTGGGCTGGACAGATCCAGCTTGTGTGGGGGAGACTATGTTATCAAAACAGCCTGGAATTTGTCTCCATTCAGCCCTGACAGGTCCTGGCGGCTTCACTTCCAGCTTAAAATCCAGGCAGTGCCGCCACAGTGACCTCTGCCTCCACTTTTGCCTGGGATTATTACAGGTCTGAGGTGTTTAGCATAAGATAACCTGGCTTTAATGAACCAAAGACCCTGTCTTATAAGATTAATTTTCCGGGCTACAGATTGTACATGTTACTCAATACAGTGGCTTTATGACACATTTCAGACATGTGAATGAAAGCACACGAGTCATATCTTGCTCAATCCAGCTATAATCAGTTAAATATAAAACCAGTTATATTTGATATGTATGTTTAATGATACTTTATTTGTCCTTTTCAAATAGTTGTCTGCTGAACACATTTATTTCAGCATCATATCATATAAATCACATTCAGTTAAATCTGTAAATACCACAACTACCACTTCTGAGACAAAGGATAGGAAGGGGAGCACCAGCCATGTCGAGTGTGGGGACAGGCAGCTTCTGCAGTGAATGGGAGCTGCCACTCCCATCAAGACAGAGTCATCTATTTCCTCTGTCTTGATAGGGAGTGGCAGCTCCATTCACACTGCGGAAAAACCTTCTTCCCACACTTCATTGTAACAGACATACACACACAAAAGCAAGCTTCACTGTCAGCAGTGCAGAGGGTGGGTGGGTTGGTTGGTTGGTTTTGCAGATTTAGGAAACTGGAGCATCTATGGTTTATGTATGATATAACTATACTTTGAAAGTAAATGTGTTCAGCAAAGACAACTCTTTTTGTATGAAAGGGACAAATAAAATTATCATTAGAAACTACTTGCCACTGTAAATGTAGTTTTATATTTAACATTATAAGCAAGTTTGAAACAAAAGATATGACTCTAAATGTGCTTTTTTTCATTCCCCATGTCTGAAAATGTGCTCATAAAGCCACATATTGGGTAGCATGGATACAATCTGCCCGGAAATTAATGCCCCATAAAAAACAAGTGTCAGCTTTGGTTCATTAAAATGCAAGTTATCTTATACTTAAACACCTCAAAAAGACTTCTATATTGTAACTATCAAACAAAATGTTAGAAGGGCATTACAAGAAAACTGTCCTTTTATGGCCTTTCTCTTGGATATTTTTTAAGACTGGAAATGGAAAGCACCAGAGATATAATCAAAGAATGAATGTGGGACGTAGAGTTCCAAACTGATTTTACCCAATCTTTTAAAATCTATAAATCTCTACACAAACCCCAAAGATCCTGTCCAGCAAAGTGCCCTGGATAACCCTAAAGTATTGTTGGGCATTTTCCAGAGCCAGTTTTAATGCTCGCCCTTCAGCACTACTAGAGGGCATATATCATGACATCCCAGTTGAACAAGATTACATCCATGCAACTCTAATGAGATTGAATCCATTGGGCACGTTCTTCTATACTTCCCGTTGTACCGATTAACAGATTGAGGTTGAATCCTGACAAGACAGAAGTACTGTTTTTGGGGGACAGGGGGCAGGCTGGTGTGGAGGACTCCCTGGTCCTGAATAGGGTAACTGCGCCCCTGAAGGACCCGGTGCGCAGCCTGGGAGTCATTTTGGACTCACAGCTGTCCATGGAGGCACAGGTCAAATCTGTGTCCAGGGCAGCTGTTTACCAGCTCCATCTGGTACGTAGGCTGAGACCCTATCTGCCTGCGGACTGTCTCGCCAGAGTGGTGCATGCTCTGGTTATCTCCCGCTTGGACTACTGCAATGCACTCTACGTGGGGCTACCTTTGAAGGTGACTCGGAAACTACAATTAATCCAGAATGCGGCAGCTAGACTGGTGACTGGGGGCGGCTGCCGAGACCATATAACACCGGTCTTGAAAGACCTACATTGGCTCCCAGTACGTTTCCGAGCACAATTCAAAGTGTTGGTGCTGACCTTTAAAGCCCTAAACGGCCTCGGTCCAGTATACCTGAAGGAGCGTCTCCACCCCCATCGTTATGCCCGGACGCTGAGGTCCAGCGCCGAGGGCCTTCTGGCGGTTCCCTCATTGCGAGAAGCAAAGCTACAGGGAACCAGGCAGAGGGCCTTCTCGGTAGTGGCGCCCGCCCTGTGGAACGCCCTTCCAGCAGATGTCAAAGCGATAAACAACTACCTGACATTCAGAAGACATCTTAAGGCAGCCCTGTTCAGGGAAGTTTTTAACGTGTGATATTTTACTGTATTTTTGGTTTCTATGGAAGCCACCCTGAGTGGCTGGGGAGGCCCAGCCAGATGGGCAGGGTATAAATAATAAATTATTATTATTATTATTATTATTATTATTATTATTATTATTATTATTACCGTGATACCCGAAGAGAGCTAATTTTACCATTATTAAGGAAATTACCTGGCCACACAGAGGAAACTTATGTTAAATACCTTCTTGCCAATCTGGATATCATCAGGCCTATTGTGAAATTCTGTTTTATAGCAACGAGGACAAGACAGGCTGTGGTGACAGTGATGGCCAGTGAATGAGTACTGATTTTAATCTACGGAATACAGATTTTAGCTGAAGGAGTGTTATTTTTAATGTAAATAATTTTATAGGGAATTTTTAATTACATTTCCTTCTTTATGCAGTTGTGCCGTATGTTGTTGTTATTAACTCTGCTGTCTGGTCTTTGGCTGCAAGAAAGATTGATTGATTGATTGATTGATTGATTGACTGACTGACTGACTGACTGACTGACTGACTTCTATATTGGAGTTTGGGGTAATTGATACATTTAAGTTTTGTTAATCAGGTGCAGGTGATAAACTAAGACGTTCAAAAATATCAGCTAGATACATTTGTAAACACAATCCTAAACATGTTTACTCAGAAGTAAGCACCTCGGGATTCACTAGGACTTTATCACTAGTGTGCACTCAGGACTGCCATCTTATGATTAAAGCCTGTAAAAAGAGATCATGGTTGACTGAAATGCACTCGTTAGAAAAGCAAAGTACTGAATTGGAAGACTTACATCTATCATGGGCTGAGCGAGATCCAGCTACTCAGCTCCGCACCTACCTCAGAGAACTTTTGTTGACTAGGAGGAGGAGGAGGAGGTTAAAAGGCAAAACCAAGGAAGACCAAGGATAAAGGCAGGACTTGAATAATCCTGGCACCACAGAGACACTCAGTCATTTCTGTTCTTGTTACCAGATCTGAATGACACTCTTACTGTAATAATTGTTTATGAGTTTATGAGCCAGGCTGAGAACTTCACAGGGTTCTAAATCAGTGGTCTAATTTAATTAAATAAATTTATTAGAAGGGCCATTTCTTCACCTTGATTTTTTGTTTGTGGCAGAAATGAGAGAAGCCATCCAGTTCGGGGGGGGGGGGGGAATCTTACAGCTCAGGTTTCTTCACTGTCTTTGACAATTTTAGCAAAATCTCACAAGCCCCTTTTCCCCCACTCAGAGGCTATCTGAACCGGAGGTAAATTACCCCTTTGGCACAGTAACTGTCCTGGATTTTGGGGTGTGCCCTCAACTGGCAAATTACATTTTCAAAGTTAACTCAGCTGCACACCAGAAACTCCTCTTTGATCGTTGGCTGCCCTTTCCTAGTAGGCATGAGTCCATTAAAGCTTGTTTGCTTTACAAAGTGATCTCATCTCTTGACTACAATGGTTCCTTATTAGAATTGGGCAGAGACCATGAGTTTTTGGTGTGTGTAGATTTTCTCAAATACTCGCAACAGCAGGTTTGCTACTCCTTCTGTATTTATTTAAAGCTGCACTATTTAAAAAGACCCAAAACAAGGGTTGCCTTCTGTTGGGACCCTTCCATATAATCGACTTTGCAGGTGCTTGCTTATGTCCAATACAGAGGGCGGCAGAACCAGGGTCACTCACAACCATCTTTCCCAGATAAGAACCATTTAAACCCCTCTGCCAAGCATACAACTACTTCCAATTGTTCCTGGGGTTGTGTCTATAATATTACTGCAACACATTATATGTAGTGCTGCATCTGAAGACAGTTCGGAAACTTCAGCTGGTGCAGAATTCGGTGGCCACATTGCTCACTGGGGCAAGGCGGTATGAGAATATCACACTGATTCTGCACTGGCTGCCAGTTAGTTTTCTGGTCCAATCCAAAGTGTTGGTTTTGAGCTATAAAGCCTTAAATGACTCAGGACTACAATATCTCAAGGACCGCCTCTCTCCATATGAACCAACCTGGACCCTGTGATCACCATCTGAGGCCTTTCATTGTGTGCCTCTTCGATAACATGAGAATGGGCCTTTTCTACAGTGGCTCCCCTTTTGTGGAATACTCTCCCCAGGCAGGTTCATTATACCCCTTTAGGCACAAGGCAAAAATGTTCCTCTTCAACCAGGCCCCTTTAAATGTGTTGTGGGAGGAGGAATACTGGTTTGTCACTTTCTTATTTTTTTATGTATTTTGTGGTTTATATATTGTAATTTAATTATGTGAACCACCCTGAGAGCGATGGATAAAGGGCAGTATACACATTTTAATAATAATAGTAGTAGTAGTAGTAGTAGTAGTTGCAATAATAGTAATAATACCAACCACTGAAACCACTTTCAAATCCATTTTTATAGCTCTCATTTAGGAAATAAGAGAAATCCAGTTCTATAAAGCTGCTAGCAATCTAGAACTCAATTTTCTCCCTCCTCACAGAACAGTTGCCATAGTTCTTTGGAAGACGTCATGGCAGTTAAAGTGGTTCTGAACTGAATTAAATAGGCTGCAAAAGTCACACAAAGGGGCCAAGAGATTTTCTGCTTGTTCTGTGCTTTCTAGACATGGGTCTGAGTGGTTCAGCGGCAGGCAGCAAGTTTTCCCAGGAGAATGAGCCAGGGCAAATGGAAAACCTCTTGGACCTGTGCTTAAGTGTGGATCAGCCCTCAGCCATACTGAAAACAGCTTTGTGAACAAGAATATTCTGTTCTCTTCTAGTTTACTTGTAGAGGGGAATCAGAGGTTGCTGTGGGTTTAGTTTGTTTGTTTTTTTACATCCCATCAAAACAACTTACCGGTACTAAAAATGTCCAGCCGTTAAGTTTGATTACTTCTATTGATGAGGTAGGATAGAAGTCTTTCACAAGTGCAGCAGGGCACTATTCTGGATCACATCCTCTGAAATAAACAGTGAGATGATTTGGTCCTGGTGGCAAGAGAGCGCGCATGACTGGGTCAGTTAAATTGGACAGCTTTTTAGCATGCAGTCAAATGGATAAATCAGACCGATGAATGAATCAATGGCTCAGATAAGAAAAATGGGATTAAAATATTCAAAGAACTATTTGTATCTTGCATCTATTAGCATGAAACAGTTTGGTGCAAGTGTGGGACGGATGGGCGGGGAGCAGAGAGCACATTACTTGAAATAATACTACAAAGTTCAGTTACTACTATAAAAATGTGTTTCTCCAGCCCTTTGAGTGGTTTTAAAAGTTGTCTGTGCCAGAATAGAAAGTTTCCATTGCCTCATACAATCTGTCAAGGAAAACTCAGATCATATTGTTTAAATCATCTTTTATTAATATCTTCCTACATTTAAGAGATCAGAACAGCTTAAAGCTAGCCAAAAGTGGAAGTGGGGAAGCTGGAGGGAATAAAAGTGCTTTTATAACTGCACCAGGGAATTAGTACTTGACAAAGGCTGTGCTTTTCAGATTGCTTTTCTCTGAGCTAGTCCCATGGAGGCAAATGGGGCTATTCTGGACTAAGTGGCTTGAAGGCTGCAGTGATAGGCAGATAATATTAACAAGGGTCTGTCTCATTCTTCCACTGAAATCACAGAGACTCTTGATGTACACCAGCAAAAGAGCAGCATCAGCAGTGACTCTAAAATATAGCATACTTGATGTTGTTTTCACACTTCAGCAAAGTACAAATAAATAACAGAAAGAGCAGCTAAAAATTAGTAAAAATTGAACGCCCATGTAAATAATAACTATGGAAAGGGGGGGGGACATTAATTTTCTGTTATAATTTAAAAGGCATTTTTTTAGTTATTGTTATTTCCAAAGGAAAAAATGTGGGGGAAAGATTTCAGTGGAATAAGGGTGATAGCCAAGTAGAAGAATACCATGCTTTGTTCATACGCGTTCCTAGCCAATAGTGATGCAAGAAATTATGCATTTCTGTGTTTGCTACTTTGTGCTTGAACTTCTGGCGATATCCTGCTGAGTCTCTATGCTGCAGCTTAGAACAAACTTTTACCTTTCCACCTGCTGTCTCTTTAGTGCCTTTGGAGGGACAGCGTTTTGAACTTGGTTCTGGTAACAAGGGGAAGGGGCCAAGTCTACGCCAAAAAATGGGCGAAGACATGCCAAAGTCATGTTTCAGTGTGTCGCTTTGATTCAAAATGGTGGCCTGCATCCAAATATCAAGGAAAAGCACTGCCTCCACCTCAGGAACCCTTGTACCGTCCCTTGTTTTGTGACGGTATCTTGAGAGGCTGCCAAACCCATAGAGAATAAACAACCCAACAACCAGATATTCAGACAAAGCACTTTCCAAAATATATAGTAGGCTGGTCTGGTAGCCATAGGCTACCAGGAATTCTGTCCAGGTGAGGAAGTGGGTTCGTGGACTGCTCCATCCCTCCTCTGCAGCCAACACAGAAATACAGCTCTCACTCTCTGCCAGCCCCTGGTAGGCCTATGATGCGCAGACTGATAACTGTTGAGTGCTTATTTATAAAGCTGTGTTGGCATCACTGTTAATCTCTAAACTGAATAAATGATTCTGCAAGATACACTTGAGTTACAGGACACTTTTCTATGTAAATAAAATACCAATTTGATCAGGTTTAAAATATGAATATTTGCACCCTACCTACAAACACAGGGTTCTATCCAACGCAAGTCCTACTCAGAGTTGAAATTAATAGACATGACTAACTTAAGTCCATTAGTTTCAATGGGCCTACTCTGATTATTGTAGCATAGGCATTGTGTCTCCTCCTAACAAAAAATAAACTGCTCTGGTATGCCCAGTAACTTTCAGAAACCTATCAAAGTCAAAGGACGCTTCATTTTTGTTTGCTACCTTTTTGTGAGTGTTGGACTGGGACAAGGCAGAGGGAAGCAAGAAAGGAACAACACTGAAAAGAAGAGTGGAAAACAAAATCTTGCAGCGTGCATGTTTCTGTATTCCAGAACCTCAACTACAATCTGGTAGAAAGCTGCACCACAGGACTCACATCTGATTAAACATAAGTAGGATTGGACTGTTAACCTTACAAACGGTCATGGATTAATGGTTAATTATAAGAAAGATCCTTTATGGGAATATTTAAGAATAGGTTTAAAAAGTAATGCTTGCCAACAAAGAGATAAAAGGCCTGGTTGTAAAAATGGAATAACACTCTAAGTAATACTCTGTTTAATTGCAAATCAACATAGTTTAGTGATCAGAGCTGCACCATTGTTTAGGAAACTCTGATGAAGTACCAGTGGGAAACTTGATTTAAACATTTATTTATATCAGGGTTTTTCCTTGCTGGTTTAAATAGCCTTGAGTCAAAGCAATTTACCCTGTTCACAAGTTAGGGCTGCAATTTCACTTCCATTTTGCACTTGGATGTAGAAAACCTGAGTTTAAATTCCTGCTCAGCTCAGCAGCTCACCTTTGAAATTTTTCTCTTCCTCTGGCTAGCCTACCTCAAAGGGTTGCTGAGAGATGCAAAAATGTTCCTTCAAGCTTGTTGTCGAATGATAAAATACAAATGTAACAAATGGCAATATTTATGTCTACATCCATGTAAAAAAAATATAGGGCTACTCCTACTCACAGGTAGCCCCATTGAAAATAATGGACATGACTAACACGCAGCTATTAATTTCAATGGGTCTACTGTGAGTAGGACTTAGTTGGGTACATGCTGTAGACAAACTCCATAGTCTATACAGTTGCTTCAACAGCCACATAGTGTAGCTGGTGTTACTTAAATATCAAAGCCAGCTCTATAGTTGCATGACTGAAAACTGAAGCTCAGTGTGAACAAGTAGAGGCAGGCAGAAGGCCCTTCAAGAATGGCTAGAGCAGCAATGTACAAATGTAACAATATATTTAAAATGTTCAATGTCAGAGGTAAGAGAAAAATTACATTATGCACCAGCAATACTGTGAAAGTATCTACAAAGGTTTCATCCAATTTTAGATTAAAGGTTCAGGCAACAGTGCAATCCCAATCCACAGCACTCCTGTTCCTTGCGAAGACTGCACAAGTCGGAGTTCTTCCCTCTAGCAACAGTATGCTAGCTCTCGGTAAATCAGAAATGGCTTAATGAATTTAAATCATTTTCTGGCATCCTGATTGTTGAAACTGGATGTTCCTGCCATTTCAGATCAATTAAGATCTATAAAGGAAATGTTTGTTTAACCTTTATGATGCTTCTCATTTGCAATTGCATCATACGTTATGAATTGTGGGCAAAAGGAAAGGCAATGTGTAAACCAGCATGCATACAAAACTGTTCACACACACCTGGAGAGCATGGCACCTTTTAGAAAGCCTGCATGATCCACTGAAGTGATCTAGATGTTCGAATATGAGTAAAGAAACACCCATGCGGAGCAGAGAAACATGTGCAAATTCTATTCCATGCACTCTCCACTTTACAGAGCCACAGCTATATGGTATCCATGGTTTTCTATCACAACACTCATTCATAATTATTGCAGAAATATGAGTCTGACCCTGAGTGAACTGGTAGCACTTCCTACTGAGTCACTGGTCCTATGTAGCAGATGCCCTTTGTAGCTGCACTTCAGAGGAGAATGAAAGAGGTGGATGGAGCAGGGCCGGCCCAAGTCATTTCAACGTCTGAGACGAACCACAAAATGGTGCCTCCCTCCCTACCAGGGTGGAAGGGGTGAGTGAAGTTCTACATCAGGGATAAGATGGGGAATAAAGATCTACACCGGGATCTGCTGCCCCTATGGATCCTGCTGCCCCAGGCAGTCACCTCATCTTGCCTCATGGATGATCTGGCTCTCAGCTAGAGGAGGTATCACGAACTTCTTGAAAGAGATAGTGAATGTATTGAAGACAATACTTTGGGAAAAGTAGCCCATGACTCCGAGATTGGTTAGGTGAGCAGAATTGCTCATTTTAATGCCTATAACTATTACGTTATTTTTTTCATCTTTAAATGGAAGTTGGGTCAAAGTGGATCCCCTGATCTTGCCAAGGGTTACATTGTTTTACTCATATTAACCCTAGCCTGAAAGAAGTTTGTACTGCCATGACAACAAACCAAAACAGTTTAAGGATTGTTATCCTACTCTACTTCTAGAAAAATGTTTGTGGAAAGGAAACTAGAGCCAGAACATTTTTTTTGCAAGCAAGCAACATATGCACACCAAAGTCTTGTTTATAAATCTGTAGCATCAAATGATTGTTTGCTCCTCTTAGGACCCTAAGACATTAATCACCACAGCTACAATATTCATTAACATCTGACGCTAAGTCATGAGCAATAAAGATAATTAAGCATTGGTTTAGAGAATTACCAAGTGATTAAATGTATGTGCAAGCCACCTCTTAGGAGTACTGCACACATTGCATATTTTAAGTGCACACCTAAGAACTTCTAAGGATAAAAATAAGGTTTGTGAATACATAAAGTCCCAAAGGTACTGATTGAATGTATCCACCCTTAAGTGTATACTCAGATGCAGGTCGTTCTGCATAATGTGTGAAATGGCTCTCATTAGAAGTTTTAACAAATTTAGAAGTCTTAATAAATATAGTTCTGAGTTTATCCTCTGAAGCTTTATAGAACTGGGTTCTATAAAGGATGGGAGAAATAGTTGTAGGGACATGAAAATCCTGCGTTAGCTTTAAAGGATGCTTTCAAATCAGAGCTGAATCTGGCAATCCATGCAGGCTAGGAATCTATCTCCTGCTTGTCACATCTATATTAAATTATCCACTTTCTTTCCATTTTACAAGGAAAGATGTCAGTAGAACATTACTTATCTGTCAGGCTACAGGCCTTGGATGCTGAACAAAGTGCCAGAATCATGGCACTACAAGGCTGCAAATCTACCACAAAGGTATCAAGAGCAGGGGGTTATGCAAAAGTTGTACCTAGGATGATTCTTGGAAGACAGTTTGCCAGCTGACTGTTCTGACTGGGGTTGTGTGTTTTTTTTTACCTGAGGTTATATTTAAATCTTACACAGCACCTCTGACCTGGAACAGTGCCTGGGCTCTATTGATATCAGGCAGACACCTTTTCAAGACACTTTTCTTTGGCACCTGCTGAAAAATATTTTGTTTTGATAAACCTACCCAAATATCTAGAATGCTGTTGTTTTTTAGTTTATTTGTTTTTTTAATTTTTAAAATATTTGTTTTAATTGCTGTTACCGATAATTTTATTGCCCCCCCCCTTCTGTAAACAATTCTGAGGTCCTCCCCCAATCAAGCGGGATATAAATTTTATGGCATAAATAAATAATAAAGTCCCAGTGCTTAGGATCTCAGTACCCATACCTGCTGAGCTAAGCTGCCCTTAATTACAGTGGGACTGCTCCATTCTTCAATGCACACTTTAAACATTATAGAAGGCAAAGAGTTTTCTCAGATATAGTTCTTCTGTGAGAGGACAGCTGTACTCGTTTCGACCGCTGTGGTTGTTGATGTTGAGCGCACACTATACCCTTTACAGAACATTCAAGGCACATCTCCCCCCTCAAAGAATTCTGGGAACTGTAGCTTGTTAAGGGGTTGCTGGGAAATGTAACTCTTTGAAGGGTAAACTACAGTGGTCAGAAACTTTTAAGGGAAAGAGTATGCCTTGAATGTACTTTAAAGATATAGTGTGTACACAGCAGCCTAAGTGCGTGCGTTCCACTACTGAGGGAGCAAAAATATCCAAGCTACTGTAGCTGAGGGGAAAACTGCTGCCAAGGACAGACACATAGGAGTGTTTTTACACTTGAGTTATAAAAACCAGGAAGGGGTTCATACTGGAAAAACAATGCTCACAAAATGGTATGGGCAGATGGAAGGAGTAACTGGGGTACTGGTTAATATACGAAAGGTACCTGCAACACTTGCACAGCCAACTTCAAAATCCTAGTTGCAATATAGATAGTAGCAGTGGGTAGGGAGTGTGAATGCTAACAGTCACATTGCAATGTGATTTGAGTGATGGCTAAAACATGGCACCCTGGTAACAGAGGCCCTACCACAAAAGAAGAAAGATTTCTGGCTCTCCCTGCAACAGCAAATAAACCATCTAATCTCTATTATGTAAAAACATGTCCTTGGTGGGGACAGCACCTATTCAATTGCCAGAAACAAGCAGTGTCGTTGCCAGCCTCAAAAAATGCTGACTGTGCAGAATGTGTCGCTTTCTTGTCCCTCCAAGTTATCCCCCTTCCTTTTCAAGAGTTCTGTCAGCATTTTGTGCTTTGCGTAGCCCTTGATTACACACACACTTGCAGCACTTGTTTGATCTTGTTTCCTTACCTGAGTCATGGTAGACTCATGAGATCTCTTTTCCTGCTTGTGACAAGGGCTTCCAACATTCCCTTTCTTTTCTTTCCAGGAGCCTCTCAATGTCTTAAATGCTGGCCACAGAAATGCTGCCGTTTGGTTCTTTCCACTTTCTCATCCAACACATATAGCCTTCTTGCTGGGTGCTTTAGGGTTCATCAAAGCTCCTGGAGCCTCAAGCCATGCTAAACAAACTCGCCCCCTCCAAATATTTGCCATTGTTCCTTCATTCTTCATCTTTAAAGAGACCCAGCACACTTTTTACTTTCCTGGTGCCTTCAGGGGATTCACTCAGGAATCTGTTTTTATTCTTTCCCCACTTAAAAAAAACACAGCCACACTCTTTCTTACATTTTTCTGAGATTTTATTAAGAGTTTATATTACATTGTGCATGCATAAATTGTTTTTATTGGTATTGTTGCTGCTGCTTTCTTATTTTAAGCTAAAACATGTAATAACTGGCCTGGGTCACAGCGCCCACAGGTTTCTCTGCATTATGGACATTTTTACATCCAAAAAATGATGGTAGGCCGGCAGCCCAGTTCACATGAAAGCCATACACAGAAAACAGATTTTTGTGCATGTTTTCCTTACTTGATTGGGTGGTGCTTTCATAGACAGACATACATACATACATACAGACAGACAGACAGACAATAGATAGATGATAGATGATAGATGATATAAATAGATGGTAGACAGACGCAAGGTATTGGGTAGGACCTACCTATTTGCACTGTACAGAGCAGATGGTGATGTACTTTCCAGTCCATCTTGCACCAGTGGGGGTACTCAAGGGTACAGCTTTTTATCTAAAAGAAAAGCACTGGTTTAAAGTGTGGCACTTACTGTAGCAACTTCATAGCACTGGCAACAGATAGGAAGAAATGGCAACCTGTGGAAAACCTGAATTGCCATTTGTGCTGATTGAGCGCTAAAGAGAAGTTTTCCTTGGGGATGAGCTGGGGAAGCAAAAGGACAAGTGTATAAACTCTTCATCCAATATGCCAGCTGCAACCTTACTTGGATGGAGATACTTTAGCTGCAATTACTGATGGTCTGCTAACATTGGCCATAGGTCTACCTCTAAAAACAATCCAGAAGCTGCATCTGGTCCAGAATATTTCTGCAAGATTATCAACTGGGACTGGGACTATATTATGCCTATGCTTTGTCAGCTACATTCACTCCCAGTCTGTTTTCTGGCTTAATATTTAATATTTAATTTCTGGGTTAATATTTAAAGCCCTAACTGGCTTGGGACCAGGTTACCCAGAGGACTTCCTTCTCACAAATGGCCTTATGCTGCTCTAGCCATTAGGGAGGGTGTATTTTGGTAGCGTCACCCCAATAATTGCACAGCCTTCCCAGCAGCACCTTGTTGGTCATTTTGGCACCAGGATCAAATCTTTCTGTTTGCCCAGGCCTTTTATATAATTTACAAAGTCTGGGCCTCCTATCTTATAAGTCTGTGTTTTAATTTCAGGGGTGCAGTGATTTATGATTTTGTGTCCATTGCATCCATGTATTTTGTGGTTTATTTTATTTATTTATGGATTGCTTCCTAGGAAGCATTTTTAATAGATTTAACAACACAGTAAAGCATTTCTAAACCAAATGCACATGTAAGGATAATTTCTGAAATTAAATATATAAAAATATACAAAGCCAACGGGAATAAAAACACTCCACTTAGAAGGCTTGTTGAAAGAAGAAAGTTTTCAACAGGCACTAAAAGACGATACAGATGGTGCCTGCCTGATATGAAATGGAAGGGAGTTCCAAGGGGCAGGTGCTGTCACACTATAGGCTTGATCAGATGGAACAGACCTCCTAATGATATGGTATCTGCGAGTTGGCCTCTCCTGCAGAGTGCAGTGATCAGTTGGGCATATAAGAGATTAGACAATATTTTGGGTTTAATTTTTATTTATTTATTGTAAAAGCTTTATGCTACGGAGCAGCAAACCAATGTAGAATACAATAAATATATTTGCAGACTGCCATTCTTTGGCACATACCAATTGTCTTTGTACACACTAAGGCTGAGATCATAACCCCACTTACCTGGGAGTAAGACACACTGAATTCAATAGGCACACACAGGAATTTACTACTAGAAAACATCCTTCCCTGGCAATTAAAAGCTTCACACACAGTGAATAGTTTGGGAGTATCTGATGTACAAACTTTGATCTATGTGGATTTGGGCCTGACTGGTCCTTTTGATAAAAGGCCATAGAAGCAATTAAGAATATTTAGTTAAAATAGAAGCTTTAAATAAAATCTCCAATCACTTTAGTTTTTCCTTACATTTCCTTACATTCCTTATATTTCTAAGAAGGAAAATACAATTCAATTGAAGCCCCACAGTCTTCAGCCCAGAGCCCACTCAGCCATTAGCCTCTGGCTCAGAAAAGGACAACCAAAATGATCAAGGGGATGGAGAGATTCCCCTGTTGGGAAAATTGCAGCACTTGGGACTTTCTAGTTTAGAGAAAAGGCAAGTAAAGAAGTGACATGATAAAAGTTTATAAAAATATGCATGGCATGAAGAAAGTGGATAGAGAAAGTATCTATCTCTTGTAACACTAAAACTTGTGCACATCCAATGAAGCTGAATGTTGGACAATAAAGGTAAAGGGACCCCTGACAGTCAGGTCTAGTCGTGACCGACTCTGGGGTTGTGGCGCTCATCTCGCTTTACTGGCCGAGGGAGCCGGCGTACAGCTTCCGGGTCATGTGGCCAGCATGACTAAGCCGCTTCTGGCGAACCAGAGCAGCGCATGGAAACGCCGTTTACCTTCCCGCCGGAGCGGGACCTATTTATCTACTTTCACTTTTGGGCATGCTTTCGAACTGCTAGGTTGGCAGGAGCAGAGGCTGAGCAACGGGAGCTCACCCTGTCGCGGGGATTCGAACCGCCGACCTTCTGATCAGCAAGCCCTAGGCTCTGTGGTTTAACCCACAGCGCCACCCGCGTCCCTATAAAAGAAAGTAATTGTCATGCAGCACATACTTAAGATATGAAACTCCTTCCCACAGGAAGCAGTGATGGCCACCAACTCAGATGGCTTTAAGAAAGGACTGGGCAAATTCAGGGATGATAAGGCTATGAGTGGCTACTAGCCACAACGGTTATGCTCTGCCTCCATGAGCCGAGGCAGTAACACTTCTGAATATCAGTTGCTGGAAACCTCAGGTGGGGAGAGTGTTCTTGAGCTTGAGGGTTTCCAAAAGACACCTGAGTGGCCACAGTAAGAACAGGATCCTGGACTAGATGAGCCACTGGCTAATCCAGCAGGGTCCTCTTATGTTTTTAATAGCTGCATTGTGCACAAGTAGTGGGGTGAGACAAGAAGTAGGGAAACAGCTTCATATTCACATTTGGAAGCTTTAGGGGAATGGATATCCCCATCAACACCACTTGTGCTGATAAATTAATAGGAGCTCAGATTCTACTTTTCCTGCTCATCGTGAATAACCAGCATCAACAATAACCAGCAACCTTGCCATTTGCAAAGAAAAGCAGTGTAGGTAGTATTTGTGCACCAGTTTGGAGATACGGAATTTGAAGGAAAACACATTCATTTGAACAGCATGAATGTTTGCCTAGGCAGTAAAAATATACTCCACATAACCCCTCTCCAAGATGGTAAAGTGACAAATATGCAAAAGAAACACACATTAAATCTGCTGTGATTTGGCTGGAAGAAAACCTGGCAGCCTCTCCCTCTCTTGTAGATACAAAGGAGATTTTTAAAAAAGTTTGATTACATCAGAAGGCAAATACACTTGAGATTTTTATATTTTAAAAAAGGTTTTGCTCATTTAAAGACACACACAGCACATTAGCAGCTTCTGACTATGAATAAATTTAAACTGCCAGTCCATTATTTTAACTATCCCCTAACCAGCTGTTGAGAATGAGATTTCTGTCCATTCTTATTCTCCCCACCAAACAGCTTACTGAGGTATGAAGTTTGAACATGAGGTTGAACTCTCACATCAACCCTAAACTCACTCTCACCTTCAGCCCAACAGGAGTCTGCAAAAATGGAAATAATAGCATATCAGGAAGATTTTGGGCATCACATGGCAGGACAAAGTCTCAAACAAACATGTGCCCTTCCAAGACCACATTCCCAGCATGTTCACACTTCTGTCTCAACGATGTTTATACTGGTTTAGTCATGTGCACAGAATGGAAAATTGGTAGGTGAAGATGTACCTTTTTGCCCAAGACTTTGGAGGGGGCTAGGAAGAGTCACTATAATGAGTCACTCAGTTTGAAGTTGTTTGCCGTCTGCTGAACTTGCGTATCTTAAGGATGCTTTATAGAGTGTGTGATATATGTTTATGTATATTTTTATTTTTTTATTGTATTCAGGCCCAGGACCAGTTGGTGCAGGGTGCAGTGTAATGCGTTACCATACAGAAGCTACATATAGATTCTGGCAGCTCCTAACTGTAGCCTCACAAGTCCCTCCGTGTACAAGGCTTGAAATTCCAGTCCTTGCAATAAGTTGTTCTGCTTTCCATGACAATTTCTGCAGTCAGTGACCTAAATAATTTCTTTAACTTGCATAATTTGGTGCAATTTGGGCTCCCCCCCCCCCAACTTTCATGCATAATGAAAATGGTTCCAAATATTTATTGCATTTCACAGCTTGAAAGCAGATTCACAATTCTAAAATATAATTAAGATAAAGGATCCAATACCTGAACATCCCTGGTCATCAAATGCCCACCCCAATATAAACAAGTAAGATAAAATCTTCTGGCGCTTATAAAAGCTACTCGGGATTTAGTAAACCTTCAAGAGAAACACCACGGTAGAACATCTCCCTTCTTCACCTCTGAGTATGAAGCACAGATAGTATTGTCAAGAGGGTGATTCTAGTCGATCTTAAAATATCTGAATTGGACTCAAGGGAGCTGAGCTGTCTTTCAGGTATGAAGAGCCATAGCATTAGCAGTTACAACTGGAAAGCTATTGGCAGCCAGCATTGGTATAATGCACTCCTAGCAATCCAGTCCCATAAGGAGACAGGTGGACACATTCTGCACTGGCTGCTGTCTCCAAACAGCCATTAAGGATAGCAATGTACAGAGCGTGTCTCAGCAGTCACAGCCTCAAGGTCATGGAAAGCATGAATGGCAGCTGCTGGTTCCAAATTTGGGGGGGGGGGGAGTTGAAGTTGTGCCACCAGTTGGTGAACATTTCCTCAGTGTGAAATTGCCACCACTGAAACAAATCCAAGAGCACCACATGGCTGAGAAACGATGGGAGACTAAACAATATCAAGCGAGAGAGAGAGAGAGAGAGAGAGAGAGAGAGAGAGAGAGAGAGATGGGATGTTCTACTACAGGTTGATAGAACCAGCAGATCTTAATTATTTTTATCAGCATCCTTTGTCATTTTCTGCATCTGTTTCTCAGTAAAGGACAAACAAATGTTGGCTCTTCCTTTATTTTCTTTCAAAAATATGTTGAAATAGCATCCAGAGAAGAAATGGAATTTCAATTTTTTAATCAGGGAAAGGGCAACAGCTAATTGGAAGAGCATATGTGAGAGATTTCTGGTCCAATCCCTAGCACCTCCAGATAGGGATGGACAAATTTCATTTTCTCATTTTCTAACCATAACAATTTGCATTTTAAAGAAAATCCTGATCAGTGCAAATTTCTATTGACACATACTTTTGAATACAGTTTTAACTAATACAGTGGTACCTCGGGTTACATACGCTTCTGGTTACAGACTCCGCTAACCCAAAAATAGTACCTTGGGTTAAGAAACTTTGCTTCAGGATGAGAACAGAAATCGTGCTCCGGCGGAGTGGCGGCAGCGGGAGGCCCCATTAGCTAAAGTAGTGCTTCAGGTTAAGAACAGTTTCAGGTTAAGAACGGACCTCCTGAATGAATTAAGTTCTTAACCTGAGATTGTTGTTGTTGTTTAGTCGTTTAGTCGTGTCCGACTCTTCGTGACCCCATGGACCAGAGCACGCCAGGCACTCCTATCTTCCACTACCTCCCGCAGTTTGGGCAGACTCATGTTTGTAGCTTCGAGACCTGAGGTACCACTGTATATACATGTTTTGCAAGGAATCTTTCTTAATATAATGCATTTTTATGTTATTTCCACTGATAAATGCATTTATTTTGAACACTTTCCCTTAATATAACAATTTTGGTGCATATTGTTTGGGCGGAGAATCACATCACAAAATTCGGAGAAGTGTAAATTTTGAAGGATAGCTGTTACTTCGGTTTTCGTATTGGTTCAAGAAGTGCAAAATAGACAGGTTTCCATTAAAATACACTCCAAATTGAATTTCTTCCCCAAGCTGCTATCATGGACTGGCTGGATGCAGAGGAGTGGTGGGAAGGAACCATCTGGGAAACCCCTAGAGGAATATGGCACAGAGCCCAGGGAGTGGTGGTGGGGCAACAAAGAGAAGCCAGAGGGAGAAGAGGGAGCAGACTGGGAAGAGGCGGTGTCGGAAGCTGAAGGAGCAACAGGGTTTAGTAAGCAGGAAGAGGTTGTGGCAGACAGCAGTCAAGGATCAGAGGCAGAAGAGGAGGCTGGAGATGATAGGGGCCAAGATGATGCAATAATGCAGGCTGCTGAAGGATCTGGGGGGGGTGTCCCCCCTGCTGTGAACAACTCCTCTCCCCCCTGGTCTCTCAGAACATGCACAGAAAGGAACAGGGTGGACCAATGAGATACAAGGTGATGGAGCCTTGGGCTGCTGGGAAAGGAACTGGGGAGGACCTTTAGAGACCGGTGGGAATGCTAGGACCTTCAGTCCTTGCAACTGCCTCACTGGGGAAATACTTAGTGGGAAGGGTTGCTGTGACCACTAGGACTGGGCTGTTTTGGTTGCTTTAAATAAAGAGTTCACGAACAGTAGGTGTTTTACTTACCTACTCCTGACTCGGGCTCCTGACAGCTGTCAGGCAGTGTCAATAATACTGAACTAGTTTTGCTCCTGGCCTTAATTAGCATACAACTTCTTCCAAGAGATTCTCCACATCAGGAACATGGAAACTCCGCAATTTGATGAGCCATCTGTGTGGGGAACCATCCTAAACTTAAACAGGGGGAGGTACTCATCACAGGAACACCTGTGATGTCATCCCCATGGCATTTCTGCATTTCATACAGCACTGAACACAATACCAATCTAAATGTAACAGTACCCGTAGTGCCTTCTCTATTTCCACAAAAATGAGGCATGGCTTTCCAACATGAAACACGGGAGTATTTTCATGCCTGAAGGAGTGGGTGGAAACCCTTTGGCAGTGCTGGGATCTTTTACTTTGGAGAGTATTTTCAAGCCATATTGTGCTTACAGAGACTTTTTGATATCGCTCCAACAGAGCAGGGGGCTGCATATGCAATTCTTAAAATCCTTCCAAGGGAAAAAAGTTTTAAAATAAGAATTAAAGACAAAGAAGTTGCAGATCATACAGCTATGGCCAGAGGGGTATGTGCATGTATGGGGAGGGGGGAGCAGCAACCCCATCTGGCCACTTAACGGCATTTCCCACTAAATCTTGCAGAAGAAAAGAAGGCCTGTGCAGTCACAATGAATTTACCAACTACAGATGTCCTCAACAGGCAGGCAAAGAAAGAAAGAAAGGATTGCCCCCTCTCCTGGTGGTGCTTAGTGCTGCAGGCAGCTCTCTCAAGAATGCCTAAACTCAGCACGGTTGCTCTCCCTTCATATTGGCTGACGTGAAGCAATCCTGCTTAGCCCTGGGTCCCTGCTTTGTGCTCCTGAAAACCAACTGGTCTTCAGGTGCTTTGGAAGCTTCACAAAACAACTTTGGCCAATTCCCAGCCTTTTGGTCAAGACCTGCCCTTAGATTCATGACATCAAGTGTAGGGTGGGTGGCCATGCTTTGCCCAAAGTGGCCTCTATCAATGAACTGTCACATGTTACATTGGTCACATTACATTGGTCATGGGTCATTTGCCATATAACCTTTTATCTCCATTTTCTAATAATCATTACCATACATTTGACACTTGCCTATGAAACATTAGCTATTTCTGTATATTGCCATAAATGTGGGGTGGGTTGGGGTGGTGTGATTCATAGTTTTAGAGAAAGCACTTATCTACAAGGCTACAGATAAATTTTTGAGGCTGAAAAACTGTTACCTGTGTCACAGCTTTTAAAACACAGTTAACAAGAAAGCATTTAAACTACTAGTGACATACTTCTTGATTATTTTTGTAGGGAAGATCAAGGTACCTAACAAATAGGTAAAGGTAAAGGGACCCTTGACCGTTAGGTCCAGTCGTGGCCGACTCTGGGGTTGCGGCGCTTATCTCGCTTTACTGGCCGAGGGAGCCGGCGTACAGCTTCCGGGTCATGTGGCCAGCATGACTAAGCTGCTTCTGGCAAACCAGAGCAGCGCACGGAAACGCCGTTTACCTTCCCGCCAGAGCGGTACCTATTTATCTACTTGCACTTTGATCTGCTTTCGAACTGCTAGGTTGGCAGGAGCAGGGACCGAGCAACGGGAGCTCACTCCGTCACGGGGATTTGAACCACCGACCTTCAGATAGGCAAGTCCTAGGCTCTGAGGTTTAACCCACAGCGCCACCCGTGTCCCTACCTAACAAATAGTTTAATGCTAACTGGAGTTAAATAATATTACCTAAAACATGAAACATTATGTAAAGAAGCTTACAAAAGTTACATTGGTCACTACAGAATGACCCTGTTGTCAAAGGAATTAATTTAAACATATCCATAGCAGCTACATCAGTTTCTTGAGAAAAGTGAAAATACATGGCTGAAAGTAAAATGTACTTTTGGAAAGCAGAGGTGTAAGCTATGATGGCATTCTAAACTGTTTCCTGTATTGCTGCTGTGGCATTGCTCCCCCCCCCCAATGCAGAATGTGAAGTTGTTCTCTCTAAAGCTAGCAATGGCCATAGTCTAATAATGTACCTCCAGGAGTGCTTTCTTCTCATTTGAATCCTCCTGTCCTTTGCAAAAAGGTCCCTGTGAGACCCATCTTATTGTATTTTTCTCAGCAGTTGCACCTCAGCTAGGGAAATCCTTCCCTCAAAAAAGGTTAATCTAAGCCTTACCTTTTCACATACTTAAGTGAAAACTATTTTGCTTAGGTGGGCACATGTACGCAAGGGTAAGCGTAGGCCAGCAGATTTTTATAGCAATGTTTTTGCTGAATTTTTGTAGATGGATCTGCCTCTTGGTGGAATTTGAGTCTTAAAGCAAAGCTACTTCCTTAATATATTCTAGTATTTTTGTTTTGGATTTCAGGCAAAAATGCCATTTGTGTTTGGCTCAAAAGGATGATCCTTCTATACCTTTGGTGGGAGTATTGTTCTTTCATCTCTGAATGGGTTGTGGTCTCTACAAGAAAATAGTTCTTGGGTTTGGATACCATGCAATATAATCACTGGGGGAAACAGACTGAAAGTTAGGTGTGTTTAAATTACACTGAAATCAAGACCTTGAAATATGTGGCGACATCCCACGTATGCGTAGTCAAATCAAAGTCCTTCTGTGTTCACTGGGATGCTTCCAAGTGTGTGCAAGACTGCAGCTTTAGTTCCACTGATGTTGTTGGGACTTAAGCATGTTATGTAGATCTACTCAGAAGTAAGTCCTACTGAATTCAGTGTGGCTTATTCCCATGTAAGCATGCATTAAGACTGTAGTCAGCGTGGGGCAGATGAATACAAGAACTGAATTTAAGGGTGTGGAAGAAAAATGGGGTGGCTAGATGCAAAAATAGGTCAGGTATTAACTAAAATGGTTGCGTAGAATAGGGAACCTATGGAATGTGTTGTAGGAGCACCAACTCCCTGGGGCCATGAATGCCCTAGTCCCCACATTTTAAATGGGGGCCAGGACACCCACAAAGTGCAGAAGCGTGAGTTCACTACCTGCACAAGTGATGTCAGCATGCCCCTGAGCATGCACACACATCCTGGTATGCGGCCCCAGGTAGTTGCAGTCGCGGGCGCAAGCCGGCGCTGCTGTGGTGTAGCTTGTTGTACAAGCTGCACCTGATGAAATGATCTCTTCTATCCTTTATTGTTATTGGCCATCTGAGTGAGGTAATGATGGGATATGCAACACAATCCTATGTAAGTGTACTTGGAAGAAAACTCTACTGACTTCATTGGGTTTTACTCCTAAATAAGTGTACACACAACTGGAGTCTATACTCAGTTTCCTGGGCAAGTTACTCATAGAATAGAATAATAGAATTGAAGAGTTGGAAGGAACCCTGAGGGCCACCTAGTTCAACTCCCTGCAATGCAGGAATTTCAACTAAAGCAACCAAGGCAGATGTCCATCCAATCTCTGCTTTAAAACCTCCAAGGAAGGAGAGTCCACCACCTTCTGAGGGAGTCCGTTCCACTGTCAAACAGCTGTTACTGTCAGAAAGTTCTTCCTGATGTTTAATCGGAACCCCCTTTCTTGTAACTTGAAGCCATTGGTTCAGGTCCTATTCTCAGTAGCAGGAGAAGACAAGCTTGCTCCATCTTCCATGTGACAGCTCATAAGACATTTGAAGATGGCTATCATATCTCCTCACACTCTCCTCTTTTCCTGGCTAAACATATCAAACACCTTCAACCATTCCTCATAAGGCTTCGTTTCCAGACCCTTGGTCGTCTTGGTTGCCCTCCTTTGCACACATTCCATCTTGTCAATATCCTTTTTAAATTGTAGTGCCCAGAACTGGGCACAGTATTCCAGGTGTGGTCTGGCCAAGGTATGGTACTTCCCTTGATCTGGTCACTATGCTTCTGTTGATGCAGCCTACAATTGCCTTCTGGGAAATTGTTTTATGAATGGTTTTGTTGTAAGAGCAAATGCCATTAACTTCACCTGATGTTACCCCTGGCTCTGCCTAGTTAGCTGCCATGCACTCCGCCCTTCCTGGTCAAATGAGCACCATCCACCACCACCAAGAATCAATAGCTTTTGCAACACACACAGCAGCAGCTGGCTGCCACGAGGACTACTGAGCTAAGGTCAGAAATGCTGTTTTCATGAATATATGACTATGTCACACTTCTAGCCTTGTAAAAAAAAAAAAGTTGAGATTAAAGCTAGTCATTGGATGAAGCTATACTGGCTGCTGATTTACACCAGCTGAGGATTTCTAATTTTATTTCTGCTTGACACTTCAAAATTAGATTCTTTGTTAAAAAAAAAAAGAAAAAGAAAGGCATGCTGCGTCAATGTGTAGGCTGCAAGTGGAACAAGAGGGTTTGCTTCCCTACAGGCTGAAAATGGAAACTATCATTAGTAATAATGTTCTGATTTCTAAGATTCTCTGAAGAAAAAACTTGCATTCGGGAAAGGAAATCAGGCTGAGGTTTATCCTAGTTGCACACTACTGACATAACACTGTTCCTTTTCTCCCCCTTCACATTTCTCTACATCAGAAACACATCTTCCCAAATATTCCATACATGGAATATTTCTGTTGGCTGCTTTGTCATAAGACTTGCAATAGATACTGAGTGACAGAAGGGGGAACAGGGCTTTTTCTGTTGGCCCTGCCTTATCACTTCATGTTCAACGGAAGTGTGAAAGGAGTTGCCCACAAATAAGCTCCTATACACATTCAGGATTTCTACTTACGGTATATAATTAGGACACTACAATCTACCGTTATACGTGCATAAAAGGCCCTTTCACACTTTTGCTAGTGGTACATTTCTACTCCCCCTCCCTCCACACATTCAGCATATGAATGGAAGGAACATGGGAAAAGGGCTTAGGCAAAACAAGAATTGACTCAGTCCTTACCTTGCTGGCTGTAAGAGGTCATCAGCCATGGCCATCCACAAAGTACAGTTACAAGCTTTTTCATACAGGACAGTTGAAGCTGAAGTATGTCAGGCATGGAACTATTACCTCTCTTTAGAGATTTGATCATCATGTTAGATGATCACTTTGTACCACTCAGTTTACATTGTGGTTCAGCCAAGTGTGAAATCTTCTTGTTATAGCTGCTACTTAGGTCCAGTCTGACCAATAAGCTACCCTGCCTATGACAGCATTTCAAAGGGATCACTGTAGCAGCAAGGTGGAAATATTTCCATCCCTCAGCATGGCCTTCTTGCATATACTTTGGCTGCTGAGTAGCAATGCAAAGAGGAAGGGGCTATGGCTGGGAGTTGTAGCATACTCTCCAAAATTTCTCCAATGAAAATAGGGCTGTCTATTCCATAACACCTGCCCACCTAGCAGTTCGAAAGCATGCCAAGTGCAAGTAGATAAATAGCTACCGCTCCGGCGGGAAGGTAAACGGCGTTTCTGTGCGCTGCTCTGGTTCGCCAGATGCGGCGTAGTCATGCTGGCCACATGACCCGGAAGCTGTACGCCGGCTCCCTCGGCCAGTAAAGTGAGACGAGCGCCGCAACCCCAGAGTCGGTCATGACTGGACCTAACAGTCAGGGGTCCCTTTACCTTTATTCCATAACAACAACAACAACATTTTTTATTATTTATACCCAGCCCACCTGACTCAATTGCCCCAGCCACTTTGGGTGGCTTTCAACATATATAAAAACATAATAAAACATTTTAAAAACTTCCCTATACAGGGCTGCCTTCAAATGTTTTCTAAAGGTTGTACTTATCTCCTTGACTCAGGGGTTGCATAACTCCACACTCAGCAACATTTCTCCAGTGAAAATAGGGACATCCTAAGGAAAAGTGGGACATTCTGGGGTCAAATCAGAAACTGGGGCAGCTTCTGTAAATCCAGGACTGTCCTGGAAAATAGGGACACTTGGAGTCTGTTGTAGTTTATCAGAGATTTCTAGGCCCCATCACAGAACTACAGTTCCTAGGCTTCCCGGGGGCAAGAGAACAACCATTATCCTAGTTTAATGGCTCATCCACACTTACCTTTTGCCCCACAAATACTAGGCAAAGGTCTGTACTTTCCTGGCCCATGTCTGAGCACTCCCCCCTTCTTTTGCTCCATTGCTTTCTTCAAGAAAAACCCACTCTTTAGTGCTGAATTGGAACAAATAGCAATTCAGGTTTTCTGCGGAGTTGTTTTCAGCAGTAAAGAGTGGGTTTTTTTCAGAGGAAGTGTTGGGGCAAAAATAAAAAAGAAGTGCTCAGACAGAGAGCTTTAAAGTGTGAACCTGTGCCTAGAAAAGCACCACAAAAGGAAGTGTGGATGAGCCCTAAGTGTGGAGATATGCCCTGTCCTTTCAGTGCTGAAGTTGTGCCCTGAAAGCACATTACATAAATGTAGGAAAGACTCATTCCACATGGCATTAAAATTAAGCTGTTTCTTGAACAGAACAGAGCAGCTGGTAAGCAGTGCAACAACAACACTGCGCAGCCGTTTAGGGCACATGGGGACAGGTAGGAAGGAGAACCAAAGCTAATTGAAATTTCAGGGAAAAACAGAGAAGCAGGAAGTTATATGCTTCTGGGGATGCCTCTCAAAATGTCCTTGTGATCTGATCAGCTTATTTACCCTGTGTTGCTGAAAACGAGTAAATAAAAGCCTACTACATATACAAAAAGGCAATTAAAATCTGCATTCATTTCAGCATTTTATTCTAAGAAGCAGGATTTTAGATCTAGTTCTAAGAAAAAATCTGACAAGAGAGAGTTAAGGAGTGTATGTACGCATTTAGAAATCTGAATACTGATTCAGATAAATAGGAGGCTTTTCACATAAAATCCAAAATGTGGGTTTTAATCTGCATTGTTTTTGGTCTGGTTTCATTGTTATAAACAGCAAGCAATGTCTTTCAGACTTTTTTTTTATTAACAATGAATGTCTTTTCTTATTTTAATTAAGAAAAAGAGTCATAAATTAAATATCCACCAAATTACCACCTATCCTAATATATTGTAATGTTTGCCAGATAGCCCAAGGCACAGTAGTTAATCAACTCAAAATCTTACATTGGTCACCACAGAATTCTGTAGCACTTGCATTTTCTTTTTTTAAAAAAGAAACTAAACAATACATTTCATAGCACTTTGTCAAGAACCAGTTTCCCTGTTGCTTATTCTTCTCTACAGCCTCGAGAGACTAAAAGAGAGAATCAAACTGTTTCAGAGCTGTGAAATTAATCAGAAGCCACAAAACCAGTCCAGAGGCCCAGAAGCAGATGCCCTACCTGAGATTTCCTTTTAATCCATTCTCTGAAACCTAGCTAAATTTCAGATTGCCGCAATCTCTTTTAAATTAGATATTTATTTGCTGGAGAGAAAACACACACAGAGGATGGAGGCTCTCTCCCTTTTTTTCTGCACAACTGCTCCAACTGGAATGTCTCTGTCTCTTTTTTCAAGGAGAACTTTTGTGACAGAGGCAGTGTTTGTCTTATGTGGCAGTTCTTTTCTCTGCTTCCATTTAGACATTTGTTACGGGAGCACAGCAAAATGACAGCTAATGAATGAGAAATGAATAAGGAGCCACATTATTGCCAGCAGTGAATGTCTGTTCTGTGCTCGTGTGAGTGAAATGGGGGTGTTTCCTCAGCTTGGATTTGAATTCCACATGAAAGTATGAACTCTACTAAATCCTCCTCACACACTGCTCTCTATGCAATTGTTATATGAGTCTTCAGTCCCTTTGTTATGCAGCTGCACAGCAGTATACATGCACTAGTCTTGTGTAAGGACTGGAGTTCCACTGGAGTCCTGCCTTAACAAACACATTTTAGCAAACAAAGCTTGGAGTCTGTTTCAGTCAAAAATGCACTCTGTGTCTTTTTAACAACTTTTCCGTTTTGTTCAGGAGTGCACACATCAGCTCTCCAATATGATTTCTCACTTCTTCTTTTTCAATGCCTTTATAAATGTTTGAATATATAGTTCCCATTGTAAATTCAAGCCACATTTCCAGAAAACACATTTCCAGTAATGAAGGACATGATTGGCAAGGTATCTAGGATGCCTCCAGGCTGTTACTATTTTGTAGGAGGGACTTTAGGTTTGCGCAACTAAGGTAGATTAAAGTGCTCTCTTGCCCTAGTAGAACAGATGTACTTTGCAAAAATCCTGGACTTTTTGTGGTTAGGGAAGTGATTGTGAAATATACTGAAAAGATGTGGGGTGAGCAAATGATTAACAGGGAGAAATATAAACACCCTGTAAGCAAACAAAGATGAGTGCAGGATGAATGCTCATTGCTGTATAACTGCCCTGTAAACAAATCAGAATGAATGCTCAGTAAAGACTGAACATAGTCGAGCTTCCATGTAAGCTTTGTGCAAGCAAGGCAGGATAAACCAAGAATAAACAAGGCATCTGAGGATATCTTACTATGCTTCCTCCCTTTTCTGCAAAACCAAACATGGTTAGTGATATGGGGGATAGCGATGAGGGGTGAGCATCAGGACTCGCACTGGTGGGCACTTCCTGTATCTTAGCAGGAAGCTCAGGTATACAGGGTCCACCAGATCATTTCAACAGAGTCCATTGAAACTATCAAAATATTCTAGATTAGTGGGGAAGGACTTTGCAGAACCCAGTCTGACTTCTCTTAACAAAGATTTTCTTCTGTATTTTTAATAATTCTAGATTTTATTATGCATGGCCACCGATTTACTTGGGACACAACTTGGACTAAGGAGTTTGTCCTCTGGTATGGAGGTTGGTTTTTAGTGACAAGTTGTATATTTTTGTTAGAAGATAAAGAATGCTGCATTTGAGTTCTTAAAAGATTCTTGCAAAGAAGTCATAACTTACTAAAATCTGACAGCTAACTCTACAGCTCTGTCTTTTCATCCCTTCTGTTTGACTTGTTTCTTCCAACACCATCCATACAAATATCCTGATTGGGGGAATATGGATATTCAGGGCCATCCTACCCATGAGGCAAGGTGAGGCAAGTGCCTCAGGTGGCAGGATCCACAGGGACAGCAGATCCAGCCTTCAAGGAATACAGTGCTCCTTGGAGGCCAGATCTGTCTTCTCTTTGGCATGCCCCCATGCCAACACTACAGTAGCTTCTTGGCAAATAGGAGGTACAGCCGGTCTCCTCCCACCCTTGCTCCTGATGTAGATCTTTACTCACCCATTTTTTCCTGGCAGAGAAGACACCATTTTGTCATTTACAGTGGTACCTCGGGTTACAGACGCTTCAGGTTACAGACTCTGCTAACCCAGAAATAGTACCTTTGGTTAAGAACTTTGCTTCAGGATGAGAACAGAAATCGCACAGCAGCGGCGCAGGAGGCCCCATTAGCTAAAGTGGTGCTTCAGGTTAAGAACAGTTTCAGGTTAAGAACAGACCTCCAGAATGAATTAAGTTCTTAACCCGAGGTACCACTGTACTTCAGGTGCCAAAATGTCCTGGGCCAGCCCCGCTGCTACTCTTTAGGAAATTGCCTTCACATGTACAAGAACACGAGTTTTTAAAAGTGATATATATTGTCCATAACTGTTTCAACAATAGCTGGTGGAAGGGAATCATTTCCTATTACATTAGTAAGAGTTTTAGCTACTGAATCATATATCAGCAAATATGTCCCATGGCACATATAGATGTGTTGGTGTCTCAATAGATGTGTCTTACCTCCTTTAGGCCACATTGTCTAGACAATTTTTCATTTGCTATAAGACTACCAAGGACTACAATCGGAGCTGGCATGTGCATAAACATATTTTAGTTAATTATTTAATACATTTTGGTAACCATTCCAGTAGCATTTTTTTAAAAAACTTGTAGCTATTGTGTGCACATTTTCTGAAGAGGACAGTGAACGACACTTTCCACTGCACATTTAGTGCCCAATAAAATGCCCTCCAAAAGTCCACATATCCCAAAGAAATAGAATGGGCATCTACCACTAAATTTCCCACATTATCTAGAGCAGTAGTTCCCAATTGGTGGGACCAATTGGTGGCACCATTCACAAAAACTACAATAGAGATATCAACATTTTCAAAAGGTGGGGGGGGGAGCTTTTGAAAAACAGGAGGTCTGCAATACTTAGCTAATTGGGAACGACTGATCTAGAACAATCCCAAAGAGTAAGTGTTGCTCTGGTTGGGTTTTATAGCTGGTCTGACAAACAAAATATGTTTTCTTCAGGAAAAGTGTGGTGAAGTCTAGGAAGCTGTTTTTCTTCCCAGCAAACGATCACAGCAATGCTCAGGGGTAGAGGTCCTCATATGAGACAGACAACAGCAACCCAAGCCAGCAAAAAATTCAGTTCATGGCAAATATATTATAGTCACTGCTACTACTCTTACCAGTATGGGTAGTAGCTTCTTAACTCAGGATTCTACCCATAGGAACTGTGCTTCTGACACACTTTGTGCATGTCAATATAACATAATCACTTCAGAAATCACCCAGAAAACAGGGCTGGGACGGTCACCCCAAGAATTTCCTCCCTCTAGTCCCAACTAGTTTTTGTTTGCAGAGTTATCACAAAATACCAGCTACCAGTGAAGGAAGGCCTACCTTTATCGTCTTCATCATTATTTATTAAATTTGTATACTGCCCTTCACCTGAGGGTAACAGGGTGGTTCACAACATAAAAATACAAAATGAGAACACAAAACATATAATAAAACTAACCCAAAAAATCCCCAATAACTTCCCCCCCCCAAAAAAATTATTATTATATTTATCATGGACTGAGACAGATCCAGATGCTCAGCCTCACTCTCCCTGGCTTCATATATCATTTGTATCTCCTTGTATGTAGTACTGCCTACTAACAGCAGTTCCTTCCATTTTCTGAACCACTTGAAAATGCTAGATGATGAGCATCTTCTGGCTATACTAATTGAATGCTCTTGATTCCATTCTACCAATTCTGTCTTTTCATCACTGGATGACTACTACACTTGGGTACTTTCTATTTTTGGAAAGCTAACAACAGATCCATATTCAATGTTCTTTCAAGATGGTTACTACATGAATTAGAGCAGATTAATAGTGTTTATCTATGAAGAGCAGGTTGTGTAGGTGGATGCTGTCAAGCAGAAGTGAGTCAGCCTGTTTATGACTGAGGATCACAAAGGGAAAGTATCAAAACAAGATGGGTTGCAGTTAATGCATTTAAGCACGAAGGTCGCAAAGTTAATATGACCTTCTTGTATTTATGAAAAGCCAAATACATTTTAATGATAACACAAAAAGATACTTATTTCAGAAATTACGGTTACATAATTAGATGGACGCAATAAATAACAGCGAACAATAAGCAATCATGAATGTTGATGGAAGTACATTAATAACAAGAACAAGCACACATTGGAAATATGAACAGAGAACATCTGGGCTGACCATTAATAAAGAATAGTCCTATGCTTTGGAAAAGTTTCTCTGGCAAATAACTACTAACTTTTTACAGTTCAAATATAGCAGCTAATGCTGCCAACTGATTCACAAAACATTTTTTACCACGTGTTTAGCTCCCGTTACCAACACTTATGTGACAAGGAAACTACATGCTGGACATTTTCATAAAGCCATCCTCTATATGTCAAAAAAAGAAGAAAAAGTTTTATAATGGTGAGGAACATGGTTGTATGATTCCATCCTACAAAGTGTTATTTTCTCTAAATCTCATGCAAATGCCAGGTGAAAGTTTTGTTTTGTTTTACATGTGAACTCATTGCTGCCATGATACACTGTGAGATATGTAAAGGAAAAATGTGATAGAGTTTTATTCCCCTGAGGCTGAGTAATATAGGACACAACATGCTCCATACATCTGCATTCACTAGAATGGCACAGCAGAAACAAACCTCACTGGACAATCTGGGAAACCACAATCAATGCTAGCAAGCATGTAGCCCATGGGAGGTTCTCCTCATAAGTGTAGCTGAGAGGGGAGGGCAGCTGCCCCCCCCCCCAAAATATAAATCAAGTAAATAGATAAAAATGCTTAACTAACTGACCAAATGTTTCCGTAGGTAATTCGGTTTTGCCCCCTGTGACATAAAGCCCCCCCCCAAAAATAAATCCTGGTCACACCCATAGTTCTCCTTGCTCGTTTTTGTGCTGTTATGTTGAATACCAACAAGGAAGTTAGTACCAATAAATAAATTTTCTAGATAAATAAATATAAACTCCAACTTCTTTCAGCTTTTGTAAAATTATTATTCCTTATCTAATGGCCTGCTTTGGTGACTTTAAGTTGCTTCCATCTACCGTAAGTCTACAGGCAGTAGCTCCGGCATAAGAAATTAAACATGAATACTGGTTTCTTCCTTTCCTTTGCCTAGGTGCTATTTTGCTCCCAGAGAACCACCATTCAGTTCAGAACACTTACGGAATTAGCTTGCTAAGCATCTAACTTTTCCTCTGTTGGTTCTTCTCTCTCTTCCGCTTTGAGAAAGTGCCACTTTTGCCAACATGATGTGCCATGGCTGAAGTCTGTGCATTTAAAGCCAATAAATCAGCAAATGTGAGATAGTGATTCCAAGTCACATTTCATACACACATGGTGATTTTTGTAAATAACACTAAGTGCATACATGTGCAAAAGATACTGTTCAGATGTGAGTAGTAACACGAGGAAGCTTCTTTCATTAATTTAGATGCTCCATATACCCCATTAAAAATAAATTAATGGAAACACTCCTTTCAAGCTGTGCATTACCTCCCACCTAGGAAACAGAGGCACAATAATCCACAGTTAAGCATTTTTCAGTCCCACTGATTTCAATGGAAGTCTGTGGGCTTCTACTGAAATCAATGGGACATTCAAATGCTTAATTTTCATCATCATCATCATCATCCTTTTTATTCGACCGTCAGTCAGAAAAAAGTACATTTTGTCAATACACAGTTAAAAACATCCAGGAAGATTTTAAAACTTAGCCAACACTAAAATGGGCTAAACAGATAGCCCCATATCAATACAGTCAATTATAGTCTTGCGATGCTTAAAAGCTAAGAAGAGAAATTTGGCCACCAAGGAAGGTATAGCTCTAGTGGCGTTATTCAGCAAGTGTAAAACCTGGTTTTCTCCAGGTAGGAAGCTGAATTGACATAGGAGTGGGTCTATAAAATTTTGTCTAAGCTCTGCATAAGAAGGGCAAGTCAAGAGAATGTGTTCGGTGGACTCAACCACCCCCAAGGCACAATGACAGGTTATCTGGGCGTATGGTACTCCCCTGTACCTTCCCCACAATACTGCAGAGTCAAGGACATTTAATCTAGCCGCTGTAAGAAGTCTACGGTATTCCACATAGTGGATTTCTGCAAGGTAGGGGGCTGGTATGATCCGATAAATCTGGTCCCCTAGGAACATCCCTGGTTTTACCTGGGCTATGTCCTCTTGTCTGGCAATGTCACTCAGTCTCCGGGAGATCACAGCTCTAGCTTGATTGTACGTCATAGACTCGAAGTAAAGGAGAGACAATCCGCAGGATTGAACCTCATTAATGACCTCCCTTTCCCATGATGATTGGAAAACGTCCCTCAATATCAAGGGGGCAATACCCACTGGTTTAAAACAAAGCTTGAGCCAGAGCCAGAGCTTCGTCTTCAAGGCCACATACCGTAGAGCTTGCCAGCCGACCTCTAATCTCATAACCGCACCCGCTACCGAGGGGGGAATCCTAAGGATGGCTCTAAGGAATCGCGTTTGGATAGAATCCAGTTTCAAAAAATCCCTACGGGAGCCTAAAGAGATGCCCACCAAAAGAAGGGGGAGGACTTTCATTTGAAAGAGTCTCAAAGCTATCTTCACTGATTGAGCCTGATTCTTAGCATATAGAGATCTAATCTGGATGGCTGCTTTAGATGCGTTAGTTGTTATAAAGTCTCTATGGGCCAGAAAAGACCTATTTGACCGTATTACTTGTCCCAGATATTTAAAGCAGTTAACCTGCTCTAGGGGGATCCCATTCATCGACCATCGATGGAGTCTCGGTCGGGCAGAGAAGACCATGATCTTGGTCTTCGCATAGTTGGGTTGGAGCTCATGCTGATCACAGTATTCATGTAGAGCTTGCAACATTCTCCTCAATCCAATAGGGGATCTGGCAAGAAGTGCGGCGTCATCCGCATACAGAAGAACGTTCAGAGATCGGCCTGCTAATTTGGGGGGGTGGAAAGCATCATTGGCCATGTGAGTCACCAGTGAGTTAATGTAAAAATTAAACAATGCTGGGGCCAATAGACAACCCTGTCTTACCCCTCTAGTGGTGGTAACCGGGTTGGAGACTAGGCCTTTATTGTCTAGCCTGATTCTCAGAAGGGTGTTTGTATGGAGGCTGGTAATCAGATGAAGGAGACGGCGATCGATCTTTGTAGCGGCCAGTTTTATCCATAGCTGCTTTCTAGAGATTCGATCAAATGCCTGCTTAAGGTCAATAAAAGCCACATGAAGAACCTTTGGGGCTTTGCCGGCATACTTTTCCGCCAGGTGATTCAAGGTTAATATTTGGTCTGTGGTAGATCTTCCAGGGCGAAAGCCCGCCTGTTCATCGGCAATGATATTGTCGTCCTCCATCCATTTCGATAGTTTGTTTAGCAGGTATCCCGAGTAAATCTTCCTAATGACATTTAGCAAGCTGATTGGCCTAAAGTTGCTCGGCTCTGTACGTGGTCCTTTCTTATGTATTAATACAATCAACGCAGAGCTCCAGCTTGAGGGAAATTTTGCTGTTTTGTTTATATGCGTGTAAAGTGCTGCTAAAAGTGGGATCCACCAATCTTTATTTGCTTTGATGACATCAATGGATATAAGGTCATCACCAGGGGCCTTGCCTGCTTTAAATTGATCTATGAGAGTTTCAACTTCAGGGCATGTAACTGGGTCCCAATCGGGCAGTGCTTCCGGCTCCACCGTATCTCCGCAGGCATCATGAGCTGCATACAGATCGGCGAAGTATCTTTCCCAAGTGTCCGGTGATGTGGGGTTCTATTCTTGCAAGCGGCCTACCCAGATATCTGGAAATTAACTGCCAAAAAGAGGCTGGATTTCTATTCTCTGCAGCTATCAAAAGGTTGTTCCAATTGTTTCTTTCTGCCTCGAGCTTCTTTTCCTTTAGTAGGGCTTTATAACTTCTCCTGAGGGTGATAAGACGGTTATTTGGCATGGGGTCATTTGATGCTCTGTATGCCAACCATTCATTATACAGATGATTCTTGAAGTTTTTGCATTCCTCATCGAACCATTTTTGTGGAAAAACTGTTTACCATGCTTTGTGGGGGACCGAGCTAGTGTTGGTTTTAGAAGTTCTACTAAATCGTCATACATTGGTAGAGGCTCATCCGCCTGCATAAGGGAAGCCCTTTTTATTTGGAGCTGATCAGACCAGAGAAGTTCGTTCAGCTGTTGGGCCAAATTGGAGGTCCATTTAAGGGCTGTAGGTCTTATCTCCAGATGGTCATTTGATAGGTGCACAAAGGAGTGCCTATCAAGTTCGTCAGCCAGAGTCAAGGAAATTTCTAGAGGGAAGTGATCACTCTCCAATCTTGAAGCCACCTTAAAGCTGGATATTTTTGGGGTGAGGTCAGGAGATATCCATACAAAATCAATAGTGGATGCACGTGAACCTGACCAATAGGTGAATTCGGCAGGGTAGTCCAAGCTGATTGCCCCATTTAGCAGAAGGAAATTGAGGGCCAGCAAGGTTTGCCTGCATTTGAAACCTGCGTAAGTGGCTATGTTATCTTTGAATTTCCTTGGTAGAAGATCTGTAGTCATAAGAGGTGAAGAAGGGTACTTGCTAAATTTAGAGAATAAGATTTGGTCAGTGTGTGACAGGCGTCCATTAAAATCTCCCGCCAACAGAAAAGTGGCTTCGGGTATTTGTCAAAAAGCGTTTCCAATGTCACTTGGATTTCCTGCCATCTCAGATCAACCAAATTTCTCTTATAAATTGGACATAAGTAGATATTGATCACTACTATCGTTTCCTCTGCTGTTTGCAACTTTGTAATCAGCATGAGTGACGACTGGATGTCGATTTTTTCGGCCTGAAGATTTATGGCTAAGGAAACAAGAGTAGCCAAGCCTCCTTGCGGTCTACCATGTGATAACGAATTCTACGTGGCATTCAGGTAGAAGCCCTTGTATCCTGTTAGATAGAAGTCCTCACAGGCCCATGACTCTTGGAATAGGAGGATGTGGCTGCCATTTATATAAGCAACAAATGATGGATCTGTCAGTTTGGATTTAATACCAGCCACATTCCATGATAGTAGTGTAAGAGGCCGCTTTGTGTTTCCCTCAAGTCATGATTTCTCTTGCGTGGTTAATCCTGGAGAATCCAAATGGGGGTGCACGCTGCGTGAAGGGGCAGTAGGGTGAAAAAAGGCAGTGATTTTTGATTGTTTGCACTTCAGGTTCAAGTTGTCACATGCCCCAGGAGCAGCCAATGGCTGGGGCGAATTTACAGATCGCTGTAAGAGAAAATCTTGATACGAGGGGGTGTTACTAACCGACAAGTCCATAGACTCGTCGTTTGCCGTATGCTCTATAGTTGCAGGAGTCGTGCCTTGAGGATCGACGCTTGTTGATGGGAAAGCACTATGTAAGACAGAGGAAAGACATCCTTTTCGGTTAGCTTCCAGTAGCTTGTTTAGCCTTGCCACTGCCTCAGTGTTTGTCCAACGGGCTACTGGATTCCCCAGTGTCTCTTGCATCGTCATGGTATCAGCACAAGGAATGCAGCCATTTTGAGGATTGGAGATCGTTTTCGCTGCAGGGGGGTCCACATAGGCTTGTGTCTGCCATTCTTTAGAAGCATCTATAGTGGCCAAAGCTGGACCCGTCAAAGCTCTACCCCTTAAGGCAGTCCCTTCTTGCCGGTGGGGTGGTCGGCTAGTAAATCGTGGGGAGGGGTTCATAGGAAGGGTCCGTTGCTGCGAATTCCGGTCCTCAGTCCTCCTTGTAGGCTGGCTAACCAAATTTGCTGAATTTGGGATTTTCCCAATAATGCCCCTACAATTGTTAAAGAAGCATCTTTGTGGAAAGATTCCAAACCAGTTGAGACGATTTTGAAGTTTGCTCAAAAGTGCAGGAAGCCTGGGAGAGTCGAACTTGAGCAACAAGTGCTTAAATTTTGGGGTCTCTGGCAGCCATTCTAATGATAGGAGACCACCCTGGGCCAAGTAAGACCTGGTCAACATTCGCAATGAGATCACAGCAGCTTTACGATTTCTCCAGGCATAATAGGGGAAGCAGGAGAGAGCGATGTTCAAGCATATATTATTAGGGGTGAGTTGGAGGTTTACTAGCTGCTGCCCCCTACTTAGGCTCTGTGCCTCATAATTATCAGGTCCCTGTTGATTTAATTTTGATCTGATTTTTACATTTTAGAGACAGTATGTTAAATAAAATCAAATAGTCACTACTGTAAGCAAAAGGTTAAAACTCATCATAGTATATTTTCAGCTGGTGGACCAGGAACTCTAACAGCAGAGTATCTATGACTGGATGATATGCCCAAATATTTATTTTTTGCTATTTGGATTTTTGGTACAGTAAAAAACAACAACAACTAGGCACATAAGTATGCAAGGCTTTTGAAGAAACTCAGACATGGTCATTCAAAACTTTCCTACAGCTTCCTACAGCTACTGTACTGATCTTTACATTGGGTAGCCTGGAAGAACTATGGTATAATTCCATTTGGCATAGTGCACAACAGGGAACATTGGGTAGGGAAAAGTAACATTATAGGTTTCTTTGGGATATTTTGTGTATTTCTAATTTATCACAAGTACTGCAATTTTGGTAGAACCTATGAGGACACACCATTTATAAAACAGGCCAAGCCATTGGCATCTGGCAAAGACAACAACCTGGTTCACAAGTCACACTAAGTCAAACCATGGCCTTGTGTGATCATGCAGGCTTCTGAAGAGGTGACTGCAGTTGCTTTGCTCCTCCCTGGCCATTCTGCTGGCCATTCTGCTGCTGTGCTGACCTAACCTATGATTTTGCTTAGCACAGGGGTTGGGAACCTCAAGTCCATGGGCATAATTAGACCCCACCAGTTGCCCACATTTGGTTCAGCAGGCCATTTTGGTCTAGCCGCACCCACTATTATATGACATGAGATGCGGGGTAGGGAAAGTTGTGGCTGGGCCAAAAAGGGGGCTGCAGGTGCTGCCAAATCAGCTGATTGGTGGGACCCACACGGGAATTATTATTATTATTATATTTATTTATTTATTTATTTATTTATGCCCCGCCCACTCTGGGAGGCTTCCAGCAGAATATTAAAATACAATAATTCATCAAATGTTAAAAGCTTCCCTACACAGGCCTGCCTTCAGATGTCTTCTAAAAGTCAGATAGTTGTTTATTTCCTTGACATCAGGTAGGAGGGTGTTCCACAGGACAGGCGCCACTACCAAGAAGGCCCTCTGCCTGGTTCCCTGTAACTTCGCTTCTCACAGTGAGGGAACCGCCAAGAGGCCCCCGGCGCTGGAGCTCAGTGTCCGGGCAGAACGATGGGGGTGGAGACGCTCCTTCAGGTATACTGGGCTGAGGCAGTTTAGGGCTTTAAAGTCAACACCAACACTTTGAATTGTGCCCGGAAACGTACTGGGAGCCAATGTAGGCCTTCAGGATTGGTGTTATGTGGTCTCGGCACACAGTGCTTTGAGGCCCTATCAGCTGATTGATGGGGCTCTCTGCAAGCAGTGATCAGCTGACTGCCAGTGCCTGCTGGCACTATTCAGCTGACAGTGATGACAATCAGCTGGGATTGTGCAGCTGAGGGGGCTGGAGGAAGCAGCTTAGATTCAAAGCACTGGAGGGTGTGTTGTGAATCTATACCTCTTTCTATGCAGGAGAGAAAACATATGAATCCAGACTTGTGGTTTGGCTCTCCTGAACAAACCACAAGCCATACACCACAGCACAAACCTTAGTTACAGCTCACGTATAGTCTTAAGAGAGCTGAACCACAAGACCAGGTTCAGACAACGTGCTAAATCAAGCCATGACTATGAACAGTAGCAGCATGACCAGGAAGGAACAAAGCAGCTGTAATCTCCTTTTTGGGAGCTCACAGAAAGTCATAGTTTGGTGTAGCATTTTGTGTGAACCAAGCCACTCAACATCTGTTCATTTCATAACATTTGGGCAAATAAGTAAGACAGCTAGTGAGCAGGCTACTGCCCAGGCACAAGTCCATAGAGACTTCTTTCAGAATACAGTATTGCACTTAATAAGCACATTGAAAGAACCACTGATTCGTGGGTGTGAGGTAGGCTTATGCTCAATCTACACTGCTGTACCTAAACCACAAACTTTAGTCGTTGGGTGGGTTGTGTTAATACATCTAAGGGTCCAAGGAACAGTTAAACTAGCCTCACTATGACCACCAAAGTATTTGCTGAGCTAGACTAATAGCATATTTTGTTCAGTGTGGCTGTTCATATTGGTTTTATTAAATGTTTTCAACCTGGGATGACACTCTGGGTTTCTAGATGGAATCATAACATCTTCTATTTATGAAAGCCATTTCAGACACTTGCAAACACTGTTCTCTAGACATGCGTACCACCTAATGGCAAAGTAAACCAAACCTATGTGAATTATCCATGCTTCTGCTATGCATACATTAAAAAAAAATTCAACACAACCTTGGCCTAGTGCCTTTCCCCAGCTTAACCCAACCAATAGTGCCGACAGACAAACTTCCAAATAGCAATATTAATAGCAGATGATTCAAGTCTGAAAAAGAGCCTGCTTCTTTTTGTTTTTTATGACTAACACAGGTGCCAGCTACATGGTAAAAATAAACATAAAGTGCTGGACGTTCCAAAAGTGTGAGATGATTAAGATCACACCGCCCTCCACAATGCTGGGTAAATCTATCCTATAATTTTCTTTAATATTTCTGTGGGTTTGCAATAGCAAACAATAACTTAAAATACAAAGAACGCACAGATTTGGAACCTCTCTCGTGCAGGATTAAGGGCATCTCTCTTACACACGCACAGACACAGACACACCTGCTAAGTGTATCTGGCTATGACTCACTGCAACAGGCACAGTGCAGTTGCTAAGAACTCTGAAGTCTGCAGTTCAAATCTCAGCTCAGCCACAAAATCACTAGATTGTATCAGAAAAAGCACTACTCCTCTAGCTTCAGTCCTTCATCTGCAGCAGGAGGAGGCAGTGCTAGCTTAGTTTAGAGGCTGCAGTGAACAGTCCTGTTGTTGCCATTTGTCTGTCTTGAGTGACAATGGAGTGCACCTCCAGGGGTAAAGTCAAACCTTTGTGTTAGCAGCACTGAAGTGACCTCCCTGGGGTGCAAGCCTGGGCAGTGTGTCTGGACTTCCTGGGCTGCCCAGGAGACAAGACCCCCCCCTTGCCTCCAAAAAAAAGCAGAGCAATATGTTTGGTGCCAGTTTGACTGCAGAAATTGCTGGAAGGAGGCGTACAAGGCGCCTTCCAACCCTCTTAGGGACTCCAGATGTGTGTAGAGACCACTTAGCCTTTTCTTTTCCCACAGATATCCCACAAGGCAGTGGAGGTTTAGGGTCAGAATCTTCCTCCTAGATGGCCTATATTTCCAGGTTGATTAGCCCCAACAGCCCTGTAAGTCACTGACATTGCTTGATGTGTTTTCAATATTCAAAAGCGTTATATTAATGTTATTATTTATACAGTATCAGTGAATACCACCTTTTCAGAAGAAAAGCAGAATACAGACACCACTTTTAGGTTTTTTTCTTGCAACTAAGCGGTACATAAATTTTATGAAATAAATGAATGCAATTCCTGTTCTGAGAAGTTTGCAACTTAAGTTTAGCAGGGATGTGGAGAGAGACAACCAAGGCAAACAAAGGATGAATGTGGGCAGATGAAACTACACATGCTTAATTATCATCCCCATCCTCAGTTGAAATGAACTGTCATGGTTTGAGCCAAAGGCTTTGTGGAATGGGTTACTGATGCTTACCCCTACATTTTTGGTTGCCCTACCTGCCCAACCATCTTTTACCTGCTCCACCTGGGCATAAGCCTGTTTAAGCCCCTACACACACAAAAGCTTGTGAAGACTAGAAGAGCCCTGGTGGCCCTTGCCTTGGCGCTGACAAGTCATATTTGAAATTTCAGGTGGATAAGGTGTATTTTCTATCCCACCTCAAGAGCAACTGGCTGCTGTGGGAAAGAGTGGCTCCTGCAATTTCAGATGTCCTGGTTGCCAAGCTGGCTTTCTGTGCCACTCATTTGTGCCACTAGGAGAACCAGGACTTGCAGTTGCTTCATCATCACATTGCCAACAGCTCCTATGATGGCACAGAGCCATTCTGCAGCCCCAGTTCCCTTCTAGGTCTGGTACCAGTGGTTTCACTCTGTTTTAAGACATCTTGAGACAAGGCTTCCCTTTAATCAAATGAATTGCTATTGTACACCACTATTCTTTGCTGTGCCTGAGCAGAGTTCTTAAGGTTGTGCACAGGCTGTCCCATGTAGCTCACTAGGCCACATACCAGCCTCAAGGTCATTAGAGCCCTTGCTCAACCTCTTGAATCTCTGACAATATGTCACGGACTGGTTGAATGCAGAGGGATGGGGAGAGAAACCAGCTGGGGAACCCCCAAGGGAAGAAGGCTCAGAGCCCGGGGAGTGGTGGTGGGGTGAAGATGAGTGGTCAGAGGGAGAAGGGGGAGAAGATTGGGAAGAGGAGGTATTGGAAGCTGAAGAGGTAACGGGGTTTAGTAAGCTGGGTGAGCCTGTGGCAGAGAGAAGTCCAGAATCAAAGGCTGAAGCAGGCGAGTAGGAGGAGGGAGGCCAAGAGGCAGAGAAGAGTCAGGCTGGTAATGAGTCAAAAGTGTCTTCCTCTCCTGCTGCAACAAACTCCCCTCCCTCCTTGTCTTCAAGATCCAGAAGAGGCATGAAATGGGAGGAGCAAAGGCAGGCATGCAGGCATAGTCTCAAATTGTTTGAGGAAGAAGCTCTGAGAGGAGGAGATAGATGACTGTGAGGAGGTGGAGACCTTTAATCTCAGCAGCTGATTCATGGACACACCACCAGGCCTTGGCAGATGGTGTTTTTGCTAATAAAGAGTTAACTCCAACTTGCACAGTGTGATTTACCAATGCCTCATTTCTGACACAATATGACCCATCAATCTAAGCACTAAGATCCTATTACCTGGCTTAGCAGTTTCCCTTCAACTCTGAAGCTGTAGCTAAACTCCTGCTCTTTGTATCATCCTTTATGCCGTTCTTACCACTTCTTTCCATTCTCAAGAGCAAATGCTAACACGGTTTATATTTGAAAGCTTGTCACATGGCAGGCATCTATTTTTCACTCATCAAGCCAGCCACCATTGAAACAACAGATGCACTCCTGCGATTGTCAGCTCACGTAGCTTTTTTATCTGATGGAGGGATGAAACAGGATCTAACATGCAAAGCCTAGAAGTTATTCAATTAAAAGAAAAAAGAAACTAAGGGGGCGGGGGGAGAGATTCGGCCACAGATGCTGGTAACTGCATTTCTGCATGTCCATTAAAGACATTCTCATAAAAGCCGGAACAACACACGTCACTGGTGCAACTATGAAGAACGCTGAGAAATCAATAGTCATATAACAATGTCTTCCTTTTTAAAGAAATCTATCTGTAAGATGAAAACTGAGTGCAGCTAAGGCTTTCTCCTCCACTAAAGAGCTAAAAATTTACACGCGCTGCCAGTTCAGATTGGACCTACCATGTTTAATATATTCTGGGTTATATTTTTTCCTAGCTAAATCAATAACAGGCAGCTATTCCCCAAGGTGAAAATATACATTAAGGAGGGAAGACATGAGACTAGACAACCTTCTAGTTATTTGTTAAAGGAGGGAAAAGGGGAAAAAAGAGCTTAGAGACTTTTTGTGCTCGCTTCCAATCCACGTAGGTGGATTATATCTCTGGTGAAACATCAGCATGCAATGTAACACTGTTAGGAGCAGCCAAATGACACTCCTCCCTGTTTGATAACACGATACTTACTTTGCCATTATTGATTCTTCCACATAAGTGGCTTGTATAGAACATAACATGCTGCTTAGATTATGCTTCACAATGCCTGAGACAAAAAAAGCAAAGTAAGTGAAAGGATCCCAGCTGCCTAAACAATAATGCCTTGCTTACAACCTGATAATGGCATGAGGATGAAACAGCTGTATTAGCCTTGGCAGAAAATTATTTCAGACACAGCTATGCTTGATTTATGGCTTAAATCCTTGAGCACAGCACCTGATACAATTTTCTGAAGTCCTGTGACATTTGAGCATCTTCATGCAATCTAGTCCTTGCTGTGTGAAACTGGACTAATGGATGATAAACAACCAGAAGCCAAAAGGATGGATTATTTCACCTGGTTCTGTACATTTTGCTAGCTCCACTCAATACATGTTGGTTGTCTTAACCCCCCACACCCACCACCTCCCCAAATACTTTTCTTGGAATGCTGACTGAGGATAACGTAAGCCATTCTTCCAGCAGCTAAGGATGGTTAGATCTGGCGATATGCAAGCCAGTGGAGCGAAAGTAAAAGTTCATTTTTATTAAGTTTGAGGCCAGATTGGGCAGCAGCAGTCCTATCACTCCATAACCCATTAAAGGCCCCCTCCTCAGAGCATTCCATTCTCTCCTACGCCTCCACTCCAAGCCCTTGCAGCTGCATTACACACACTAAATGATTTAGCACTCTGTTTTGAAGATGGCCAATAAAACACACACACACACAAATGCAGTGCCAAACTTTCTAGTATTTCTTGCCAACTTTTTAAGCTTTATGGATCCTAGTGTCCAGACTCTCCTACGAAGGCAACCCACTCCAATATGGCTAACCTCCTCAAATCTGAAAATGAAGACAGCAATGTTTCCTTTCCAGGCAAGACAAAGTAAGGAAAACTTTAGTGGCATGCTTTAAGTGGCAGGACAAACTTAAAGCCTTTAGAAATAAGATGAAAACCAGAGGACCAAACCAGGCCTAAGCAAACAGACAAAGGACAAGGGGGAATCTTTCATCTGAAGAAGACAGTCATCTTCAAGAGAAAAGAAATGGGGAGAGATTAAACAATACAAAATAATTAAGCATGTGAAATCAGGAAATGGAAAATTTATTTACGTCTCTTCAGAAACAGGAACACAAGAACATGTAGTAACACACAAAGGGAACACATTCTACTCTTTTAAGAAATGAAATGGGTACTTAGTATTTTATCCTGTGTTTATGCTAGCTGCACTACTGATGTCGTCAGTTAAGGTAGACTTGACCAAACAATGTTCAGCAGTTTGTAATCTGTTGCAATAATTACTGCAATACGTAAGAAAGTTATTTCCTTTCTATTTCTAGCATATGAGCACACCCACTATGAGTGCTGGTTGACACAGCATATCACAGAGAAGACTCAGCTGAACGCTTCTCTAGATGTTTGAAGTGCTATAATCCAAGAAAAGGTTTACCACATTTCTGATTACTGTTCTCTTCTATCCCCCAGCTCACTCACTCAACTTGTTCTACCAAGTTCCTGCGTAATTCCCTTTCACATTATTCTTCCACATAAGTTCTGTGTGAAGTTCCAATAACAGGTAAGCAAAATAACTGGAGACCAACAAAAACAATACTATCCTATACATGTGCATAAAGCAGCAAACAGATTACAATCTGCAAAAAGCCTCCAATCTGAAAGAAAACAACCTGCCACAGAATGGGAATGAAATCCATTTTGATAAAGCACATGCCTTTGTGAATCATAAGCAGACTTCCTACAAAACTCTTTTTCTCCTGATTCCCTGCAGACATGTGCAATTTTCACTGCCTGTCAGTTTATCAAAAAGACCAGGGCATCAAATTTCAGCTCTGGATTGTCAGGTCTGATCCCCATTTCCTTTCAAATTCCAAAATACTGACACATTGATTGGAGTTCATAGTGTCAGACAACAGCACTTAAGAGCCTTTGTGTGTGTGTACTAAAATATATCTTCTGATCTATCTTTTATGCTTTTTAAAAACTTTTGCAGCCTCATGAGTATTGATTGATTGGGGCTCATTTATATATGATTTCCACCAAGTAGCAGGCAATTCAGTCAAACTAAACCATTCTTTTGTGTAGCCCTTTAAAAGGGGGGCCTAGCTCAGGGTATAAATTCTTGTTCAAACTGCAGTGATGTCCCAGTGGCTGAGCTTTTCTTAGTGCTCAACTGCTAACTTAAAAGCAAAAAATACACTCTAAATCAGGAAGTGTTTACTTGCTTTAAAAAAAAAAAGTTTCAGAAACTTAAGATTGTAAAAATGAGGAAGTCCCTCCATAAACAGGCTGTCTATTAATGACAGACTTTAAAAGGGGGGGGGAATGTAGTGTTTCCTACTTCATGTCTGAGGATACACACACCACGGAACAATGTTCTTAGATCTCTCTTAATAGGAATGTTTTCAGTGTAAGTATTTGAGCCTGTAAGACCCAGTTCTATATATTTCGAAAAATCCTCCTCCTTAAGACATTACCAATTGTCTTTGATCAATAAGAACATTCATCCTGTCTCAGCAACAGAAGATGCTCAGAAAACACTGTAAGCAATGTGTCCCTTCTTGCTAGAGATCTAAGGATTTTATTGAAAGCCAAGCCTGACTTGTATGTACAAGCAGCACCCAGCTGCAGTTACGTTCCCGACGCAGTTGCTGAAAGGAAACCAAATCAAACACCAACCAATTCATAAACTTTTTCTCTTGCATGAAAATGCCCCCTACCCCACTACACACACAAAAATAATCATAATCATAATCTTAAAGGGAAGCCTTTATGCTTGAAGTTAGCCAGGCGAAGGTGAGGGACATGTCTTTTTCTATAGCAATGCCACAGCTGTGGAACTTTGATTCAATCTTTGGCTATTTTTCAGAAGAGAATAATGTTCCTTCTCCATTAAGCATCTGAAACACTGTAAAGTTAGTCATTGTGAAAAAAGCAAACACCAGAGACTATGGATGAATCAATCTGTCAATTTTGGTTTCTCTGTTTTTCCTTCTTAAATTCAGATCTCCTCATCAACTTGATTTTTTTCTCATGAAAATTCACCAGCACTTTGGTGCCAATTTCTCCTAAGACACATTCTGATAGGTAATTTTGCCTTGTTGTCTCGGGAGACAATGGAAGAATGCGCCTTCGGAGATGAAGTCTAACCGTTGGAGAGTCACAGTGCCTGCTGTGGCTGTAGAGACCGATATAGAAGAGACATGTTTTATTGCAGCTAGGATAGATGAAGATGTCTGGTTGTGCTGCTGCAGATGCACCATGGTGTTTCTTCTCTTTCCACTCCTCCCGGAGGTTGTTCTTCCTCTAGTCACTGCTGTGGATACATGTCTTGACTGTCTATCTCCAGGCACTGTGGTCATCTGCAAGGGATTATCACATGTAAAGGTTGGTGTTGACAGCATTAATATCTCATTTGCAGACATCTTTATAATGAAAGCCAGCTTCTCATAAAACATGTCCTTGGGGATTCTGCCATTTTCCATTCTGTGAACATGACCAAGCCAGTGTAGATGTCACTAAGACAGGAATGTAAACATGTGAGCACATCTTTATTTGAGACTCTGTCCTGCCGTATGATGTCCAAAATCTTCCTAACACAGCACATGTGGAAGACATTGAGGTGTCGCTCCTGGCAAGTGCAAGTTGCCCACAACTCACTTCCATAAAGCAGCATGCTCAACATGGAAGCCTGGTAGACTTTCATCTTGGTATTGGACATTAGCATCACATTCTCCCATACCCTGTTGGAGAGGTGAGCCATTGTCGTAGTTGCCTTGCCAATACATTTGTCAATGGAGAGGTTGCTGGTAATGGTGGAACTTAGGTAAACAAAACCGTATACCACCTCAAGCTTGTGGTAACCAATGCTGATGTGCAGTATGCTGATTATGTCCTGACCCAGAATGTTGGTCTTTGTCAGGCTGATGGGAAGGTCAAATTCTCTGCAGGCTTGGACAAAAAGGTTGATGAATCTCTGTAGATTTTTCTTGGAGTGTGCTGTCAAGGCTGCGTCATCTGCATCAAAATCTCTCAGATCCACTTTTGTCTTAGCATGGTGACGTGCCAAGCTGAACAGACCCCTGTCACCAAAAGCATATGAGACCACCAGAGAGAATAACATGCCAAAGAGAGCTGGGACGATAACACAGCCCTGTTTCACACCGCTCTTTATAGGGAAGGCCTCCGAGGTTGAACCGTCATACTGGGCAGTGTCACACAATCATACTGTGAGGTGGGCATCCTATCTTGTTGAGAGGTGTGAAGAGTCTTTTCAGCTGATGAGGTCAAAGGCCTTCATCAGGTCTATGAATGCATGTACAAAGAGTGTCTTTGCTCTCTGCATTTCTCCTGCAGCTTACACAGTGAGAAAACCATGTCAACTGTTTATCTCTGAGCTGTAAAGCTGCATTGTGAGTCAGGATAGACCTTATCAGCTACTGATTATAGTTTGTTGAGAACTGTGTTTTCCTGTGAGTACAGTTCTTGATAGTGCTCTGCCCATTGCTTCATCTGCTTGCTGTGGTCTGTGATGATCCCTCCCTGTTTGACTGGAGAACTGAATTGCAAAATTTTAAAAAACGCAAATTTTGAAGGACGATTGTACTTTTGTTTGAGTAGGTGCAAAATCAGAGAGTTTTGACTTTAAATGCAAACTGATTTAAATCTTCCCCCCATCTCTATCTGAGACCCACATTTATTGCAGGACAAAATATTTACTTGCAATCACTGTAGATTTAAGCAAAGTACACCCAGTACTTTGCCCTCGAATACAGAACTTCACCTACTGTTCTTATGTACTCTGTTACCAAGAACTGAAAGGTTACTTTGCCATGGAATCCTCAGAGCACACAACAGCTACGAAGCTAACTGAGAAATTTATGGTCTCTCCAACTAGGACAGAAGAGGAACAGAAAACCAAGACACAACTAAGTTCAGGGCAGCACAGTGATTAAACTAGAGCCCTATTCAGGTGGTCCCTCCATATTTAACTGGTGTGAAGAAAAGACTGGGGGTGCCCTCTGAGGCCCCACCTGCTCCAGTGTTGCACCATCACCCCTAGCATAACTTCCATGTACTCAATTGTGGGGAGAATACACAAGTACAGCTGATAACACTATTGCAGAAGTTCAGCCCCTGACACATGGGAGGCAAGAACAGTGATGAAGAATGATGGAGGGGTTGGGGCCAGGAGCATACCCCTACTTTTCCCTCCCACACAATAGTAATCATGTTAGAAGAGTTTGCTGGATCAGGTCCATCTGGTCTAGTTTGTTGTTCTCACAATGGCTGTGCAGATGCTTGGGGGGAAACTGCAAGGACCCAAACATGAGAGCACTCTTCCCCACTGCGGTTTCCAACAACTGGTATTCAGAAGCATAACTGCCTTCCTCTACGATTGCTTGATGGTTAATTTAAAGACAATATCAACTCAGTCCTTATGAGTGCCTTTACTTTTTTATGCTGGTTTAAATAGCTCCAGCCTCAAGTATTTTACTGTTCTAGGTCTAGTTTCAGTGCTTTCATGTTCAATTTATTGTGCTTGTTTTATTGCATCTGTAACTCAGCTCAAGCCATTGGTATGGAGAAAGGTAGATAAGACAATGGTATCCAGAAGGCATGTTTTGGATTTGTCAGGCACTAAGGACAAGCTGGGTCCATACAAAATGGGTAGGCTGAACATGAACCGGAGTGCAATCATAGTATTGGCACTTGAAATTTTAAAAAGTGGCAGAGCAGCTTTTAAACTAATCACTGTGGGAAACTTCTGGTTCAAATAAATCATCCTTAGGGAATTTATTATTGTTCAATAGGTGCAGCATAGATCTAGGTGGTGAAGGTGCATGGGGACATGGAAGGCATTCAAAGAGACCACAGAGGAAAATTCACACATCGGGAGCAGCTGTTGTTCTTGTTGAGGTAATTTATATCTTGCTTCATATTACAAAAAAGTCGCTAAGCGGTTTGCAACATTACAAAACAATCAAGATTCCGCATTTTAAAATAGCACAGGACAGTTAGATAAGCTTCTCTTAAACATCACTATAAACTAAAACACTGTTGTTGTTTTTTCGTCATCATCATTAAAGGTAAAGGACCCCTGACAGTTAAGTCCAGTCGCAGATGACTCTTGGGTTGCGGTGCTCATTTCGCTTTACAGGCCGAGGGAGCAGCCGTTTGTCCGCAGACAGTTTTTCCAGGTCATGTGGTCAGCATGACTAGGCTGCTTCTGGCGAAACCAGAGCACGGAAACGCTGTTTACCTTCCTGCCGGAGCGGTACCTATTTATCTACTTGCACTTTGATGTGCTTTTGAACTGATAGGTTGGCAGGAGCTGGGACCGAGCAACGGGAGCTCACCCTGTCGTGGGGATTCGAACCGCCAACCTTCTGATCGACAAGTCCAAGAAGCTCAGTGGTTTAGACCACAGCGCCACCCACATCTTCGTTACCATTATACAATTATTTATACCCCTTTTTCCCTGACGAGGACTCAAGGCAGAGTTTTAGTGGGGTGATCGTTCTTAAAAAGGAGTCCAAAGATGTAGTGGGCATTACAGAAGCTTGTTGGAATTGATAGAACTAGTAGGATATGGTGATGGATACAAACGCTGGATGAAGGTCTGGATGTTGCTCTGTTCATCAAAAGCATTAAGAGTCATACGAAGTAGAAATCCCCAAAGTGGCAGAATTACTGACTGGGAATGCTGCTGTCACACCCTAAAAATAATTTAAGCTGGTATTCAACTAAATTTTCCTCAGAGAGACCTATCGAAATTAATTGCCCTAACTTAATCGTGTACATTTATTTCAACAGGTCTGCTTCAAATAAAATTTAGCATCTGGTATGCATTTACACTACCACTACACTGACCAAAACACCTACGATTATCAAAGAGGCATCCAAAGGAAGATGCGTTCTTGTACTAGATGACTTCAGTTATGCTCATACTGGGTAAATGCATGCTCTGGTCTTTACAAAGAATTGAAATTTCTACAACAGTTGATCACAGAACTGACCGTCTGTATGAAAGACAAAATTTAGAGTCACCATCCAAGTTGACAGCTATTACAACATTTTCCCACAGTTTAGTTATGTGTTGTGTGAAGTACTACTTCCTTTTGTCTGCCTGAATCTTCCAACAGTCAGGAAACTTTCTCCCTCCACTTTCTCCACAATATGCATAGTCAATGTTTCACATACCCCCTTACACACCTTTTCCCCTATCCAAACCATTGGTCATTTTCTTCAGCCCCTTGGTCATTCTGGTTGCCCTTTTCTGATCCTGCTCCAGCTCTACAATAATCTTTCTGAGTTGCAGTGACCAAAACTATGCACAAATGCAATTGAACCACAGACTTGTATAACAGCACTGATACTGGCAGTTTTATTTTCACCCCCAGTCCTTGTTATTCCCAATATGAAATTACCCATTTTTACAGCTGCCACACACTGAGTTGACATTTTCACTGAGCTATCTACAATGACTCCAAGACCTTTTAGATGTTTAGTCACTACCAATTCAGACTCTGTAACCACATACAGTGTGTGGCTTTTTGCCCCAGTGTGCATCACTATACAATGGCATATGCTAAATCACTCTATGAGAATGACTTCTTGTTGTTATCCAACTGTCTCGAAAGTCAATGGACTGCACTCCCAGGGGTGAAGTCACACCACTGTGTTCGCAGCACTGAAGTTACCTCTCCGTGTTGTATGGAGGTCCTGGGCTGCCCTGATGAAAAGACACACACGCCCCTCGGAAAGCAATACATTTGGCACCAACTTGGTTGCAGGAGTTGCTGAAAGAAAACATACAAGGCGCTATCTAGCCACCTTAGTGACTCCACTCCTGATTTGTGTAGGGTTTACTCCTTAGCCATCTCTTCTCCCAAATAGATATGGGAGGCCCAAGGCAGCAGAGGTTTAGGATCAGTGTTTTCCTTCTTTTAGATGGACTACCTTCCCAGGTTAACGAGCCCCATCTGCCCCTCACTTCCCTCTACAGCACGTGCAGAAACTGCTTTCTTGGCCGTTGGACCCACTATTGGTCTCATCCGCTCAATCCACCGGAGGTTGTTTTCACATGCAGGGGAAGTCCTTAAGTCATTGAAGGTTTGAGACCCATCAGCTACCCTCACTTGGTTTAGCTGGCCAGTCCAAGTCATTCCCTGGACATGGCCGCTGTCACATGCTGACAGCTTCTAGGAGCCACAGGAGAGAGCTGACTGCAGGTTGGGGACCAAAGGTGGACAAACTACCCCCAGAAGCATGACGGCTCCCCCACCCAAAGTACTGCCTCTCTCCTAACACCCCATGTTTCACCTTAGATTTAAGGTGCTGCTTTTGACCTTTAAAGCCCTTCACGGCCTAGGACCCTCATACCTACAAGACCGCCTCTCCCGGTATGCCCCACGGAGAGCCTCAAGGTCCATAAAGAGCAACACCCTAGTGGTCCCGGGCCCTAAGGAAGTTAGATTGGCTTCACCCAGAGCCAGGGCCTTTTCAACACTGGCTCCGGCCTGGTGGAACGCTCTGCCTCACGAGACCAGGGCCCTGCAGGATCTGATTTCTTTCCGCAGGGCCTGTAAGACTTGGAGCCAATTTGATTCCCTCCCTCTTTCTTTTTTTCCTTTCCTTCTCCTCCTGCGATGAGGCCACATTTTAATATTTTAATGTTTCAATATTTTAATTGTTGTATTTTAATATTGTTTTTAAGTTGTAATCATTCAACTTGTTTTTATTATTGCTTGTAAGCCGCTCTGAGCCCAGCCTTGGCTGGGGAGGGCAGGGTATAAATAAGAATTATTAGTATTAGTATTAGTATTAGTATTAGTATTAGTATGACTAATATTGGATATAGCCCTTACATCTCATACCTGGTTCTGGGCACTCCTCCATATTAAGTCCAGGGCACAGGATAAAAACACTATAAAAAAGTCAGAAATTAAATTGTTACAACAAAATAAAAATAAAAGCTTATATAAAAATCCATATAAACTCCTTTTTGCTCTCTGGCACCATCTGTTGTTGGATGTTTAGAACACATTCAAAATGTATTATTGTGACGAATGTAGCTGAGTCCCAGGGTTGCCTCCTCTCCGGTCGTTCCATGACCAACTATTCTAAGGTGCAGTCAGTTAGGCTGCCTATAAATTTTACCTCTTTATCATGATTGGAATATGCATTTACTCTGGATTTTGTCAAGGATGCTGGACTCAGTGAGCCTTTGGTCTAACCCAGCAGGGCTCTTCTTATATTATGAGTGAATTTTTCTCATTAAGTGTAAGTATATTGGACAGATGGAATCAAACAAGAAGTACTCTTGATACCACATGGTAAAGTCAAGCTTGGTAGGACAGAACTGATGCAAATTCACACCAGTAGTTCCTCTGGACTCTTATATACATTAGACTCTTATATACATTATAAACTGGACTCTTATATACATTAGAGAACAGCACAGAACATGGTCATGCTACTGCTGCATCCTATGGAATATCTATGGACTCACACAGGGTTTTATGGACAGAATAACACGTGAAGCAGCAAGAACAAAAGTCAATCCATAAACAAGAAGTAACAGACTCTTTAAGTACAAGTGAAAAACCTTTGAGTTCTACACATGTTTTTATGCTGTAAACTGCCCTGTGATCCTTGGATGAAGGGTGATATATAAATGCAATTAATAATAAATAATTATAACATGCACATTAATTATCAAATATGTCATACTCCCTTCTATTTTCTCTGTACTATATGCTTTGAAAATCCAACAAGACTTCACTAAGTGGTCTGGAGGACATTCCGGCCATTAGGATAATCAAAAGCTAGGGAAGTGGGCTTTGTGCCATCCAACAGATGGCAAGAGCCCAGGCAGTCCAGAGTCCATCATGCATGTGCATCAATGTGGGAGTGGCAGAGAGCCGCATACCCAGATGGGAATATTCACATGGCCATCCATCCTGAGTTCACACTGTGACAGGAGAGGGAAAAAATATCTCTAATCCTGGTTTGAGCTGAATTAAGCCAGAAGGATAAAGAGCAGGTTCAAGATCTACCTTAGACTGGTCCAAGGGATTTGTAAGGGATAAAGAAAACCACTTCCTAGTGTCCTGAGTCTCTCTCTCTCTCTCTCTCTCTCTCTCTCTCTCTCTCATATATATAGGAGTCCCTCCGTGAAAAGTATTTTCTGTTTTTTCCTCACTAGGAACACATAGCAAAAGAGAAGCTATTAGGAAGATGGGAAGCTGCCACCTAAAACAGGGGTAGGGAACTTTTGTCAGTCTGAGGACCACACTCCATGATGATTGGCAATTTCTGGGGGCCACAGTAATGGGCAGGGCAAGAGCAAAAAAAAAAGGGGGGGGACAGGCAAAGCGAAAGATGCAACCCTTGACATTGTACAGCAGGCTATAGTCCAACAAGTGAAAACTGGAGGTTTCTACGCATTTCTTTCAACCCTCCATCCAAGCAAGCAAGCAAGCAAGCAAGCAAGCGGCAATCTCACAGTTCAATTGCCTCACAGAGGCAATTCCAAGCCAGAGCACTAGAGGAGGAGCAGCGTGGGAGCCAGTGGATGAGGCCTGGGAAGATGGAGTGTGGCCCACAGAGTTCCAATGGCCAGATAAAGAAACCGGGGGTGGGGTGGTGGTGGTCTGCATTCGTGAAAAAAACACCTCCCCCCCTCACACTCCTGATCTATACAGTACATAGTTTAACTAAGACTCAGGAGCCATATAACATTAAAATTGTGATTTCTCTGAGGGTTTGTTTGTTTTTTATGATGGAAGACACCAAAGATGTGTAACGTAAGCAATTATTACAGGCACACGCTGCAAAATGAAAATGCCACTGTGGTCACCAGTCCTTCCCTCCCATTTTGAAAATATTTTAATACGCAATAATTGGTGAGTTTACACAAGGATTTTTGCCACCAGTTGTCCATCCTTCCCCCTTTCCACTCTTGCTCCACTTGGATTGAATTATGAAGGAACGCTTGATATTTTTTTAAAGTGCATTTATTGAAAGTAGAAGTCCAACCACATAACCACTGCACCCCAAATTTCATTTGCAAAGCTGTGGTACATTCTTATTAAAGTAGATACTCTGGAGCCTTCTTTGACTATTCAATAATTCACTTTCCTAACTGCAGGACTGTCTGAAAAGAGTTAAAAGAACACATAGGGAGTAGTTTGCTATTTTAATAAAATACCCACCAATGCAGTGTACAAATTAAAAAGACAAGAAGAAATATAACATGCATAAAACCACTTCAAGTAAATAAATAAATAGAAGTAAAACTCAGACTATGGTTTTCAAAACCTTGTCAATAATTTGTTACACAATAATTTGGTGGAACTGGGAGGTTTTCACTATTTTCACTTTGGCCAGGGCACAGCCTGACCCCCTCCTTTGGCAATCCTCACAGAACTCTAGCCCAATGGTTGCCATTAATTTGATTTGAACTGATTTTATAATGAACTGATTTTAGAATGTTGTATTATTTTACTGTTGTTAGCTGCTCTGAGCCCGGCTTCGGCTGGGGAGGGTGGGATATAAATATTTATTTGTTTGTTTGTTTGTTATTATTATTCCTAAAGGTAAAAAGAAAGGTAAGGTAAAGGACCCCTGGATGGTTAAATCCAGTCAAAGGCGACTATGGGGTGCAGTGCTCATCTCACTTTTCAGGCCGAGGGAGCCGGCGTTTGTCCACAGACAGCTTTCTGGGTCATGGGGCCAGCATGACTAGGCCACTTCTGGTGCACTGAAAGACCGAAACCAGAGCAGCACATGGAAACACCGTTTACCTTCCCGCCGGAGCGGTACCTATTTATCTAACTGCACTGGTATGCTTTCGAACTGCTAGGTTGGCAGGAGCTGGGACAGAGCAACGGGAGCTCACTCTGTTGTGCAGATTCCAACCGCCAACCTTCCGATTAGCAAGTTCATGAGGCTCAGTGGTTTAGACCACAGCGCCACCTGTGCCCCTAAAACATAAGAAGAAAAATCTACACAGGGCTCCCTAGGTAATACATGTCATGATTTTGTTGCTGCAAGGGAGAATGCCATGCTCCAAGCATTCATAGATCAAATCTCAAATAGATGTGGAATCCTTAACAGGGCCACCTGGCCAACTCTTATTTCTCTAACACTGATTTTCTTTTTCTCCCACCACACAGACAGTTCCAATGCAATTACTACCAGAGGATTGGCAACTCCTGCAGTCAAGCTGGTGTAAAATTTATTGCTCTGGTTTCTTTGGTCCACATCAATGAAGCCAAGGGGTATGGTCATCTGGGCAGCCCAGGACCTCCATACATGCTGTCCAGGCTTGAACCATGGAGAGGCCACTTCAGTGCTGCAAACGCAGCAAAAACGATGCAGGAGGCAGCTGTTATTAGTTACCATTCTCTGCAGCCACAGCAGGCAATGTGATTCTCCAGTGGTTTGACTTCACCCCAGGAGGTGCACCCCATTGTTTCTCAAGACAGGCGGATCACAAAAAGATTTTCTCTTTCTCCCACCACATATACAGCTCCAGTGCAACTACTACCCCAGTCACCCCAGATACTATGAATCTTAGATTGACTAAAGTGTTTAATTCAGCATATCTGAGAATGAAAATAATACCATGTGGATATACTCTCTTTTTTGTCTCGGTTATAGCTTGGAATATTAGTGGAGATGGATAAAGGCTCCCTTTAATCCTTCAGAATGATTCAGCACTTCCCATCTGATTAGCACTTAAATCTCATTTGACAATGGACAAGCTAGAACTCTTGTCCAGTATGTCTAAAATTTATCATCAGTACTAAGCTACTTGTCTTTCTGGTCAAGATCTAGATAGAGTAGCATCCTTTTGCACAAGGTAAAATCAGCCCTCTCTAATAACATTGATTTGATAAGGATAGGGGGAAACAGAATTTCTCTTTCCATCCTCTTTCATGCTGAACACAAGATCTCCAAAAACAAGGAAAGAATGTTGCATTGCAACTGATTTCTATGTAAAATTAATGAAAATAAAGGAATTGTGCTTCACCATTCATAATGAATAACTATGCCAGCTTATATCAACCTTTTCAGTTTCCACCTCTAGAGGGCTTTTAAAATGGGGTCAACAGCAAACATATCTTTACATTTGATCTGAGAGCAAGGAATACAAAACAGCAGAGCTTACCCAGAGTGAATAAACAAAACAAGACCTTATCCTGATGATGAAAAATCATGCAGAATACTAACTACAGCTCCCACCTTTATGCTAGATATGGATTGCATAGATCAAGCTGGTTAGAAAAGAAGACAGAACAGTGAGCAAAGATACATGGCCCCCATTAACAATGCTGAAAGATCAATGTTGGCTAAGCATAAGAATGACAATCCCATATGTCTGATTCAATAGGACACAGAGCACCTGCTAGCTGAAGAATACAATGCACAGAGATGATGGAAGGAAACAGATAAAAAAACTCGTATCACCTCCTAAAACTGACAGCCCACCTTATCCTCAAGTGACACAATAGCTAGGTCCTTGAAACAGACAAGGTATTAAGGCATGAGCCAAAAGAGCAAGGCCTTCCAAGATTAAAGCCTCTCATTCATATAAGTAGGGCTGCTTCAAACTCTGCCCTTTAATAGAAAAAATTCCCCAGGACTTAAAATTATTAAAAACAGCAAAGATAGCATTAACAGATTAAACACAAACGCACTGATTAATAAACTTCAGAATAAAGAGAGCATTTGAAACAGGGGGTGGTGTAATGTTATGTATTTTGGCAGATTTTAATCTATTGCAGTTGTGTGGATAATATCATTATACAGTTTACTCACTAGGTGGCACTGGACTTATTATATCTGGCTAGTTTCCTGCTGTTATTCTGCTCTTGTTGGAGGGAGACAATTTAGTTGTACTACTTTCTGACTAGTGTGTCTTTTAGTTTAGGATTTCCATGACAGCAGCGCTTTGCATACCAAGCTCTGGGGCACTAAATTTTCTCCCTGAAGGACGGCTTGCCTATTATTGTTTACCTCTCCCTGAAGTGCACAACTCCAGTAGTTTTGGATGTCATTTAGGGATTAGTCTCAGTTCCCGTAGGCTCTGTGTCAAGGAGCAACAGTGAGGCTGCGAGTACTGAGTACGCAATATGAATAGATTCTTCTTTGGCAGACAACTCAGTTATGCACAAGGCTCAATCAAGCTAGAAAAATTTAAAGCCATTGGACTTCAAGCACAATTGCACTCTCCAAATGGCGAATATTTAAAAATGTAGCAGCTGCTATAAAAGGAAATGTCAAAGGATCTGCAGACTGAGCACGTGGTGTTCTTCTACTTCTTTGGATCATGGCCATAACAATTTCAGCTAAATTAAATAAGCTACTATAGGTAAGCTAACATTTCAGATGTTTTCATTCATTGCTTTGTGGAATCTGTTAGGCCACTGCCTTTCTTTGATGTTCCCACCCAATTCTCACCCGATCTTCTTTGGAAAGCATTTGATGAGTAGGGTATTTTGAGAAGTAATTAATTTCACTTGGCAAATGTGCGGTAGATGCATTCTTTGAGATCACACAGTTGTAGTGCCCTATTGTATAATCATGCCAGAGATATTTCTTTGTGAAGGTTTATTTTTCCTTTCTGGCTGAGCTGCTGCTAATATCCTGGCTTTTTCATTTGTATTGATTTTGCTGTAAGTGCTGTGTAGCATATATTCTGCCTTTTAGGCAGACAGAAGCTGTTGGGTTGCATTCTACTCCCAAGCACACTGGCGTGGTTGAGAACAAATGTTGGTCCTAAATTATTATTCAGCTTTATATTATCAGAAGCTTTTGAATAGGCTAGTCAGGCAGAATTTCAACCTTGCAACGGCTCGTAACTCAAGCATAAGCAAGTATGAAGGAGATTACAACATTTCATACTTTGTCACTGCTGGGGACATAAGCGTTACCCATTGTTGTGGCAAGATGAGTGGTAAAGACATTCTTTACAATAAAATAACTAAGGGCTGCATCCAACTAAGCGATGCCATGTCCTTTAACATCAGTGAGCCTACTCTGGGTAGAACTAGCACAGGACATAGCCATGCGTGTTTATTGTGCTAAGCCTGCTACTGAATCTGGAATCTTGAAGAAAGCAACTTTCTGGCTCATAGGGCTGCAGAAAGTATTGATGAATGGGCAGTCTGCCAAAGGATCAGTTGGGAAAAGGCCATTAGTGAATGGCACAACACCTTGCCTCACATCATTTTCCTGCTCATTGAGCACCCGACTTTGGGAAGCCCTGAAAAGCATACAACCACCACACCGGAGGCAGACTGTGGTCTTTCAAATTTCAGTGGCATCCTGTGCAAGGCCAAAATTTGGCATGTGCCCTCACACCTTCTTTTCTGCTCAATTCACTATGTCTTGGTTGTGATGCCCTGTGGCAACCCCTAGGCTCAGCACCCAGGGCAGCGGAACCAGTCACACTTCCCTAAATCCGCCTCTGACAGCACAACGCAAAATAATTCATTCTATGTCAGTCTGCTAGCTGAACTGTCCCCTTGACACATACATAACAATACTTAATATTTGCACAGTGCTTTCAAGTGTTCAGAGCGCTTTGCATGTATCATCAAGTCACTGTCCTTACCTAACCCTATTAAGCCTCCTGAGGGAAGTCAGCAGATAGAACTCCCATACTATAGATGAAATGTGTAAGACAGCGAGTAGCTGGCCTAAAGCCAACTACTGTGTTCGTGACGAAGGCACCATTCTGATCTGACTTTCTGATTTGCAACTGAGTCTCTCAGCCACTACACAAGTGAAGATTTCTTACTCACATCAGAATGCATAGCGTGCAGTTTGGATCCCAGTTTTTATCATCCTGGGTTGCTTGGGAATGTTTTATGTATGTTTAAGGGTCATGCAACAGTGTAACTGTACCTAAAGTACAGACAAGTATTTAAGGGTGTGAAAATACATACCTCCATGAGAAACAGATAGGTACATCTTACTATGGGAGCTGCAAACAGAGAGCTGACAGGCTAACATCCATGAGAAGGGACTCAGAAGCAGGTGCCAGGCTAACTAAAGAAACTTAAATTCACTCTCTCATTTGTATCTCTGGGGAAGTAGCAACAGAAGGATATTAATAAACACTTCAGACACCAAGGAATACTATGCTGTTTATGCTCTTCTTTTATTAAAGAGAAAGACCCATTTATCCATTAACACAGCAACTTCGTTTTTATTTTTAAAAAGTGTAACTCATTTGTAAAAAAGAGTAAACCTGTTTTGGGATCAGCAGGACAAGAGTTGTTAGCTAACCAGCATAATATACAGCTGTCTCCAGGTATATGGATTCCTCATTATGGAGGGGAATCAGTGGCTGCATCCAGACTTAATGCTGAACCATAGTTTAGCATATGGGAATGAGTCTGGTGAGACTCAGGCACATGCACTTCTACTAAACCACAGCTGATTGTAACTAACCATGGTTACTTGTTTAATCTGAGCTGAGAATTATGGCTAGTGTTAACTACAGTTTAGAGTGGGGAAACTATGGAAATCTGGATATTGTTTGACTCCAACTTCCACCAGCCCCACCCTGGCCAAGGATGAGAAAATGGGGAGCTGTAGTTCAGAAACATCTGGAGACCCACATGTTCCCCAATCCATGTGTGCTGAAGTTGGGTTTCCTTATATCACAGATAGCATTAACCAGTTTGATTTGGACATAACAAGTAGTTGAAAATGGAAGCAAAACCTCCCCATCTCCTCTGTGTGGCTGTGCTGGGGGAGGAGAGGGAAGGAGGGAGTCCATGAGCCAGAATCAATGGACCCATTAAATTATGGTCTGTCCCGATTCTACATGGGAACAGGACTTAAGTCTGTCCCGTCCTGTTTCTGTGCAGATTTTTAAGTGGGGAAATATTCTAAGTAGAATTGTATGGAACAACATGGCTGCCCCCAATTTTCATATGGGGGCAGCCATGGTATTTTTGTACAATTCCTCCTGAGAACAAGGAAATGCCATCAAGTCGTGCTGCTCCCAGGGGAACTGCCTGTGTTCCATTCAAAGCACACAGAAACAAGGAACCCCACGTGCTAGCCACTTCAGGCTGTGGGTAACTGAATTGCCCATTAAAAAAGCTTAAATGTAAGAAATATATCTTACATGAACAGATGCAGCCTTGCAGCCCTGAGACTACCTCATAAAGTGATATTTGCTGTGGGTTCTGAAAGGAACCTATAATCTGATCCCAATCATGATCAGATCACATAAGGTCACTTTGGAATCTGATCTTAGTGGATTCCTCCCCCAAATCCTGAGCAGGAGCCTCATGGATGTAATGCTAACCCATAATTTAATGTTGCATGCAAGCCAAGTCAATAATGTATGTCAACAACATGGTGAGCAAACTTCCCAGAGTGCAGCTATTTGTGTTTTATAGGTATGTGCCAATTGTGGTGTATCAATGTGCTAAGAAAGAAAAAAAGAACACAACTCTCTTCCCTAGTTAGAGAAGTTTCTGTTTTCTTGTTTGCTGCATGCAACTGGTGGGAGTGATGCTTTCCACTAGTAGTATGTGGCATGCACTGGTGTGGTGTACTTTGTTTACTTCTGCTCTCAACCTACAGCATATATGCACATATACATATGGACACATCAATCTGTTTGACTCTCTCTTCATTTAAATCAATAGGGCCCCAATTGGATTTTAGCAAGGATGAATCCTACCAGTGGTGAACCTATGTTTTTAGGGCCCTGAAGTTTGAAATGTCATGGGGGCTCCTTTGTAACCAGCAACGAGGTCTGGCTAACCCCTTGTTACCTTCTTCAGTGGGGTTGTTCCATGACAGATCACCACAATTTTAAAAAAATTAACTACTTCATTTCAGATTTTGATTAAAATGGCTGTCCTGGATTATCTCACCTGTCAAAGTCAGTAGGGGAAACAAAAATGCCTTATGCCTTATAGATTTTTAGCCCCACATTGGGCAAAAGAGTCCTGCACTGAAGCGAGTTGGACTACATGATCCATAGGGTCCCTTCCAACTCTAAAATTCTATGGTTTGTTTTTCTGGATTTTCTAGCAACATATTCACAGTCAGTTTCATCACAGGAGAGCTTCCTTGCAATGTCATTTTCTGGAGACAATATGCGGAAAGAATTTAAGCGGTGTTCAGCAGAACAGCCAACTTACCACGCCGCTTCACCTTTGCAGCACCTGCACAGTTTCAAGACTCTTGAAATATATACCACCAAAAATTATTCAATTTGAGTCATGCTACTCAAATTGGGTCTATGGGTCCATTTTTTTTAAGCAATGAGGAATAAAGTTGCTTCTGGGGCCCCTCTGGGATTAGGGGACCTGAAGCTTAAGCTTCATTAGTTTCATAGTAGATTCGCCCCAGTCCTACCCAATCTAATCAGTGAGATGATTTGTGGTGCTCAGCTTTGATATTAAGGGGGGGGGGACCAAGCCACCTTGCAAAATGTAGAGAGGATTTCCTGAAGTATATCAAGGATATATCATTAGAGGATGAAGAAATTAGTAATATCCTTCAACACTTCATCTAGTCCATATATATATATATATATATATAGTTATTATTTACAGTTTGAGAGTAGAGTTGAATAAACAAGAAATAATTTAATGAGGGCATTTTTGTACTTCTTGGGGGGGGGGGGAAACATAAACAATTATTTTTTTAAATGGGGTCAGAGATGATGGCCTTCAAAATCTTCAATACATCAACACTTCAGCATTTCTATACAGGCTAAGATACACGTCAGCCAAACCAGTTAGCTAACAGCAAGAAGTCTATGATCAGAATTTTTTTTTTTCCTTCTGTGGGCTAGAGGAACATCTCTTTGCTTAATCCTAAAGAGGTAGCAAGCAGTATGCAATCAATTTCTGAAGATGTTCCTGGAAAATGTGAACAAACAGTGCCACTAACATCACTTGCCTCCGGCAGCAGGAAACCTATCTCTCTGCTCTGCTTGATGTCAGGTTAGGCATACTGTGTGGCATCATTACCAGACATCAAGAACAAGTGTGAGTTTAAAAGTATATTCTTTTCTTGGTGAGAAAAGAACATATAATCACTTACCCTTCAAACCTATAAAATTGGAGTGGGACGAGACCTAGCTGTTAGGGAATGTTCAACATTTGTCTTTTCTTAAGGTTTTCCTGGTAGCAAATATGTATTCTCTCTATCTCTCTCTCTTTCATTTTCCCTCTTCCCAACAGATAAAAGGGTAATAAGCAAAAGGCTGAGCATATCCTCCCTAAAGTGATTGCTGGTGGTTTTCGTTTTTTAAAAACAGTAATTGGTGGAAGGAGAGAAAGACTAGAATTGTTGGTATTTCCTTTGGACAGATGGTGAACTGGATCAGAACAACCCACAAGACCTTTAACAATATTGTTAACTGAAATACAAAATAGATCTCCCCATCCCCAAATTCTTCTGTGACTATATTGTGGTATATGCCACAATAACATACCTCAGTCTTTAAGGTGCTACAAGAATCTTCGTTGCTTCTTTGGGAGTAAGAGTTTCCAGTATTTTGAGTTACTCAGAACTGTGTGTTTCCCTACACTTTCCTGCATAGGCTGGGTGGCTTTCTAAATGACAGCCTATGTAATTAAGATGTGCAGCTATTCAGAGTATTGCCACCCCCATTTTTATTAAACTTTTAAACTTGTATGTAGTAGGTTACAGAATAAGTAGTAGGTTGCAGCCCATGATAAGAGGACAAAACAGCAAAGACCTTTTTCCAGAAATGAGCACAGATGGATGGCAATGCCCAGTAAACTGCAACTAGGCCAGCACTGAGGTGATAGTGTGGAGTTGATGAGAGTGTTATCCAGTGCCAGTACAGATAAACCTTCAAGGTTGCTTCTTGGTTTCTAGCTGAAATAGATTTTAACAGAGGACTTACTTACCCATAGTCTGCCCCACACCTGGTCCTCTATTTGGATGCCAATGTCTGGTTCACAGTAATTTTTGAGTGCTGTGGATGACCCCATATTGATTTCTATGAGAAGTTTATAATTCTGGGATACTAAGCCGTTATAGTCTGGTGTTGATTGTGTGTACAGATACACAAAAAAATGTCTGGGTGCATCAAGGCTGTCCTTGTTTGTAAAGTTTATTGGGAAGTGTCCAGATCTGCAGGCCTTGTAGCTGGGTATGAGGTAAATTTCCTAATTTAACAGATAGCATTTCCTTGGCTATGGGTCTGCGCTTTGGGAGGAGGTCATAAAGTCTATATAAGCTTAATGATTCCCCTTTTTTATATTGTAGGTATTTGTCTTCTTGTCTGAATCCTGGATGATTGAGGAAGCAGGCAGCCACGGGTGGAGGTGTTGCCAGGAGAGATGACCATCATTTCCAGATGTAGGTGTTTGTATCAGCATTTGCATTAGAGTTGGGAATTTTGTTTTGTTTAAACGTATTTTAAAATTTCCATAAAATTACAACTACAAAGATTACAAATCAAACAAGTAGAGTATGGAGCCCTCACCTAAAAGTACCGTAATACTTAGCCCTTACCAGCCACAGAGGACAGTAGCTCCTCCCAGCTCTCACCTGGGATATTTCCTTTCTCCTCCCAGCCTCTCACCCTGGGAGACCAACATTATCTTGTCTCTCATGCAGGATCCTCCATCAACCATCCACTACCTCCATGAATATACAATCTCTGGAGGGAGAAAGAGAATTTTTTAAAAAGACTAAAGAAAGAAATATATTAAAGATACAAACAAAAAACTTCTGATTTTCCATTTGCCAATTACAAAAGAAGAACATATAATTATTTAAAGCATTCAGTCCATGCTAACATCATCTCCTGTTAATCAATATTAGAGGGGGTTAAAAAAAAATTAAAGTCTTCTCTCTCTTTTTGCTGTAATACAGAAAAAAATGAAAAAATGAAAAAACCAAAAACAAACAAACCTGTGTTGCTTCACCATGAGCGATGTCAGCAAAGAACAGTATGATTGCTGCTGTTCCTACAGCCAATGAGGAAGCAAGAGGGCTAGATTAATAAGAACTCTTATATGAGGCAACTGGCTAGAGCCTTCGTGGTTGCAGGGATCTACTCACAATAGCTTTCAGTTAGAAAAATGAATTTCTGACTTGTAATGCTCAGAATGTGTGTGACTTGTGTTGTGCTGATGTCTTAAAACTTCAGAGCAATTAAGCCACTTGCCCTGTTAAGAGTGTCATCCAAACTGGCTGGGTAGTTGAGAGGAAGGAAAATGTGGCTTGTCTCAAGGCCAGTACCTCTAGCAAAGTTCTCCTGAAGAGCTCACACTTAAGTCTCCTTCCCACTTCAATAAAAAGGACCGTGTGTCAGCCTTCCACTATCGCCCGCCACCTCTTTGCTTACCCTTGCACATATTGAAAGCCAAACCTTGAAAATGCAGGGCCAACTGCCTTGCTTAGCAAGAGCTAATTAGTGTGTGCAAAACCGGAGAAGCTAGTGAATTTGTCTGCAGTTTTGCAAAGACAGCCCCCTTCTGTCATAAAAGGAATAGCCAAGTGATGCCAGCTCCGAAGAGGAGCCTACGTTGCATTAAAAACCAACTGCCATGTGCAACTAATTGCTCCACACACAGCATAGTCCAAAAATAATTGACTCTGCCTGTTTTGCTATTTTGGGGAACCAAAGAAGAATTAGCATGCCAAAACAAAGTGCCACTTATAAGGGAAGGGAGGAGAACCACTGTGGCCATCTGCTTTCTATGTCAGTGGCAATATAAATACTGGTAAAGAAAAATAAAATAAAAACCTCTCTCTTTCCTTCACTACTTGCAACATTGAGAAAGGTCCTTTGGTGAGTTAATGCACTTGTGGCATTCTGAGGACAATCCTCTCTCATACCGCCCCTCTGTTGGAAAACACCACTATGGCTCAAAGTACAGTGTACTTGTATGCTGTTTTGGGGCTAGCTGCCCCAGCATATTTCTGAAGGTTATCGCCAGGAACTGGCGACAAAGCACGTTAGACAAACTTTGCTGGCCTGCATTGGCTTCCAGTAATTTTCCAGGCTGAGTTTAAGATTCCACTTATCACCTTTAGAGCCTAGAGCCCAGCATATATCTGCAAGAATACCTCCTCTCATATTTTAGTCTCCCTGATGTTTAGGATCTTTTGTGCACATTTGCCTCTGGGCACCTTCTTTTTGAGACGGTGCCCAAAGCTAGGAATCTCCCTCACCACTCTTCTCATTTTCCCTTTGTTTTAATCAGTTTCATCAGAACTTCTACAACATCCATGTCAGAGAGAGGGAGAAATGCCAGAAGGAAGCCCTTAAATGCCATTCAAGTGAGAGGTGAATATGGTGCACTGTACAGTATTACAAGGTTTTAGGATGTTACAAGGAGTTTACAGGAGTTGGGATGTACCTGCATCAGGGCTCATTTTATTCTGCTTATGCAAAGGGCAAAATGTTCTGATGATCAAGATAAGCCCTTATTTCTATGGTCTCATGTTTCCCTGGGTTGTTCCTAGGTCAACTGCAGGCAGTATGTGCAGGATCATATTACTTCCAGCAGTTCTTAAAACAGAACAGGCTGCTGTGCTTAGAGTTCAACTACAACATATCCCCCTCTCTCCCTATGCTTCCTTGTCATCCTGCAACATCCTGTTGTACACTGTTTTGTGGGGGATGTATGTGTATAACTTTACCTTTTGCATAGCAGGAATGTAGACTACTGTACAAAGTAAGAGTTGCATCCACTGTCCTGCCTACCTTTGCCTCTGGCCCCACCAACCACTCTCATATGGTCCCTGGAAGGTTCTCCAGGAGGCAATGTGGCCATTGAACTGAAAAAGATCACTCACCCCTGCATTAAGTGTTCAGATACATAGGTAAAATGTTATTCTACTTTTGATACATTTGGAGCCTAAACAGCATCGCCAAAGGATCTCACCCCTCAATACTTCCCAGCACTAGAAGAGACCGACCCACAGGAGAATCTCCACAGGCTGCCAAAATACTCACTGGTAGACAAAAAACACCCTGATATGATTTACAGTATATAATAAAAATCAAGAGTTGAGCAACATGAGAACCGGGAACAAAACTAGCATAATTTACAAGACGTAATAAAGGAAAAGTTGAGCAATAAGAACAACAGAAATATGACTAGTAGCCCTGTTGTATTTTAAAAATACTCTCTCATGATCTGCATGTGCAAAATATCCATGGATGTTATTTTGATTGTTCTGGAAAAGCTATTTTAAAAAAGCAGCAAAAGAACATGAAAAAGTAAAAAGTCTGCACTATGTTCCAGTAGCATCTGCCTCACTGACTGCTCAGTGTCAGGCTAGGCAACATTCTGGTCTCGTCTTCATTTCATGAGAACCCTCCCCTCATGTCTAGCAGATGCTTAGCTATTGTACCATGTGGGCAGAGTCTGAGTGAAGAAGACAGCCATGTCACAAAGAAATGTTTGTCAGAATAATCACAGAATGCAGCACACCATTACACCCATCCCCTCCTCCTCTTTATTCTGTTATGCTAAGGCTTGTAACAACTGTGGGGTTCCTGCAATACCAGGAACCCAATTTCAATTAACAGTTTGCGAACTAGCAAATTGTGACGTGGCCAGAGTCAAGTCCATACAGTAATATCAGACAGAAGTGCTCAGATAGGAGAATAAAACTATGTATGTTAGACCGAAGACAGGCATTAAAAGTGGGCAACCTTTGAGGCATTTTATTCATGGAACATCGTCAACTTTGCTGCAGTTAACTTCAAAATCTCAAGGGGAATGTTCTCAACTGCTCAAGTATAAATCAAATATTCATAGTTCGGGACAGGTGGTTGGTTTCGATGTAGTTAAAGATCTATATATTTTGGGAAATAGTTTGCCTGCCTGTCCACCTGTTCTCTATGAGTTTGAGCATCTATCGAGCTACTGCTGATAAGTGTGACACAAGGTTTCCCGAGATGGGGGAAGGAGCTTTGGTCAATTTTTGCTGCATGCCATTTTAAATCAAGATGGTGAATGGAAACATGATTTTGGCATGACTTTGCCCTTTTTTGGCATAGGTTCAGCTGCCTCTCAAGATATTGCCATTAAACAGCAGTCTTCACTGACACTTTTAATTATTTTTTTCCATAGAATTCAAGGTTGCCTCCTATATGGTTCTCTCCCACCCTAATTTTGTCATCACAACAACACTTTGAGATAGGCCAGACTGAGAGAGCATGACTGGACCAAAGTTTGCTAGTGAATCTTGTGTCTTCTCATTCTTCACCACAGTGGCCCTCAGCACTATAAGAAAATTAAATTAATTTACCATTTTCGGTTTATAATCAGTATGTTTGCCAGGAACTTAGAACCAGTGTCATTTTCATTGCAAAGCATTAGCCTTTTATCTGAATCATAACCCAGGAGACAGTACCATGCTGGGCTGTCAAACAAGTTAATATTCAAGACAGTACACTTTTTCAACTGAAAGAGCAGCAAGGATTTATCCACACTTCCTCTTGTGCCACTGCCTCCCACCCGCCCCAGGAAAACTGCTCTTTAGTGCTCAATCAGACCAAATGACAACTCAAGTTTTCCCTGGATTGCCATTTGTTCTGATCTATCACTAAAGAGTGGGTTTTCCCTTGCAGAGTAGGGCAGCAAGGGGAGAACTGCTTGGACCCATGTATGGCGCCAGCGGATGTGTATATGAGCCCTAAATCTGATCCACCCTTGCCTGCTATGTTGAGTATTCAGGGTGCTGTGGTCTTTTCAGATAAAAAAAGTTCGTTTCAATTTTCTGTATTGTTTTTCTGCATAATGACTAGTATTGAACAGGATTATATGAACATACAGTGGTACCACAGGTTACATACGCTTCAGGTTACATACGCTTCAGGTTACAGACTCCGCTAACGCAGAAATATTACCTTGGGTTAAGAACTTTGCTTCAGGATGAGAACAGAAATCGTGCAGCGGCGCAGCGGCAGCAGCAGGAGGCCCCATTAGCTAAACTGGTGCTTCAAATTAAGAACAGTTTCAGGTTAAGAACGGACCTCCGGAACGAATTAAGTTCTTAACCCGAGGTACCACTGTACTAGAACAGGCTCCGGCACTTCAGAGCATGCCAGATAGAGAAGCTATGGTTGCAAAGTAGCACCATCTAATGGCTTTATACTGTCATTGCAAGACTGGAAAGCAAATAAAAAACAGTACAGTGGTACCTCTGGTTACGTACTTAACTCATTCCGAAGGTCCGTTCTTAACCTGAAACTGTTTTTAACCTGAAGCACCACTTTAGCTAATGGGGCCTCCTGTTGTTCTCATCCTGAAGCAAAGTTCTTAACCCGAGGTACTATTTCTGGGTTAGTGGAGTCTGTAACCTAAAGCGTCTGTAACCCGAGGTACCACTGTAAGCTGATCCAAGACTGGAATTCCACGAACAATTAAATAGTTGGAAGGCATGTCAGCAGAACTCATTAAAAACTTTTAAGAGTTTTATTCTGCCTTAATGAAACAGAAAAGAAAGAAAAAACTACTGCAACCAACCAGCCACACACATCCTTCTCACTTCTCTCTAGTGATATCTGAACTTAAAGACATTCAAGATTTATAAGTTCACAGGTGTGGTTCATTTCCTCAGAGAAGCATTGTGCAGTGCTCCACTCCAATAAGTAATTACTGCGGCTTAAGTGCACCGGGCACAATCACTACACCTGTGGTTGTGCTAAACCAGGGACAATCGTAATCATTATGGCTATTATTCTTATTCTACAACTGCAAATGAGGTGATCTAGGGTCTGATGTAATTAGCTTCTCAAACACTACAAGAGTCCCTTTTCTGATAGTCACACTCTCCACTTATACTGGCACACAAAAGTAACCATACAGACCTCCACAAATGAATTCATGGCATTTGTGTGCTGCTCCATAACAAAAAAAATTCTGGGCAGCTTATGTAGGAAAACAAATTAAATATGAAAACAAGACATGAACCCAAGCCAAAATTAAAAGCAACAAAAACAAAACTCACCATACTCCAAAAGTTAAAATAAGGAGATATTATGATGGAGATATATATGATGTCCATAAATAATGGTTGAACAGAAAGATCTTCACCTGGTGCCAAAGGGACCGAAAGGAGGGTACCAGATGAACCTTGCTGGGACAGCTGTTTGGTAGCCAAGATGCCACTATTAAAAGTCCCTCTTCTCACTGGTGGTGACCCACCTTACTTCCTTTGGTGGGGGAACTCAGAGGAGAACCTCCAAAACAATACAGTGGTACCTCGGGTTGCATACGCTTCAGGTTACAGACTCCGCTAACCCAGAAATAGTACCTCGGGTTAAGAACTTTGCTTCAGGATGAGAACAGAAATTGCGCTGTGGCGGCGCAGCAGCAGTGGGAGGCCCCATTAGCTAAAGTGGTGCTTCAGGTTAAGAACAGTTTCAGGTTAAGAACAGACCTCTGGAACGAATTAAGTACTTAACCCGAGGTACCACTGTATTAAGATCAGAATTGTTACATATTGGAGGAGGTGATATTTCAGGTAACCTGGTCCCAAGCCATTGAGGGTGTTGAAATCTTGAAACCAAATAGTTCAATGTCACAGGAAAACATGTGAGCCATGAAATCCCTGCTCAAACAAAATGTCACATCAGCCATAAATTCACTAAACAAGCCATAACAAGTTACACCTACTTCAGACTCAGTTCACTACCCGATCTGCCAATATGGGATTAATAATACAGACCTAACACACAGGGTGGTTGAAAGAGCTCTCAAAACTTTTGAAATGTGCCATACAATAGTAAATATTGTTACTCCAGTCCAATAGCTGTCCCCAGTTCCTACAAGTGAATGTGAACAGGGGTAGGGCAGGGGCAGAAAATCCATGGCAAAATTCAAAACAAAAACATTTTTAGCAGTGTCCATTATATGTCATAGGGGCAAGAAACAGAAGCTATTGCCCAAGGCATTTGCAGCAACTTCTTTCCAGCTCTGAAGGAAAAATAAGCTTATCAGGAGCAGGCAAGCATCATAACCTCACTCGCTGTGTACCAGCAAATGACCAGGGACATGATCTTTCAATAATAGAATGGGTAGAAATTGAGGGAATGTATACTGACAGTTAAACTGGAAGAACAACCTTACAGAGTAAGGGGCAGCTGTGTAGTGATAATCTAGGATGGTGCCTGAAAGCTCCTTTTTCTTATAATGCTCCCAGTAAGCAAAGACTTCCGAGTAATAAAGGGGTAATGCTCCTGCTTAAAGTTTATAATGCATTGGGGTGGGGGAAATCAGGTAGGCATCAGATAGGAGTGGTTGGGGAATCTGTGACCCTCCAGATATGGCTGGACACCAGTTCCCATCATCCCTGCCTATTGACCATACTAGTTGGGGGCCATGGAAGTTGGAAACCACCATTTGAAGGGCCACTTATTTCCCATCCTTTATTCAAGGGTTGCAGCTGCAGATTTCAGTCTAGTGTGCTCACTGCCTGTCTCAGCAGAAGCAAGCCTAACTTGGCAACAGTTAATTTCAAAAGTATTCCTAGGTCAATCAAAAGGCAAATTTGTAAAAGCTTTTTTTTAAAAAAGGCTACTGTAATTTCTAGCACTTCCTACTCGCATGGAAGAGCAATACGGGCATGGAAATCATATATAGTCTGTCTACCTATTGTTGTTTAGAAAACAAAAACATCAAAGTGTTTTGTGGCACCCTAAGACTGACAAATTTATTGCAACAGAAGCTTTCATGGGCAAGAATTGGCTTTTAGGTTAGGGTTACCAGACGTCCCCAGTTCCTGGGGACAGTCCCCGGATTTGCAAATTTGTCCCCGGACAAATTCTGTCCCCGGAATATTCCCAGATTTGCAAATCTGTCCCTGGGAAACGTGGCAACGGCAGCCTTAGCAGCCCGGAGCCAGCCTGTTAGCGCAGTTGGCTCTGGCTGGCTTCAGGAGCTGCTTGCTGCCCGCCATTTTTCCTGTGACACGGCAGCGAGCAGCTCCTGTAGCCAGCCAGAGCAAACTGCACTACCAGGCTGGCCCCTCCTGGGCAATGGCTGCCTGCCTGTGACTCCCGAGCCTCTCCTGATCTGTCAAAACAAAGGGGGAAGGGGGAAGGAGATCAGGGGAGGCTTGGGAGTCATGGGTGGGCGGCGCGCTGTTGCCCAGTTTTTAAAAAACTGCATTTATGTTTCACAGGGTGTGAAAGAAGGGCTTTGCACCTTTATACAATATGCATGTGTGCTTGGCCCAGGGTTTTTTGCCTCACCATCCCCACTACTAACTCCCTGTTGCTACTCAGCTCCCCCCCCCCCCCAAAAAAGTGTCCCCGGATTCATTGAAAAAAATCTGGTAACCATATGTTAGGTACTTGTGACAAACTGCAGCTTTAATGTATATAAAACAGTAAGCATCACCATTCACAAAACAGTGATGACTTTAAAACAAACATTCTGGCATTGGCAGGGGTGGACTTTGGTCTTTCAAATTTCAGCAGCTCTCTGTGCAAAGCCAAAACCCACCCCACCCCACCCCCTTCCATTCTGCTCATTTCACTATATCAGAGTTGCAACACCTTGCAGCCCCTCTAGGCTCAGTGCCCAGTGCGGTAGAACTGGTCATGCTGCCCTAAAACCGCCTCTGGCACTGGTAAGGAAAAGATAAAAACCTTTTATCTTGATTCAGGCCACAGGTGATTTTATTTCACATGTAGTTGCTTTCTCACAGTCAGACAGAGATAGTAGCCCTCCCTCCTAATCAAGTTTATGATACAATTTCCTTTGAAAAATCTATGGACTTAATGGAAGCAAGGGTTAACTTGACCCTTCCATAGTTCTGTGCTCACACGTGGCCTTGGGTAAATCACACTCTTTTAACCCCACATTTCCTAATGTGTGTAACATGTAAACAGTGCAACCCAGGACTAGGTAGGTGGATTGTGTACTTAACCAAAAAAAAAGAAAAAAAACACCACCACCACCCACACTGATTTATCGCTTGAGGCTACAATTCGCAGAAGGCAGCAAATGAAACGGTTCTGGTTTTAGTGACATAAAACTTTTAACACCAAGCCTGTAATTTTGTTCCAAGAGGATTCTTGCTACTAGCCTTGCTAAAATTGGATTATCTTATCACATGTTAGTCTACTGCTTTCTTTACTAACAAATTAAAAAGTCTGGTCATCAGTTAGCCACACACACACCTTGCAGAGATAAGTATTGATTTTCTGCTCCACAGAAACAAAGCCTTAGATGTTCTGTTAAATGATTGACTGCAGCTGAGAGCCCTTCTTAAAAGCAGAGATCTTAAAATACATTTGTCATGCCCACATCCTAACAGCTTCTGTACACATGGTTCTCACTGTTCTAGATGGTGCTCTGGCACACCTTCTCACAAGTTAGTTTGTGAATGTAAACTGAAGCACAGGAAGTATAAATGATGGTTACCTCTTCCCTTACATAAGTCAGACCAGTACAATTTATTATCTATCTCTGTGTGTACACTGCCAAACACATACAATGGTACCTTGGGTTACAGACGCTTTAGGTTACAGGCGCTTTAGGTTACAGACTCCGCTAACCCAGAAATATTACCTTGGGTTAAGAACTTTGCTTCAGGATGAGAACAGAAATCGCACAGTGGTGGCGCAGCAACAGCAGGAGGTCCCATTAGCTAAAGTGGTGCTTCAGGTTAAGAACAGTTTCAGGTTAAGAACAGACCTCTGGAACAAATTAAGATCTTAACCAGAGGTACCACTGTATATCTATAGTCAAGGCATATGCTGTCCCCTAGTTGGGTAAAAGTGTTCAATAAAAAAGAGGCAAGTGTGTCTGTGCAGAGGAGAAATTACTGTTTTGCTCATTCCTTTGAAGCCTTCAGTGACTAACGTTAACATTATATTGTCAAAAATTCAGCAGGCCTCTGAAGGATGCATTGTGTTTGTGAGCAAACACATTTGCATCTCAAGAAATCTGAGGTTTATGCAATGAGTAGATTTAAAGGGAAGAAAGCACATGTTGTTTATGCCAGATGAACATCCATGCTTACTGTTTTCCTCCTACATTCAACATTCAATTCACCTGGGAGGGAAGGGAAGGAATTTACTGCATGCATAGAATAAAATGGGAACAAAGCCCCATAGAGACGTGCAGAACAGAAAGTTGCCTTATACTGTAGTGAGAACATTGCTCCATCTAGCTTAATGTTGTCTGCACTGACTGGCAGCATCTATCCAGGGTTTCAAACAGGAATCTCTCTGAGTCCCACCTGGCGATGCCAGGGATTGAACCTGGGACCTTCTGCATGGAAGGCAGGTGCTCTATTACTCAGCTACAGCCCATTCCAGGTGGATGCTGTCCTAGGTATGCAGGATGATACCCTACCCTTTCAAGATGAAAACCTTTATCACCATTTGGCCATATATAAGTGTTTATCTGTGCTTCTCACTAACCTGCTCCCTTTGTCAGTCAAAGAATAATGTGTGTGCAACACCATTTTGGAAGCATTATCACAGAATCATAGAACTGTAGAGTTGGGACCCCAAGGCCCACCTAGTCCAACGTCCCGCAATGCAGGAATCTCAGCTAAAGCATCCCTGGCAGATGGTCATCCTGTCAGCTTAAAAACCTCCAAAGAAGGAGAGTCCACCATCTTTTGATGGAGTCCATTCCATTGTTGAACAGCTCTTACCGTCAGAAAGTTCTTCCTGATGTTTAGTCAGAATTTCCTTTCTTGTAACTTGAATCCAATGCTTCAGGTCCTAGCTCCAGAGCAGGTTAGGTATAATTAAATTTGTGCCCCAATTCTTAACCTCCCTTCTCAATGCATTCCTTGAGTTGACTAGCTGTTGATGGCTTACTTTATAATTAACATTTTCAAATTTCTGTACATAAGTCAATGATCCTGAAACATCTATGGCTGGCCTTTCTAACATTTTCAACATCAATAATCCTGTAAAAAACACCCACCCAGTTATATAGAGATTTAATTTTCTTAAATGTTACCAAAGGAAGAAGTGGCTGAGCTATACATACAGAAGCAAGTATCCGTCTCAAGATTCAATGAATCTGTTAGCTGAGATGGAGTACATTATATTAAGTAAATGACAATTGACAATAGGATCTATCAAAACAATGGGTCTTAAGTTTTCCCTGGCAACTTCCAGTATTCAAAGCTTATTTGTTGGCATCTTTGATACTTCTAAAGCAAGCAAGCAAACAAACAAATTGAAACCTTTCATTTTACTCTAGGACCAGCTAATTCAATGACATAGTCATATCATAAAAATAAAATCTTATTATTAATAGTTACTAGAACCAAAAGGCTCAGAAACATTTTTTGCATAGAGTGTTTGTGGTTTTTGTTTTTTTAATGTCCACAAGAAGTGCCGTGAAGGGTTAGGTGTCCATTTCAATGAAACCATTTGGCATTTACAAACAGAAAAATACATTTTAGCCAATCTATAATGAACTACCAGAATGGGAATGCATTTTGAACTTTCTGCCTCAGGCCACTGACCACCTCTTTCTCACACAAATAATAACTAGCGTTTAGTGTTTTTTAAGCAGCACATGTCTTTAAAGGCACCCAGGCAGAAGCACTCTGGAGCAGATCCCTGCTAGGTAAGCAGAATGAAATGTGTGATGATTAGATGACACCTCTAAGAAGTGCCCTGATTAATCAGGCCAAAGGTCCAGTTATCTATCTGCTCTGTGGGCAATCTGATGCTTAAAGGAAGCACGCAAGCGAGAGCTGACAGCAGTGGTCTCTGCCTCCTTGCGATTACTAGCCACTTCACCTGGAAAACAGAGAAACTCTTTCGTACTTAAAGCTACTAATATGCTACATTTTAAGGTGTTTGAGGACTCTTCATTGCTTTTATTCCTTTGGCTTAGAAAGTTTAGGAACCTCTTCAACACTTTATGCTATGTTTTCACCAACACCATGTATCTGATGAAGTACACTGTTGTCTTCAAAAATATCATGATGCAGCAATCCCATTTGTTTTGTAAGGTGCACAAGCACTGTTAGAATTAAAAAGACTGCTCTTCTCCACCCACCCACAATACTTTATTGTTTTCACTTGTTTATACAAAGAACAACAATCAACAGTAAACAATCCAACACACCCCAGCAGAAGCACCTAGTGTCTATTTACATATAACATTAGACTGCTCTTCTAACCAACTGTACGTTCTCTCCTGTTGCTCTGCCACTCCCTCTACACCTGGGCAGTTTCTGCTTAGTGAGAAGAGAGCTTAACCATGACTCCCAGTTCAGATGATATGCTAAGCCAAACTCTGGTTTAGCTTGGAGCTTATCCAAACTCACATTTCCTCCATGCTTTTCAGGTATTGTCCACACTTTATAGCTCTGTGTCCAAGCCCTCTTTTTAAATTTTTGCTCCAGAGCTCTCCCCACAATAACCCACTTTAAATCTGAATCAGACCAAACAGCAATATGAAGAAAACCTGAATTGCTGTTGGCTGCACTTTGGCTTTATAGAGTGGATTTCTGATGCAAAAAATAAAAAATAAAAAAGTGCTCGGAGACAGAGCTTTAATTTACTTATTTATTTATAATTTGTAATTTATTTATTGCTACACCGCCCTTTTCCCAATGATCATAGGGTGGTTTACAATACTGTGCAGTCTGGTGTCTCAAAAGAGAAGAGCAAAAGATAAGAAGCATGGATAAGCCCTCAGTGTGGCAGTTAAAACCAGATGCAAACTCTTCTCCGAGAGCCCTCCCATTTGTATTGTGTTGGTTAACCATTGTTTCACTTTCCATGTTGTGCAAACTATCCTATTATGTCAGAAACATTAAACATATAACATTAGCTTAGTTGACAGAGCATGAGAATCTTAATCTCAGAACCATGGGTTCAAGCACTGTCACATTGGGCAAAAGATTCTTGCATTGCAGGGGGTTGGACTAGATGACCCTTGTGGTCCCTTCCAACTCTACAGTTCTATGATCCTGTGATTAGGGCTTGCCAGGGATTGTCATTTCAAAGCCCAGTTATTGCTTTTGCCAAAAGACCCATGATTAAGGCCAGAAGTAGCAATTCATACTCTTGAAGGTATGTGTGAGAGAGATTCTGTGGTTGAACCATGGTAAAGCAATCACCAGTTGTATCTGCATTTAGCCCAATACGTAACATAATACCAACCCTTCATGTGATTATCATGATAAGAATAAGATTATAAACGTTACACTGCAGATCAGGCTGCTACTGGGAGATTGGATAAATAGGTTCAAATTTGTGTTAAAAAGAAATTGGTATCCTTTGTATCAGCGCATCATGAATTCTCATAGATTAAAATGGCACCTCCTTTCCAATTAGGCTTAAGTTATCCTGATATTTTCAGAGATGAACATACAATTATACAGATTTAAAAATAAGTATATTTTCCACTCAATTAGTAACCATTTCATTTTCTGTACTGTTTCAGAGTGTGAAACAGTGAGCCAACATGATGATGGAAAGCAGCTGAACTGGGGAGCTTTTAAGAGAATACACTCTAACAGCACACATAACATTTGAATACATAAGAAAAGTTTCCAGTCTATATGCCTTTCTGCCAGGGAGCCAACCAGCAAGAATTCACACAAAGTGAAGTTAATTCTTTATTAAGTAAGGCCTGCTCAGGAGTACTAGGCCTAATAATGGGCACAGCAGCTCCTCTCGGTATGTCTTGCCCCTATGAGGGAGTTGTGGACACTTGAACTCTAAGGCAAAGAGACACTTAACTCTTAAGGTCACTTCTGCACCATACATTCAGAGCACATTACTTCACCCGAAGAATCCTGGGAACATCTCACAGAGCTACAATTCTCAGCACCCTGAACAAAATATAATTGCCAGGATTCTTTGGTGGAAACCATGGGCTTTAAATGTGTATTAAATGTGCTTTAAATGTATGGTGTGAATGTGACCTATATCAAATGTCAGAGAGGAAGGATTTGGCAGTGGAAAGAATAGCAGAAATAGAGAAGTATTTTTAAAATAAATCTCATTGGAATTGCATTTTTAAAATAGAGGGTTTAATACTCTGAAATCATGAGGATTTCCTAAATCCTGAAATCATGAGGTCTCCCTAAAGAATTTTAATGGTCTTTCCATGAACCAAGTCTGCTCAATCAATGTTTTGATATTTTCTGCATGCTAATTTAAAAACAGTGCTTGCTAGATAACAGAGGTTTCTGCAAGATCATCCAAGTTCAACTTTGCTGTACCTAAGCTGCTAAGTAACTTGTCAGCAATGGTAAACAAGGGTACCAAGATGAGAATTTGCACCCACAGCAGAAGAATTACATTCACTGAATTTAAATCATGGCAACAATGAAACACCCTGCAGTGAGATCCTAAACATGTTTACTTAGAATTAAAACTAAATTCAATTAGACTTAAAGGTAAAGGTAAAGGTACCCCTGACCGTTAGGTCCAGTCACGGACAACTCTGGGGTTGCGGCACTCATCTTGCTCTACAGGCCGAGGGAGCCGGCGTTTGCTCACAGACAGCTTCTGGGTCATGCGGCCAGCATGACTAAGCCGCTTCTGGCGAACCAGAGCAGCGCGCGGAAACTTACTGCCACGTAAATGTGCTCAGGATTGCATTGTGTGTGCGTCTTGTCATTTTTCTTAGATCAGCAAATTAATTCACATAACAAAAATTACAACAGAGTGTGAACAGCAGAGAGGAAAAATATGTGAACATTTCTCCATCACTGAAGTAGCCAAGCAGTGCATGATCAAAGTTAGTATAAAGAAATACAAAATGCAACAAGCAGTGCCATAAATTGACTGCAATCCACCTCTATATTCTATACTATAATACCCTTTGACACCCAGGAGTCTTCCATAGAAAACTGCAGTTTTGAGGGTTCACAAAACAAAGAATTAAATCTAATTTTGAAACATCAGTACATTAGTTTAAACTTTAAAAATATAGTACGTTGAAATTTATTTGCAAAGTAGACAGATTTTAAATAATTATAGGTTTCATTCTTTTTAATCAGCAGCAGTAAGATTGTGAAGGCATGCACATTATATTATTCAAGGAACAACTGAATCATCATGCAATCTTTAGGAGGCAGATGCCGGATATTAAGAAAACCTTCCATCCATGGAGCAAGTTGGAAGAATGTTAACAGTCATCTCTCCTATGCAGAATGCTGACTTAGCAAGTCTGTATGTGAAACATTACATTCTTTATCAGAGTATGAACCACACATAAGGGTGTTTTTTTAAAAAAAAAAAATAGTGCAAAATATGAGAATAAAGATCAAGACCAAGCAAAGAGTCAAAAACTTCTCCAGTGAGGTAAAACACCTTTGGACCAATATATTTCTGGGAATCTCAAGAATGAACACTGAAGGTGGGGGGAAGACATTAAGTGATCATAGATGTCAGACACTTGGCATCTGCCACCACAGGATAGTTTTGTTTATATAAGGGCTTTCTATCATGGTTAGGAGGAAACTCGACAAATTCCACACATCAATTTTTATTACTAATGTCTGCACTGCAAGCACAGGGAGGCAACCTAAGTGGTGTTTTGTTCTTATAAACATTCAGCTCAATGCTAAATATGTTAACCCAGAAATGGGGCTGTTTCCTGAGATGTTTGCCTGGGAACAAAAAGTTTTAGTTTCTGCACATCTTTTTAAATTGAATTTAGGTTCACAACCTAAACTTAAGCCTAAAATCTTCCTGTATGCCTATATAAATCAAATTAACAGCTATTTGATCAAGCAACTTTTTTTTTAATCATCTGACAGCCCAAGTTATAAGCAAGTAGAAAAAGAACCAAAGTGGTTAAATGTAAGAGGGAAAGCTTTTTTAAAAATAAGGATCTAATGAATGGATACTTTTGCATCTGTTGTCTGCAACTAAAAAGGCTCAGATAAAAACTTGAAAAAATTCCATTCCTCCCCACTGCCAAGAAAATCCCCAAACACCCTGCTACATCGTCCACTACAATTTGATGGCATTCCATCCTGAATCTCACAACATAATTGAGTAAGAACTGATGTCTTCTTTTTAGGATACAGTCAAGACTGAGTTCTTCATAGCATCATAGCATCCTCATTCTTGGATGTAGTGTACATTGTTTTCTATCTTCCTTGTGCGTGCATGCACACACACACACACACACACACACACACACGTACATGTGTGTATGTGGCCATATTCTTCTACCAAGGATTACTGCAGGATCTTAATGGCAGGCTCTACACTCCATGGTGCCTCAGTATTCTTCAGGCATGAATTTATGCGCACTAGACTAAACTGATGATGTATCTACTCAGCACTAGTGAGCATCTCTGGGAAGAGAGATGAGACCTGAAGAATGACATCTCTAGAACACACATGAACATATTCCCCGCCCCCTACAAAAAAAAAAAAAAATACTTCCAGAAAATATCAAAAAGCAAAACTGGGTGCAGTGATTTACAAGAAAACCAAGATGGTCCCCGGTAAACAGGGATTGGAGGAGGGAAAATACTGTTAGGCTTTATTTATCAGAAATGACCTGTCATGCCTATTTAATAACTACAACCAATTGCATATTTTAGGGAGCAAAAAACATTGCACTGTTGCCTAACAGTATTGTGATTTGCATATATAGTTTATTACAAGCTGCAACAACTCAGAGACACAGCAAGTATGCCAATGAAAAAAAATGTTTCCGGCTTTGGTTTTTATTCAGGACAAATTAGATATTTCTGAATTGCTTTTAATGTCTGCAGACAGTGCTGCTCTCTCTTGGGCATGTCTTATTTATTTGGATATGTTAAAGCCTGCCTCATCCTGAGGCTTCCCACAAAAAGCAACAACTTGTAGTATAACACAAGAATGCTAAAAATATGTTTTAATAGCACCGTATTAGCTTACCCCAGCCAGATTAAACATTAAAAAACCAAGATGAAATTGTTTGATCTTGTCACCTCTCTTTTTTAGGGTGTGAACAATATGCTGACGACACTCAGTGATACCTCACTTTTTCAACTTACCTTGGTTATACAATGTCAGTGATTACTCTGCATTTGCCCATAGAAAGAACCCATAACACAGACAAAGTTTAAATCTACTTCCTCTTCATTTGAGTGAAGTCACATGTGCCTCTTAATCCACAATCCTAGTCCAACACTCTAACCATTACAACCAGCCTGGAATGAATAAAAATGCCTTCAACTGGGACTGAAAGGTCACCAATAAGAGGGAGGGATCGAATTCACAGAGGTGGTTCCAACTGGGGTGATACCACTGAGGCCATGCCCTGAGTCATCATGGCACATACTTCACCAGAAGTGAATCTACCAACAGGGCAACTCCCATGCAGCAGAGGTAAGAGGACAGAAAAACAGAGGAATTCTTGCAAGCCACCCTTTCCTTAGATGCAGTCCACTAAGGACAGACTCTGTACCTTCCACTTCCAGAAGCACTTTTTGGCTTTCCTGCTTGGGTTGCCTTTTAATAGCTGTGAGTAAGCAGGCATGGAATGTTTTTTATTCCTATATAAAATACATTTTAATTGTTTTTCTTTTTCTTTTTAGTGCACCCCCTCCACCCAAAAAAGTCCATTACCTGCCTCAAATCTTAGGGAAACATAATAAAGTATCTGGTTTAACTCCCTACGTATCATCCAGTGGATGGAATTGACTATGTGTTTTTGAATAATTCTTTGCTCACATAGCTTACAAATATACAGGTCAGCTGAGACAGGGTGGGGGTGGGGTTGGTGTTACATGCCAATGTACTCTTGACAATGCAAACTGCCTTTTGCTACTAAAATGGAGAACTGCAAAAAAACACACCAAAAAACCACACACACCCCAAAACCCACCTTTCTTTGAAAAAAGGTGGTGTGTTTTGACTATTTGTTCCTACTAAATCACACACACATTTCTGTGGGACATTCAATAATCATATATAAAGCAAGTCACATCCTGCTTCTTAAAGAATACTCCACAGTGCAACATCAGAACACCCACATAACTCTTTTCTCTCCCCCTCTTCCCCGCCTTGGTAAACAGAGCCCTATGATTAAAGTCTGAGCTCCCATGGTTATCACGCACACAAGTATGCATTACACATACTGTCTCAGCAGGTCCTCATTATGTAGTCACAGCATAGAAAAAATAAATGCCTCACTGAACAAGGCGGAAGGGGAAGATTTTTCACTAGCTGTGTGGAAAAGCATTAACAATTTAGAGAAAAGGACAAAAGGTAGGATGACCACATTTCCTTTTTTTAATCCCCATTTTCAGAATGTTTACTGATAGAGCAGAATAAATGCTTCGGAGTGAGAAAAAGTGCTCTCTAGAGGTTTTACACTAAACAGGTTTGTTAGGTACTAGCTTACTGGCTAGTTGTGAAACCTTGTGGTTTCTTCTGCTGTTTTGGGTGATGATGATGATGGTGATGATGATGATTAATAATAATAATAATAATAATATTAAAACTTAGACTAAGCACTGCGACACCAGAATAAATTATTAATTCGGGTTAAAGCAGAAATAACAATCTGTTCTTTAAATATTTAAATGGTAAAAATGACAAATGTCAGGTGCCCCAGAGAGATACTGAAACACATATTTTGGAAACACCGTCTACTGCTCACGGTATATTGAACCATACCTGTATGTTTAACCCATTGCTTTCAGAAAACAAAGCCAAAATTTCATCACTTCATTTTGTTGATCAGGGACCTTCATTCAAAACCTTCAGATGCTGTGTTCAACGTAATTTCTTTCCCAAAGAATTACAGGTGAATTAACACTTGTAAAAAATTACAGGTGTAGAGACAGAAGACTGCCTGACTGCCAGTGGTGGAGCGTTCCTCACTGGCGCCCAGGGTGGGGCGCCATGGTGGTGAGGTGCACGGCCGGAGCAACCCTTGCCCACTGAAGCTAAGTGGGGAGCCCGGCCAGCCGATGCGGCCAATAACACCCTGCTTTGAGGGGCACACTCACAGTGCTCCTGCGAGCCCAGCACTCTGCAGCATTTAGAGAGGCTGATGCATTTTAGGCCTCTATCACACCCACTGAGTTTCTATAACTTTTAAACCCAAGGCCAGGCTACTGAGGCACTTTTCAGACCATTGCTGTTTTGCAGGTGGGATTCAATCACATAAACTCACACAACACAATTAAAGTGGATTTGGTGCATTTCTGCAACAAATATGAAAAACCAAGTTTTTGTTTTATGGAAAGTGAAGGGTAAATGCTTTCCCCCAAAATAAATCAGAACAAATGCTTTACTAAGCAACTTGACTTACTTGCAAGGGTTAACAGCGTTATCGTGACATCAGGGCACTTCAGCTATTGAAAGCAAGGATGCAGGGTTATCAGGAACAATGCTCAGCAACATGCACATCTTGACATATACTTGAATCCTTAGGTAGGGACCAAAAATATGTGGGCACTATGTCCAATAAAAATCTAATTAACTTTAGTTTGAGAAGGCAAGGTTAAATGTGCTTGAGAAAGCCATATATGATTGAGGTAGCAGTTGGTCAGCGGGCAATAACAAACCACTTCAGTTTTCAGTACATTGCTATATATTGTGCACCAAGGATGAGCCAAGGATGCTTTGCAGATAGATTCTATTTTTGCAATACTTGAGGAATATTTAGAAATCTTATTAATTCTATTTATCATGTTATTCTGCTACACATAAAGCACATTTAACCTTGCCTTCTCAAACTAAAGTTAATTAGATTTTTATTGGACATAGTGCCCACATATTTTTGGTCCCTACCTAAGGATTCAAGTATATGTCAAGATGTGCATGTTGCTGAGCATTGTTCCTGATAACCCTGCATCCTTGTTTTCAATAGCTGAAGTGCCCTGATGTCACGATAATGCTGTTAACCCTTGCAAGTAAGTCAAGTTGCTTAGTAAAGCATTTGTTCTGATTTATTTTGGGGGAAAGCATTTACCCTTCACTTTCCATAAAACAAAAACTTGGTTTTTCATATTTGTTGCAGAAATGCACCAAATCCACTTTAATTGTGTTGTGTGAGTATATGTGATTGAATCCCACCTGCAAAACAGCAATGGTCTGAAAAGTGCCTCAGTAGCCTGGCCTTGGGTTTAAAAGTTATAGAAACTCAGTGGGTGTGATAGAGGCCTAAAATGCATCAGCCTCTCTAAATGCTGCAGAGTCACAAACAGGTTTATTAAATTGTTACTAATTATATATAAAAAAATATTGATCAAGCAAATTATCCAAGAATGTACACATTCATTCTTAAAGCACATGTTTAACTGTTTGAGGCAGAGTTACACATTGGGAGCAGGTTAACTACATTTCAATAAATGTAACTTTCTGGAGTTTTTAAAATTAAGATGTTCACCATTAAGATGTTGTGTATGGGGTGTTAGGGGAGGAGTAGTGCCTCTGGTGGGGTGCACATCATGCTCCTTCTGGGGCAGTTGGCCACCTTTGGTCCCCACCCTGCAGCTCTCACCTGTAGCTCCTAGGAACCGTCAGCATGCAACTGTGGCTCCACCCTAGGAATGGAACTGACTGACAAGCTAAACCGGGCGAGGGTAGCCAATACATTTCAGATCCTTGGTGAATTAGGGACTTCCTTGCTTGCGAAGACAAGCTCTGGTGGATTGAGCAGATGAGACCAATAGTGTGTCCAACAGTCAAGAAGGCAGTTTCTGCCCATGTTGTAGAGGGAAGTAAGGAACAGATGGGGCTTGTCAACCTGGTAGTCCATCTAGGAGAAGGAAAACTCTGATATTAAACCACTGCTGCCTTGCAGGGAATCTTTGGGAGAAGAAAAGGCTCAGGAGTAAACCCTACACAAATCCAGAGGGGAGTCCCTAAGGCAGCTAGATGGCTCCTTGTACAGCTTTTTCCAGCAACTCCTGCAGCCAAGCTGGTGCCAAGTGTATTGCTTTCCTTACCTTTCATGAGGCCGAGAACAACAACTTCATGACGCTAACTTCCAAAAAGCAATTCAAATAAATTTGAACAAAAATAGCAAAACAAAACAAAACAAAAAACCCTCAACAGGTACCAACCCCACAAATGAAGGTTATTTATTCATTTTGGTAAATTAGCCAAAAGCTAGATTGCCCTTAGTGTAAAGCATTCATCAGATCTTAAAAACATAAAAAAAAATTGTATGTGGAAAATACAAAGTGCTACACGAACTTCATTTTAGAATTTTTAAGAATCCAAATCCCTAGACTACGTGGAAACAAATATCCTCAAATGCAGCTAGCATGGGGGGACAGGGAGAGACAGCTGCCCCCCTTAAATCAATAAAAGTACATAGCTATCTGAGGTCCCCCCCCCCCCCAACAAAAGGCCTGCACCCCAAACAAAAGGCCGGCCTGCCCCTAACAAAAATCCTGGCTACGCCCATGGATACATAAATGAAAGCTGGAGACACATGATTCCCCATATTATAAAGCACAACATTTTAATTGGCTACATGTTTGATTTGCCTGCACAAACTATCACTTTTTTTAAAAAGACTAAAATGGGAAAAAATAGAAGTGAAGACCTTGTCTCAATAAGTTTACCAACAAACCAGGCAAGAAACTTTTAGAATGAAAGTTTTAGGCACTTTCAAATAGCATATAACAGCTGTTAGCATCTGGAAACAAAAGTGCTAACTAAAACAAGCCTTGACTATGCTTAAATATTTAAACACAAACAGGGGTAATAATTAGTCTTTGATGCAACAGTGGTGTAGCATTACACCTGCTAGCACAGTTACAAAGCTAAGCAGAGTCTGGGATGGTTTCCAGATTGGATGGAGGACTACATGTTGAGGTGCCTGCATTGCAGGGGGTTGGACTAGATGACCCTCAGGGACCCGTCCAATTCTGTTCTTTATTTTTTAAAAGATGCATAAAGGGCTGTTAACTGAATAAACTATTATTCTACCCTTTATTCATTGCCACTTTGAAATGGAACTGGAAGAGAAGGGAATGTGGCATCAGCATACCATTCATGGAGTTTCCCTTTTACTCACTGTGAAAGCAGCAATTTTCCTGCCATGTTTCAGGAGCAGCTCTTTATTACACACATGTCTATCAATACAAACTCTGCATACCATGCTGTGCCTTGGATAAATTCCCATCAAAACATAAATTCTGTTAATGCTCTAAAGGTTTTTCAAAGTAGTGTCACATACATTCACCCTCTCTTTAATACATCTCACTGTGTTCAGTTTCACATGCTCAACAATTCACTGCAGGTCATTTGTAAAGATCAAAGGTAGAGGCACCATGCCAGCAAGCACTTTATTTTGCATTAAGTGAAAACTTGAAATCAGGAGTAATTTCAGTCATTCTGACACAAGGATATTATTTAGCAAGTTTTAAGTAGCTGGCTCCTATTGGAGCCCATCACTATGACAACATACAATGTATTTTTAGCACTGTTCTGTCCATACTACATGCACAATGAGCAAGACTTGTTGACTTAAAGCAACACACACCATGATCCAAGGACCAAGAGCTAATTAATGGTGCAGCAGTGTTTTGTTTTGTTTTTTTAAAAAAATGCCTAGCCATGCTACCAAAGGAAGTTGTTTTTACCAGCTGATGTAATGTGTTGTTGT